GCAGTTAATTTTAGCACAAATAAAGTTGACTTCGTGGAGTTTTCCATTTTGCCCTTGTTGGTGTTGCATAGTTTCAAAGTCGAAAGCGATGATGCGGTAAGGTTTCGGCTTCCTTGTAGCAAGAGGTTTGATATAACATCCTCTTTTTGGATCATGAAAGCTGAAGCAGGTGTTACAGTAGCGTTCGGAACAAACATGACCACTTCTACCATTTCGGTTGTTATCTTTGACAAACCATACCACTCCACATTTTTCACATTTTTTAGAATTGTCGCAGAAGTTTGAGAATAGATGATGGTTGTAGCAGTCCTCGTTTTTAAATTCTTTGTCACATCCAGAGCAGTGTTTGAAAAAGTTGTTTAGGGGCTGGCATGGGAACTTTGGACCGATCCTGGAGCAGTTTTGACATTTAACTTTGCATGAAGTGGCATGATCTTTTGGACGATTGTACGTTTTTTCACAAAAAAGGCAATAAGCTTCACCAAACAAATCAGATGCCCTTCGCACACCGTCGAAATGTTGATTGTGGTGATAAAGAATAATTGGGGTATCAAACTTTTCCTGTCCATATTTGAAGATAGGTTCTTCGGCAAATTCACCAAAGATATAAACTTTAAACAGGCCTATGTTCAATGTATTCCAATAATTGACCACTTTGGGAACCCAGTTCTGCGCATCATAGCTTGGCTGATCAAGAGGAGCTCCAACATCTCTCAATAGTTTTTTGGTATCTTGTTCGAGTTGATGAGTCATACCTCTTCTGCTATGCATATAATCATAGAACTTCCATTTTGGCCAGGAAAATATTGAGTAGACGTATGAAGCCATTAATGCATAAAACAAACATAGGTTGTCGGTATTGCGTATTTTGATGAGGTTTTTATCATTTATCCTACGAGTAGATTTCCCACCGCTTCCGCTGATGACGCGTATTCTAGGGATATTCTGCTTGTCAATGGTAGTAACGGAGACTGTAAATGGTTCGCCCCAAAGCATACCATTATCTTGCTTTTTGGATTGGGCGACTTTCAAGAATTGATTAAGTATGGCGTCGATGGTGTTGTTGGTGATGTCTCTAATGGGAATCCAAATGTCAGTTTCGAGCAGCTGACTGCTGACAATACATCCTAGTTGATCAGGTTCAAGTTGGTGTTCGCGGCTTGTAGATATTGTTTTGTCGATACAGGTTTGGAATATTTCCTGGAGTAGGCTTTCGGGGCTTGGAGGTAGTTTATTAATTAGAAATTTTGTAGACAGTTTGGTCATGTTGAATTTCTTAGTGAGTTTAGTTTCCTCACCGAGTTGTTTAACATAATCACCTCCACCCTTTTGCAATAGGTTGTCAATGAGGAACATCCTCGATCTCTTTAGAGGTGGAGGAGACATTTAAGGTTAGTAAAGTAATATCAATATTTTTAAATTATTCAAAGAATGAGGAAATTTTTCAAAAACTTGGATTTATAAATGTCATTTTTATTTGACAGTTTTTCTATTTTCACTTTTCCACGCCTACTTTTTAATCATTTTTTTGAAACAATTTTCACATGACGTATTTTGTGACATATTTTCACTTTTTAACTTTTATTTTTACTTACTTTTTTTAATAATTTACCCAATTTTTACTTTTCAATATCTATTTACTAAATTTCACCATTTTTCTTGCGCATGACTGATTTTAACAAATTTCCACTTTTTATAATAATTATTGTATTTTTCAAGAATGGATTAAAATAAAGAGAAAGGGTTAGATCAAGATAAGACGGATTTAAATGTAATATAAATTTTAAAAAGTATGTAGAGCTGTTTAATGTTTGAGATTTGATATGAGAGGTGAAGTTTGATATGAGAGGTTTTGATGTAGGAAAAACCGGTTAAACTGGTTTAAAATTACTTCTTAAACTCTTGAACTTTTGGGAAACATTATAAACTTATGGTTATGTAATCTTGTGAAAATCGTGTTTTAAACGGATAAATCGATTCAAAACCACTTGTTGAACCCTTAAACCTTTGGAAGCCGTTTGTATATGTAATCTTGTGAAAAGTAAGGTGATTTCTTTAAAAAGTTCAATTTATTCTTAAACAGGTTTGATCAAAGTACCCTTAAACCGTTTGGTTTAAACCTTTTGGTTAAAGCGAACTTTTGTTTGACTTAAGTCTTGTTACAATATGAGGAGGGTTTAACTACTATTTTTTGAAAATTTTATAAATTTGGCATTTTTTCCTTTCTAAATATAATTTTGCAATGTAATTTTTGCATGACAGATTTTTGACCTATTTAACAATAATTTTTGTAACAATTATTGCATGAATGAATTTTTATAATTATTATATATTTTCACTTTTCACCGCCTACTTTTTTAATAATTTTTATATTTTTCAAAATAAAGGGTAAAAATAAAAGAAGATATTTAGAAAATAGAGAAGAGGGTTGGAAAGATGTTTCTCTAAGAATTTTTAAGAGTACATCCTTGAACCGGTTCAAAAGAAATTCTGAACATCTTGAACCTTTGGGAACCATTTTAAATTTTAGGTTATGTAATCTTTTAAAAAATATGCGAAATTCTTCTTTGAACCGTTTAAATCAGTTCAAACCCACTTCTTAAACCTTGAAGCTTTAGGAAAATTTTAAAAAAATTGGTGAAGAATAGGGCGAATGATAGTTTTTCTTTAAAAAAGTTCAATTTTTGCCATTAAACCGGTTTGATCATATTACCCCTTAAACCCTTTGATCCTTTGGGTGTCCATTGAATCTTTGGACTCTGACGACGGATTGGGTGTGTCTAAATACCGTTTAAATATGTGGGAGGGGCTAAATGGTTGGACCCCGCTGCCCCTGACGACTTGGAGGGGTGGTTAACTACTAATATCCTTTATTTTTATTAAACCAACAACAACAATCACCTTCTTGTAGTACAAATACATCAACAGCTTCTTCTCCTATTAAAACATTTTCAAATAATTAATGAAGTGAGTATTTTTCTTTAAAAACAAGTTTTCCGGAAAACAAGTTTTTAAGTTTGATTAATCTTTCTCTCTTTGTTTGGAATGAATAAACAAACTTGTTTTCCGGAAAATTTATATATTTTTCCGGAAAACTACTAGTTTATTTTTTAACTCAAATGTTTTTCCGGAAAAATTTATAAAAATACTTCTCCGGAAAAAAGAAGTGTTTAGGTTACCAGCATCAATTTTCCGGAAAACAAGTTTTTTTAATAAACTTCAAAACTTGTTTCATAAAAACTTGTTTTTTAATATAAACCATTTTATTATTAGAAATTTTTATTTCTACTTGTGTCTTTTTTCTTCTAGATTCTTCTTCACTTGCTTTACCAACCAATAAAAAATTTTTTTTTCAAATATTTGTATAAAATCAAACTCATATCAACAACAAACAACAACCAACATTTATTTTGGTAAAAAAAGACATGTTTTTTTATTTAAATTCACTTTATTCCTCTTGGGAATGCAATCAGTAAAAACTTAAACCAAAAAAATATATATAAATATATTTATCTGTTTATTTTACAAAATATTCATGTTTGCCTTCAAATGTATGTTTTTAAAAAATACATTATTTAAAATAATTAATCTAAACATGTTTCTGGTTTCTTAAATGTTTTTGTCTTATATGTTTGTTTTGAATTGTAAATCGTTCTAAAAACTTAAAATTTTAATGTTTTTGTTTTACATGTTTTTCCGGAAATATCAGAATTATGTTTCTAGGCTAACTCTTTAATAAAACTTTCCGGAAAGTTCAGAATTAAATTTTTTCCGGATATGTTTATTTTTCCGGATAGTCTTTAAAAATAAAAATCAGAATTATTCTTTTCCGGAAAATATTTCCGGAACAGACAAAATTATTTTTCAAGTTTACTCTTCAGTAAATCTTTCCGGAAAACACAATTATACACTTTAATGAAACACTTCCGGAATAATCAGAATTATTTTTTCCGATTGTGTTTTTGTTAAGTATTTCCATTAATAATCAGAATTATTCGCAGAAAGCTTTCCGGAAAAAATCAGAATTATACATATTTTGTTCTGTATTTTTTTCTATTATTATTTTCCGGAATTTATATCATCATTCTCTATTTAACATCTAATTTTTTTGTATTAATGCCTTACAATTATTTTTTTACCTTAAACGTGTAATTGCCTCATATATACATTATTTTCTAAATTTAACTTTTTTCTGCTATATCTAGTTTTTAAAAATATTTTTTAAATTTTATCAACCAAAAAATTGTTTAGTTATTTTTTACAAATTTTAAATAAATTATTCTAAAATTAAAAAAAAAATTTTTTAAATTACTTATAGGGGAAATTAAATAATAAAAAAATCAATTTAATTTAATGGAAAATTAAGGTTTTTTTAGTTTATAATTAATTTTAAATTAATTTTTAATTTTTTAGATTTAGATCAATAATTATTAAAACAGATTTTTTACAACGGTCAATCACTCATTTTTTCAATGGCTTTTAAAAGGACCACACAAAAACAACAACAATTGCTTCTATTTTTAAATTTCTTCTGATTGTTGCTCTAACATTGCTTCCATTAAGGTAGATTTAATAATTGACTGGTTTTTAAATTAATAGTTTGCTTATAAATTGAGTTTGTAAAATGAACAAACTTGACGAAAATTGTAAAACATAGTTCGCAACTTTTTGCAGTTTTTAAGTTTTACAATTTGTAAAAACTTCTTTTACATTTCTATATGATTTGTAAAACATTTTGCAAATACTAAAAACTTTTTTACAATTTGTAAAAACTTTCTATTTATATGATTTGTAAAAGACGCTTTCTTCATTTAAACTTTTTACAATTTGTAAAATGTTTTAAAATTTATTTTACAATTTGTAAAAAGTGTTGCATTCGAAAAACTTTTTTAGATTTTTATTTTTACCAAATCTACAAACCTTTAATATTTTAATGATTTGTAAAACTTTTTTTATTAAAACTTTTTACAATTTGTATCAAGTTCATTAAATTTTACAAATCAATTTTTAATAAAATTTTCTTTTTCAATTTCAAATGACTAGCAATCAAAACAAAAACATTAACAACTCCAACAAACGACAAAAACAACTTGGACGAATTTCCTCTCTTGGTTTGTTGTTTCCTCAATCATTTAATAATAATACAAACAACCAACAACAACATCCGATTGTCTATAGAGGCCGTAGTTTTGTTAATTTACTTCCTCCTCCTTCAAGAATTGAACAAAATGGTGAATTAATTTTTTTATTTTTTTTAATAATTTAGGGGGGTATAGATTAATTATTTAACCGGAAATGGAAAGGTAATTAAATGCAAAAAATATAAAAAGTTTTGGGTTGTCATGACATTATCTCTTTTACTTTTTTGTTTAAGAATGTACTTTTAAGTAATTTCTTTTGTTTGGTTCTAATATTTCCTATTGGTCATTAGTTCTTTTTTTAATTAAAAAAGTGTTAATATAATAATAAGAAAGGGGAAAGGGGAGATTGGCGTCATTATGTACTTATAGGTTTGTAGGTCCCACAAACATAATTTTCCCCTTTTTTGTTTGTTTTTCTCTTTTTTTGCTTGTTTTTCTTATAATTAATTTTTACAAATTGTAAAATTTGTAAAATTTTTACAATTTGTAAAAACTTTATTCCTTTGTGTTTTTACATGATTTGTAAAGCTTTTTTATAAATTTAAACTTTTTTACAATTTGTAATCAAGTTTTATTTAATTTTACAAATTGTAAAAACAATGCTCTTCTATTTTAATTTAATTGTAAAACTTTTTAACAATAAGCGTTAGGTTTGATTTAATTTTACAAATCATGTAAAACTTGCTGTTTTACATGATTTGTAATTTTAAAACATTTTTAAAAATTAAACTTGTTTTTAAATTTAAATTGTGTTTTACAATTCAAGTTTTAAAATTTAATAATTTAATTAATTTAGCACTTCCATTATTATGCACTCGTGTCAACAGTGACAAATTTGTGAATTACATGAGCGGCTCTCCTCCACCCCTTTTACCAAGTGACTTGAAGGAATCTTCAAAATCATCATCATCACCTTCTCAATCTATTCAAAAACAACAACAACATTACCAGAAAAAGCAAAACCAAAGGCGTCGTCCTTCCTCGGTTAGTGGAAGCAATGTTGATGCTATTTCTGTTGTGCGTCATGCCCCAATGTAAGTTTAGTATTTTTTAAAAATGTTTTGTATTTTCTTAAATTTTTAAAAATTCTGATTTTTTTGTATTTTCACCCTTTAATTCTGATTTTTCTATTTTCGAAAATTCTGGTTTTTGTATTTTCGAAAATTCTGGTTTTTGTATTTTCGAAAATTCTGGTTTTTGTATTTTCGAAAATTCTGGTTTTTGTATTTTCGAAAATTCTGGTTTTTGTATTTCTCGTTTGTATTTTTTATTTTTCCCTTTAATTCTGGTTTTTGTATTTTTTCTTTATTAATTACCCCAAATGTTTTTAAAATTAATTGATCATTTTTACACTTTACTAAAACCTTTAAAAATTAGATCATCATTTTTAAAGATGATTTTTTGTTTATTTGTGTTTGAATTATTTTTTTTTATTTTTCATAATATTTCTAAAATATTCTTTTTTTAAATAAGAAATAATAACACAAAACAGCTGTTTATTTTTAGTTATTAAAAATTATTTTTTATTTTTCTTTAGCAGCTGAATATTTCCCTAAAAATTATTTTTTGGAAAAACACAGAAATACAATATGTTATTTTGATGTTAAATACAAGACTAGAATTTTTAAAAATACAAAAACCAGAATTATTTAAATATGTATATTTATAAATCAGAAGTGTCTTGAAATACAAAATCAGAATCGAAAAATAAATACAGAAAAATCAGAATTTTCGAGAAAACACAAAAATACAAAAAAAATACAAAAATAAAATATAAAATCAGAATCAGAAACAAAAATACAAGAAAATACAAAAAATCAGAATTAAAAGCAAAATACACTTACCAGAATTCTTAAAAATACAAAAACCATAATTATCCTAAAATACAAAAATTAACTAAAATACATTTCATTAAATTAAATTTATTATTTTTCATGCATATTTATTATTCATTTTTATCCATTTTATCTCATCCATTTTTCAAAAAAAAAAAGTTTATCCCGAAAAGTTCCATTTATATAATTTTTTAGTATTTTTTTTTCACTTTTCATTTTGTGATGTTTATTATTTTTTTTCCACATCAACACGCGCACTAATCCCTCACCCTCCCCTTCCCCCTAACTTTCCCTGTCCTAATCTAATTTTCGGTTTTTTTTTCAACTTGGACGGGGAAAAAATAGAAAAGCTCTAGTAGTGTATTTAGTAATAAGCTAGTATATATTTTTTTATGTTTATACATATTTAGAGAGGGAAAAGGGCAAAAATGAAATGTACTTGTAGAAGAGGAGAGACCTCTAAAGCTTTAATTATAATTTTTTGGCCCCAAAAATTTTAAAAATTTTCGAATTTTTTGGATTATACATACTTTTAATTATTTACAAAATTTGAATAATTTTTTAAAATATTTTTTTTTGAGTCAGAAACACCAAAAATTATCAGAATTTTGAGGGGCTTCTTTAAAAATTTATTTTTTATATTTAATGATTCATCAAATTTAATTTTTGGATTATTTTAGGATTTAGAAACTTCAAAAATTTTATTTTATTTTTTTTGTTTAAATCTTTGAATCCTTTTTTTAGTGAAAACAATTTTCTCCCTAAATTAATATAGGAAGCCCCCAAAAGTTTTTTTTATTATTTATTTTTTATTTTCTCAATTTCCCTCTATTATTATGCCATTTTTGCCTTTAAAGCCCCATATCATTTACATTAAAAACAGACAAAAATTGAGGGGGGGGGGGAGAAACCAAGACCAACAGACCACCACCATCAATATATCCTACTTTAACAGGCACTCCTGCTTTAATTCTCTCTCATTTTTATTTTTTAATTTTCAATTAGATAAAAAGGAGGAGGGGAAAGATTGGCACGGCTCTTTAAAATAAATATTATATCTGAATATATTCGTTTATAGCTTTATGAACGGTGTTTTAATTTTATTTATTCTATGAATATTTTTTGAGAACAAAGTTTGAGTATTTTTCTGAAGGAAAAAAAATTTTTTTTTTAATTTTAAAATGTAGGACCTCTTTATAAAATGACCTTTTCATAAAATACTTCAAATACTAAATGTATATACCTACCTTCAATTTAAGACTGATTTTGGTATCCAGATATATCCGCGAGTATCAGGATATTATCTGCATTTGTGCACAAGTCTGGTCTAAACAATGCTCCCCATATTTTTTAAATACACCTCTCTCTCTTTTTACAAAAAAATTTTAAAGAATTTTTTTCAGCAAAATTCTTTTTCAAAAGAGTTTTTTTTAATAATTACAGATTAATTTTAAAAGATTAAAGAAGCCATTTAAAGGATTTTTTAAGATTTTTTCTTCCTTATCCTAAAATTAAGGAAAAATTGAAGCGCTTTTAAAATGTCTAAATTCATACATTTAATTATTCTAGAAGCTTTCTTAAAAAATTTTTTTTTCAATTTTATTATAATTTTTTAATTTTACAAAAAAAATCCTTTTTTTTATACAGACACTTATTTTTAATCTTTTTATTTTCTTTTTTTAATAATTTTTAATTAATTTAATTTCTCGCTTTTTTGTATATTCCATAAAATTTTAATATTTCAAAATTCAAAAAAAAAAATTCAAGAAAAAAATTAAAAAAAAATTTTTTTTGACAAGGCGACAATTTTCAACATCAAATACAACAATAATTTCCTCTCCTCCTTCAGCCTCTCAACAACAACAAAAAGAAGAAGAAAAACAATTAAATTTAAAAATGTTTAAAAAAGACGAAAAAGACGAAGAAGATGAAAATACAACAACAACAACAAATTTAATTAATTGTAGCCTTAAAGAAAGTACAAGTTGTGGTGGAGGTCAACAACACGAAATTGTAAAAAGACAAGTATCTAATTCGTTGGATGTTGAAGTGGGGCATCCCAGAAGCAAGTTTTATTAAATAAATACAAGAAAATACAAATAAAATACCGAAAAAATACAAAAACTTATATCACAATAAAGGCAAAATACAAAATCAGAGTTTTTGTATTTTTGTTGTTAATTTTAAAAACACAAATAAAATTCTGATTTCATATAAAACTTGAAAATACAAAATAATTCTGGTTTTTATAAATATTTAACAAAGTATACAATCAAACTTGTTTAGATTCAAGTTTTAAAAGCAAAATTCTGATTTTTGAAAACAAAAAATACAAAACAAACTTTGTTTTTAAACTTGTTTTACAACTTTTTTCAAAACTTCAAACTTGTTTTCAAACTTTTTCTTTGTTTTAAATAAAACTTGAATCTGAACAAGTTTAAAAAATTTAAAACTTATTAATGTTCAGATTCAAGTTTTTTCAAAACTTGTTTTTATTTTTAAATACCTATTCTGATTTTTTTCTTTTTTTTAATTAGTTCGTTCAACTAGTACTACAGGAACAGCTTCATCAGCTATTGATAGAAGAAGTGTTTCACAACATAATCAGTTACAAGAGAAGGCGTCACTAAAAAGCAGTTTAAAAATTGAGGTAGTTTTTATTTTTATTTGAATGTTCAGATTCGTTTATTTTTTAATTCTGAAAAAAATTCTGATTTTTCACCTTAAACAAATTAGTCTCTTTAAAACACGAAATTAAATAAATAAACTTGAATTTCAACATTTAAACAAACTTGAATATTAAAACTTGGATTTAAACATTAATTATTAAAACTTATATTTCTCTTGATGTTCGAATTAGCTTCTGATTTGTTTTTAAAGCTTAAGTTTTTATAAAACAAGTACACCAACATTTTTATGTTTTAAAAAGAAATAAGAATTTTTGTTTCAACAAAATTAAATAAATAAACTTGGATATAAACATTCAAATTAATTGAAATATTTTTTAAGGATACTATACTTCGATTAAATATTGGAGGAAGTTCTTATCGAATTAGAACTAGAAGCATTTTGAAACATGGAGCTGATACTTTGCTTGGCCGGTGAGAAAATGTTTTTTATTTTATTTTTATTTATTTTAAAGTTTTATTCGAATGGACGAACAACATAGAAGGGCTTGGGCTGATGCTTATTTTGAAGAGGAAAGTGAATATTTTTTTGAACGTGTCCCGAGATATTTTGATCCTGTTTATGATTTTTATGCTTCTGGAAAATTGCATGTACCTAAAGATTTGTGTTTTGACAAGTTTATGGCGGAGGTGTTTTAAACTTTTTAAAATTAAAATTTGGAAATAAATTATAAAATAAGCTTGAATCTGAACATTTCAAAATTAATGTGGAATGAGTGTTGTAATAAAACTTGGAAAACAAACTTGAATACATTGAAAAATAAAACTTGGATCTAAACATTCAAATGTTCATATTCAAGTTTATTTTATTTGTTAATTAAACCTGGACACATTATTAAGTTTTAAGAAAATCAGAATTTATTTCGAACATTAAGAGAAATAAAACATGTTTTAAAACAAGTTTTGTTAAAAACATGTTAAGACAAACAAGTTTATTTTAATGTTCGAATTAAATTCTTATTTTTCTTTTTAAACCCCCCTCAATTCCTTTATATTTTCAGCTTCGTTTTTGGTCTGTTTCAAAAGCAAAAGTTGACCAGTGTTGTTCGCCTTTCGCCCAATATTATTTGTACAAAAAGACTAAAAATTTGGATACTCCTGTGGGTTTTTTTACATTTATTTTTTAAGTAAAAAAATTATTTAAAATTCTCTCTTAAGGATGATCTTCCAGGATTTTTAAAACGCAAAACTTTTGACCCAGAAAGTTTTTTTCTTCTGTGTTTTTCTGATTTTTGTATTAAATTAGCTAACCTTTTCTCCCCCAAAACATATTTAATTTTAACAATTTTTTCCTTTTATTTTTTTTTATTTTAATGTTGTTTCTCTTATTTATACCCCTAAAAACTCTTAAAAACCTTCAAATTTTTTCCTTAACTATTTTTTACTAAAATGTAAATAATTCTAACAATTTTTGGGTGTGTTTTAATTATAAATTATAATTGAAAAGAATTTTTTTCTAGGAGAAAGACCATTTTATTGGTCTCCGCTGTGCTAAAGTACGTAGACGTTTGTGGTTGATACTTGAAGGTATATTGATGTTTTTAAAACTTGAATTTGAACATGTTTACAACTTTAATTTTAAATAAACTTGGATCTGAACATTACAATTATTTGTTTATTAAAAATCAGAATAAAACTTGAATTTAATTTAAACATTTAAATAAACTTGAATTCTATAAAAACATCTAAAAACATCAAAGTTTATTTAATTTATAATCCAAGTTTGTTTAGATGTTTAAAAGCAAGTTTATTTAACTGTTTAGATTCAAGTTTTTAGAAAATGTTTACTCTGATTCTCGATAAACATATAACAGTAATGTTTAGATCCAAGTTTATCTAAAATTAAAGTTATAAACTTGTTCAGATTCAAGTTTTAAAATTAAATAAATTTTAATTTTTAATTTAAGGCCATTCAAACTCAAAATGGTGGAAATTTTTTGAAATAACTTCAACCTCCTTTGTAGTCCTTTCAATAACAGCGCTCATTTTGGCTAGTATGCCTGAATTCCAAGTGCCAGATAATTCGAATCAAAATACAATGTCTCTCGGAAAGCACTCAACAAACCCAACATACCCAAAAGTCAGTGGATTTACAATTTCAACAACAACGGTAAAATTAATTAAAAATAAAACTTGAAAACAATTAATTGTTTTAAGGTTGTAAAGGACGGCGAAGAACATCGTATTGAAATGATTGAACATCCTGTGTTTAATTATGTTGAGAATATATGTGGTAAGTTTATTAAAAATAAAATCTGAACATCTAATTAAACTTTGATTTAAACATCTAACTAAACTTAAATCTGAACATTTAATTAAACTTGAAACTAAACACTAAATTAACTTTTAAATAAATAAACCTGAATTAAAACAAATAAATAAACTTGAATTAAACAAAAGAATAAACTTGAATATGAACATCTAAATAAACTTGTTCAAGTATAATAAAACATCTAAAAATACTCAAACTTTAATTAAATAAAACAAACTTGAAAATAAACAACTAAACAAACAAGTTTATTTAGATGTTTAGATTCAAGTTTATTTATTTAAATTGAATTCACAACAAAGTTTTTATTTTTTATAGTTATTTATTTTACATTGGAATATTTGTTACGTTTTTGGGTGGCACCTATAAAAGTAAAATAAATATTTTTTTAATTGACAAGGATATTTTTATTTATTTTTCAGTCACAATTTGTAAAAGAATTTTTAAATATAATTGATCTCCTTGCTATTGCTCCTTTTCTTTTTGAACTTTTACTTATTTTTGTAAGGGAAAAATAATTTTTTTAACTAGAAAAAATTTTTCAGATAGGAATTCGGGGGGATAATATTCGAAAAGTTCGGTATGTTTTAAAAAAAATTTCTAGACAAAAAAATTTAATTTTTAGTTGGGCATTCCTCACAGTTCGTCTTCTACGGGTACTCAGAGTTGTTAGAATTGCAAAACTTGGTCGTTTCAGTCCTGGTATATAAATAAACTTGGATCCGAACATTTTAATTTGTTTTAAATTTTAATAGGTCTTGCCAACTTTGCCTTAACCTTACAACGAAGCAAAAAACAAATGCAAATGGTAGCGATTGTATTGCTTACTGGTGGGTAAAATAATATTATAAAATAAACTTTAATCTAAATAAACTTGGATCCGAACGGGTAAATAAACTTGAACTGAACATTTAAATAAACTTGAATATGAACATTTAAATTAAATAAACTTGAATTTAGACATTTAAATAAACTTGAATCTGAACATTTAAATAAACTTGAATGTAGACATTTAAATAAACTTGAATGTAGACATTTAAATAAACTTGAATCTGAACATTTAAATAAGCTTGAATCCGAACATTTAAATAAACTTGAATCTGAACATTTAAATAAACCTGAATCTGAACATTTAAATAAACCTGAATCTGAACATTTAAATTAAATAAACTTGAATCTAAACATTTAAATAAACTTGAATCTGAACATTTAAGTAAACTTGAGTCTGAACATTTAATTAAACTTGAATCCGAACATTTAAATAAACCTGAATCTGAACATTTAAATAAACCTGAATCTGAACATTTAAATTAAATAAACTTGAATCTAAACATTTAAATAAACTTGAATCTGAACATTTAAGTAAACTTGAGTCTGAACATTTAATTAAACTTGAATCCGAACATTTAATTAAACTTGAATCCAAACATTTAAATAAACTTGAATCTGAACATTTAAATAAACTTGAATCCGAACATTTAAATAAACTTGAATCTGAACATTTAAATAAACCTGAATCTGAATATTTAAATAGACTTGAATCTAAACATTTAAATAAACTTTAATCTGACATTTAAACAAACTTGAATCTGAACATTTAAATAAACTTGAATCCGAACATTTAAATAAACTTGAACCTGAACATTTAAATAAACTTGAATCTGAACATTTAAATAAACTTTAATCTGAACATTTAAATAAACTTGAATCCAAACATTACTTAAACTTGAATCTGAACATTTATAATTATCAATTTAAAAAACCTTAAATATCTAAGCAATAATATCTCTGTGGTTTAGTGGGTTTGTGCTAGGTTTTCAATTAAATTATTATCGGTTCGATTCCTATTTGTTGTTTTTTATTTTTTATGCGTTTTAATTTAAATCAAATTAATTAAAAAATATTTATCTATTTTTAAACTAAAATTAATTTTTTTATAGTTATTATTTTCTTCTCTACCCTCGTATATTTTATGGAAAAAGACGAGCCAAACACAACATTCACGTCTATTCCTGCAGCTTTTTGGTGGTACGTCTATTATATAATTTCTAAAATTTCTATTATTTTTAGGTGCCTTTTTTCACAAACCAAATGGGTGCCACAAACTGCATGTAAAAATATTTATTTTAAAGAGTTTTTTTAAATAAAATTTTTTAGCCGGCAAAATAGTTGGTGGAGGTGCTATAATTTGTGGTGTTTTGGTACTTGCTTTGCCTATTGCTATATTGGTTGGTAAAAAATTAGTTTTTTTTGAAAAAATTAAAATTGTCTTCCCATTGTAGCTCTGGGGTTTGATTTACTGTCCTGGGCCTGTAGTCCAGGAAAAACCCCAGGAAGGTCAAAAATGCCTGGGCTGGCCTCTTGGTACAGGAAAAACCCAGACCTTGGTCCAGGCCCACTTCGATCCAAGAGAACCAATTTGATCCGCTCACTCAATAAAGAGTCAAGAACAGCCCTTTCCTAAACACAAATTTAATTTCAGGTTAACAATTTTATGCAAGTTGTTCGTCTACGAGAAGAAAAATTAATTAGACAACAATATTATGTAACAAATACAGCAAGTGGAGGTTCTATAGTTGGTGGCGAACATCGAGTTTAATGATTGGAAAATTTCGAGATTTTTAATAAGAACATTCCAGAATAATTTTGTATCTAGTCGTATTTTATTTTTATTGTATGTAAAATCAATAAATCGATAAAATCAATATATCGATTTTTTAAAAATTTTAAAAAATTATTATTTTCCAAAAAATCGATAAAAAATCAATAAATCGATAAAATCAATATATCGATTTTTTAAAAATTTTAAAAAATTATTATTTTCCAAAAAATCGATAAAAAATCAATAAATCGATAAAATCAATATATCGATTTTTTAAAAATTTTAAAAAATTATTATTTTCCAAAAAATCGATAAAAAATCAATAAATCGATAAAATCAATATATCGATTTTTTAAAAATTTTAAAAAATTATTATTTTCCAAAAAATCGATAAAAAATCAATAAATCGATAAAATCAATATATCGATTTTTTAAAAATTTTAAAAAATTATTATTTTCCAAAAAATCGATAAAAAATCAATAAATCGATAAAATCAATATATCGATTTTTTAAAAATTTTAAAAAATTATTATTTTCCAAAAAATCGATAAAAAATCAATAAATCGATAAATCAATATATCGATTTTTTAAAAATTTTAAAAAATTATTATTTTCCAAAAAATCGATAAAAAATCAATAAATCGATAAAATCAATATATCGATTTTTTAAAAATTTTAAAAAATTATTATTTTCCAAAAAATCGATAAAAAATCAATAAATCGATAAAATCAATATATCGATTTTTTAAAAATTTTAAAAAATTATTATTTTCCAAAAAATCGATAAAAAATCAATAAATCGATAAAATCAATATATCGATTTTTTAAAAATTTTAAAAAATTATTATTTTCCAAAAAATCGATAAAAAATCAATAAATCGATAAAATCAATATATCGATTTTTTAAAAATTTTAAAAAATTATTATTTTCCAAAAAATCGATAAAAAATCAATAAATCGATAAAATCAATATATCGATTTTTTAAAAATTTTAAAAAATTATTATTTTCCAAAAAATCGATAAAAAATCAATAAATCGATAAATCAATATATCGATTTTTTAAAAATTTTAAAAAATTATTATTTTCCAAAAAATCGATAAAAAATCAATAAATCGATAAAATCAATATATCGATTTTTTAAAAATTTTAAAAAATTATTATTTTCCAAAAAATCGATAAAAAATCAATAAATCGATAAAATCAATATATCGATTTTTTAAAAATTTTAAAAAATTATTATTTTCCAAAAAATCGATAAAAAATCAATAAATCGATAAAATCAATATATCGATTTTTTAAAAATTTTAAAAAATTATTATTTTCCAAAAAATCGATAAAAAATCAATAAATCGATAAAATCAATATATCGATTTTTTAAAAATTTTAAAAAATTATTATTTTCCAAAAAATCGATAAAAAATCAATAAATCGATAAAATCAATATATCGATTTTTTAAAAATTTTAAAAAATTATTATTTTCCAAAAAATCGATAAAAAATCAATAAATCGATAAAATCAATATATCGATTTTTATTCAACAATTAAAACAAATGAAACAAAATATATTCTCTAAACTTTCTTTCCTTGTTGTCTCAACAAATAATTTCGTAAACTTAATTGTCGATCTCGAAAAGATCTCTGACGATTTTTGCCACGCATTTTGTGTTGCACCATTTTAAAGTTTTTGCGTTTTGCCAATTCTCTGTTTGTTCTGCCAACATGTGCTCCCTTTAAAAAATAAATTTTAAAAAGTTTTCTCGACCTTGGAAAAATTTTTTAAAAATTTTTAAAATTTTTAAAAATATTTTAAAAACAAAAGAAAGAATAAAATACCGATCGGACATTTTATTCCCAGCGGACTCGAACCCTCGACCTTTATCAAATTTCAAAACAGGCTTGGAATAGTTTTAAAAAATTTCACAAAATTTTTTTAAGCTTGAAAAAATTTATGAAAATTTTTTAGAAAAATTTAAACACGTTAGAAGCTGAAATAAAAAATAAAATACAAACAGCGGACTCGAACCCCCGACCCTCCTCCCAAAAATCAGACGCCCTAACCATTACACCAACACGACTACACTCAACTTTAAATAAAACTCGAATAAATAAACTTGTTTTTTAACCTTCTTTTTTGGTTTAGCATAAGTTGTTGCTCTATCTTCCCTGCCTAATCTAACTTGTTCCATTCTTTCTTCTTTTGTTTGTTTACGTTTTTTACTAAAATGTTCAATGTTTTTAAGGCGGGGTAAGCCGTCTAATGCTGAAGATTCTTCTTCTTCGTTGTTTTTATTTTCTGTTGTTTCCTCTTCTTCTATTTCTTCTTCCTAAAAATTTATTAAAAAATTTAATAGATTTAAAAATTAAAATTAGAAAAATAGACAATTATTCCAGATTGTCGGTCTGGAATCGAAGAATCTAGAGGATTTTTCAGTCCAGTTCTGGATATTCAAAAAAAATTTCTTGAAAACTGACAACCTTCTAGTTATAAGAAAAATCCTTTTTGAGGTCCTTATAAACTAAAAATCAGGAAAAAAGTTTAGGAAACAAAAAATAGCGAGAAGTAACATTTAACTTCAGGAAAATTTTATTAATTCGCAAAAATCCCTAAAGGAAGCCCTAGGAAAAAAGTTTGGACTTAAAACTAGTAGATTTAAGAAACCCGGGATAAACGTAAAACCCAAGAAATCACCTAAAAGAAAAAAAGGGAATTGAAGTTTTCTAGAAATTCAAAACCACAAAAATATTCATTGAATTTAGGGAATGTTATGGAAAAAAATCTTTTAATTCCCAAACAAAAACTACAGGGAAATTTGTATTAATTCTCAAAAACCCCCAAAGAAGCCCCAGAAATCTAAACTTAAACCAACTCATCTCAAAATAATTCTAAAAAAATTAAAAAACCTCCATCGATTCATTATCCTCAGATTTATCTTCATTTTCTTCCATTCCCTCCTCCTCCTCTTCATCCAATCGTTTCTGTTTTTTAGGAGGTCTTCCTCTGTCTTTATGATGCAATAAATGAGGCTTTTTAGTTCGTAAAAGTACAATTAATGAATGAGCAGCCATTGAAACATTTTTATTGTGGATATGTTTATACTATAATTTTAATTAAAAAATTTTTCTCGGTCCTTCGGTTTCAGGGAAAGGGCCAGGTTGACCAAAAAGTAGGGTCAGGTTCCGGGGTTTCCAAAAAAATTTCGGATCGACTATCGGATTTAGGGTAACCCTGCCTATCCCATTCGATTTATCCACTATTTTTCCGCCCATAACTTTTCAAACCTTTATCCAAACTTTACAAACCTTATATCATTTTAAAGCTCTGAATATGTAAATTCTTTTTTCTAAAAAAATCAACTCGATTCAAGTACTTCACTCACAGTTACACCCAAAAAGGTAAAGGAAATCGGTACTTTTGTTGTTTAATTGACTACAACTTTTAAGGAATATTTAAAATAGATTAGTCCTTTTAGGAAAAATAATCTACAAATTCAGGGCTTCCAAATGATATATAACTTGATATAAAATCTTGGGAAAATAAAAAAAGTTATGAACCAAAAAAAGTGGGAGGGCGGAAGGTAAAGGACTAGGAACACCCCCAAAAATTTATTTAAAAAAAATTCAAAAACCTCAGCCAAATCTCTAACCATTCCCTCATTTGCAGCATCCGGACAATTTGCATAAATTTCTCTTATAGTGTTTAATCCAACAGTTATAGCCTCTTCAGAATTTCGATCAGAAACAAAATTTTGGGCAATAACTCTAACCTTGATAAATAAGAATTAATTTTCAAAAAAAATTTCAAAAAAAACCAATTGTTCAATAATATCAGAAGGAACAAATTCATGGCACGCTTGTGCTGCATATAATAATAATCGAGTAACTTGATTTTGTTTGGGTTGTAAATAACGATGCAAATAAGAATAAAAGCCTAAAGTTTGTAATTTATGTATTCCAATAACTCTTGCACAAAGAGAAATTTGTAAAAGTCTGAAAAAAAAAATTTTAAAAATTTTTAAATTAGTTAAAAAAAATTTCTAAAAATTAAAAAAAAATTATTTCCCCAAGAATACTGATAGAATTGTTAATGTTGTTAGATCACCCCTTCAATAAATTTGTAAAAATTATAATTTTAAAGGAAATTTCTTTAACACAAATTTAAAAATTCATAATAAATTTTAAACTTCAAAAAATTAAATTAAAAACTTTAAAAAGTTAAAAGAATCGAAGAAAAAATTAAATGCCGCTAACAGGGATCGAACCTGTGACCTTGGGCTTATTAGACCCACGCTCTAACCGGCTGAGCTATAGCGGCACATGTGAGAGGAAATTAAAAAAGTTGTTAAGTATTAATTTGAAAAATGATTAAATTGTGTTTGTTTACAATTCTGATCTCAAAATGTTCAAATAAAATTCTGATTATTCCAAAAAATATTTTATTAAAATTCTGGACATTCCGAAAAATGTTTTAATAAAAATCTGATTTTTTCTGGGCAATCCCGGAAAATAGGGGTTTCTTTAAAAAAACTTTAGAACTAAGAAAAAAGAATTTTTCTAGGGTAAAAGGGTAAAATTGAATTTCGTATACCTCCTCCTTTTTCCTTCCTCAAAATATTAAAAAATGGTCAGACAGCTAATCAAACTTTTAGTTTATAGAACTCGTCGAGCTGTGTCTAAAAACGCCTAGAACAAACCCCGGTCTTAACTTTAGGCCGAGATATAAACAAAAACCCTGCGTAAAAAAAACAAAACATAAACAGACTTTAAATAAAACCTTAAATAAACACCAAAATATTCAAAAAACTTCTAAAAACACACACAAACAAATATTTAAATAACCAAATAAACCACAACCAAACAAAACTTAAAAACAACAAACACAAATAAAGAACATTTAAAACAAACAACCAAAACAAAAAAACATCAAAACAAACAAACATTTAAATAAACATTAAAAACAACCAACCAACCTAACAACATATTTTTCATTCCTTTTATGCCCAACCAACAATCCAAACAATTTATCAGCAAATTTTTGGGGGTCATAAATTGATCTAATTGCTTCCAAATTGCATTGGGAACGTGTTAATTTATCCCCTCTTTTGGTTGCTTTCTTCTCTTTTTGAATTTTCTTTTTTGCTTCTTCTAATTGTTTTTTTCGTTTTCTTGTTTTCTTTGTGTATTTGTGTTGCTGCATTAATTCTTTAAGGGGTCTGAAAAGAAAAATTAAAAGAAAAAGTCAGAATGTGTCTAGAAAAAAATGAAATTAAATCAGAAATAGATCAGAAACAAATCAGAAAAATAAGAAAAAAATCAGAAAAACCCAGAACAGAATCAGAAATAAAATCAGAACACATCGGAATAAAACCAGAAGAAATCTAGAACGAATCAGAAAACCAGAAAAAAACCAGAAAAATCAGAACAAAATAAGAAATAAAATCAGAACACGTCATAACGAAATCAGAATAAATAAGAAATAAAATTAGAAAATAAAACTAGAACAAACCATAATGATAAAACCAGAAAAAATCAGAACATGTCAGAACAAAAATCAGAAAAACCAAAAATAAAATCAAAAATGAAATCAGAAAATGCCAGATAGGTCAGAGTATGTCAAAAATAAAGTACGAACAAAACTGGATCAGAAAACCCCAAAACATATCAGAAATAAAAGCAGAAAACAAAACCAAAACAAAATTAAAAAAGAACACGTCAGAATGAAACCAGAAAATCCAGAACAGAAATCAGAAACCCAGAAAAAAATCATAATAGAATTAGAACATGTCATAACAAAACCAGAACAAACTCAGAAAACAAAAACCAGAACAGACTCAAATGATAAAATCAGAAAAAATCAGAAAAATAGGAAATAAAAGTAGAATAAAATCAGAAAATGTCAGAATAGACCAGAATAAATCAAAAATAAAATCAGAATACAAAAACCAGAACAAAACTCAAAAATAAAAAAAATTCATCCAAACTTGTTTTTGTTGTCGATTTCACTGTCATCACTGCTGTCACTTTCCTCCTCTTCCCCCTGCTCATTTTTGCTAGAACCCAGGAAGAAGCGCATAGCAGAAATCTTTAAAGAAAATTTTCGAAAAACTTTCAGAAATTTTCAAAAAAAAACCTGAATTCTCTGTAATTTATTTAAAAACACACTTTCAGCCAAAGCATTGGCTACTTTTTCGTCTTGCCAAAATTGTTTAAGATAAGCGTGGATAAGCACTAATTGGGCTACTCTAGCTAATATTATTTCATTTTCAGCATTCAAAAGTAGACAAAAAAGTTTTTGTTTGAGAAGAGAAGAATCCTTAAAAAATTGAAAAATAATTTTTAGAAACTTTGGTTAAGTGGAGGTAATCAAAAATTTTGAAAAATAAGGTCATGGGTTCGAACCCGTCCGGGGTATTTTAAATTAATTTTAACTCAAAAATGTAAGAAAAGAGCAAAACATTATAAAACTAGCAAAAAAATATTTTAGAAAATTTTTTTTAAATTATCTAAAGATTTTTTTATTGTTGGTGTCCACCCTTACTCTCCCTATACTATTCTTTTTTGGCCATAACTTTTTTTTATTTCCGATACTCAAGTTATATATCATTTTAAAGCCCGGACAATGTAGATTATTTTTCTTAAAAGGACCAACCATTTCCAAAAATTCCACAAAAAGTTGTAGCCAAATAAACAAACAAAAATCACGATTTTCTTTAAATCGTGATGCAACTTTGACGGATTTCTTTAATCGAGTTGGTCCTTTTAGAAAGAAGATATGGACCGAAAAATTAAATTAGATTAAGCCTAGCGAGTCCAAAAAACAATTTCCCCTTTAAAAATATTGAAAAAAAACCTTTCCACTAAACAGCCGTTTTATTTTCTTTCCAGTTTTGCCTCGAGTACAGCACGAACGGATAAACAAACATATCGAGTTGATGATAAATTTTCTAAAAAAAATTTTTAAAAAATAATTAAATAAAAAAAATCACCAAACCTCAACGCCTTATCTTTATATTTCAATAATTTAACAAATAAATCCATACAAACATCCAATTTAATTCTTTTATGCATCGTTAAACGTACTAGAGCCATCGTAAATTGTAAACGTAAATTTGAAGAAATTAAACTTGTATGGGAACCATTTAAATAATTAATTAATAATTCAACAAAGACGGGGGATTTGTCTAAATTAGAAAAAATTTAGACTAAAAACAAAATTTTTGAAAAGTTTGGTTAAGTTGGATAATTGCAAAATTAAGGTTGCGAGTTCGAACCCGCGATGGGTAATTTTTAATTTTTAAAAATTTTAAAGCTATTTAAAAATTGAAAAAAATTCTAGACTGCGCAAAAATTTTTAGAAAAAAATTTTTTTGAAAAGTTTGGTTAAGTTGGATAATTTTAAAATTTCAAAATTTAGGTCGCAGGTTCGAACCCGCTCAGGGTATTTTTTAATTTTTAAAAATTGTAAAGCTATTTAAAAATTAAAAAATGAATTTTAACCCAAAAATGCCGAAAAGCAAATTTTTTTGGTTAAGTTGGATAATTCAAAAAATTGAAGAAAAATAGGTCGCGGGTTCGAATCCGCTCAGGGTATTTAAATTTATTTTTAACCCAAAAACATAGAAAAAGCTAAAAACATCATAAAATAACCAAATAAAATTTTTATTTAAAAATTACCTAAAGATTTATGACTATTTTTAAGTAAAGAAATAATCATATCATCCAAATTTGTAGAATTTTTGTCAGTTGGCACAATTTTAATTAATTCTAATTGTTGTTGAAATTGTTGAAGTTTTTCCTGAGTTTCTTTTAATTCGTCGGGGAACATTTTCTAAAAAATTAGAAAAAATTTTTATAGAAAGGTTTGTAATAGAAATTTAAAAAAAATTAGAAAAACATGGGAACCAAGGGTTTGAAAGTTCATATTAAAATTCTTAACTGTTCACGTAGAATAAAAGTATAAGAAAAAATTAGGGAGGTACAAGGAAAAACAAGGGGTGTATAAAAATAAGAACCAAATTTTAAATTTTCAACTATTGGTAGGAGCCAAATAATCGTTTACTTAATTTCTGTTTTAAAAAATCTTGAAAGCGGGTTTGATTCAAAAAAAGAATTTATGTCCTATACCGAATGAAAACCACAAAACACACAAAAAATAAAAAAAATTCTCCTTAGAAATCAGATACGATTTTATGAAAATAGCCCAAAAAATTCCCAAAAAAAAAACATTAAATTTAAAACAAACCTCAACCTCTCTGTCATCCAATTTTTTACAATCCTTTGAAGATGGCTGTGATTGCTTCAATTTTTGATGTAGTTCAGAAGAATTCGCCTTTTCCACCAACATTTCTTTTAAAATTTAATTGAATTTTTGTGTTCGTTAAACGGTTGATTTTTAATCGAATTTTTGAAGAAAACTAGTTGAAAAAAAGAAAAGAAAATTAAAAATATTAAAATGATTTAAAAATCAATTAAAAAAAAAAAGAAAAAATTTTCAAAAAAATTTAAATATTTCCTACTAACAATAAACCAAAAGCAAATAAATTTAAAAATTCAACAAAAAATATATTAATTCCAATTTTAGCCATTATTCTCATATAAACTTTCCGGTTCTTCTATACTTGTCCAATTAATAGTCTAAAAAATAAAAGTTTAAAAATGATTAAGAAAAACTTGGGACAAAAAAAATTAAAAATTAATTTAAAAAAAGAAGAAAAAGGTAATCAAGAATCTTTGTAAAATTTAAAAAAAAAGGCAAAAAAATTGAAGAAAAAATTAAAAAAATTTTTCAACGACTATTATGCGGTTATTATTAACAACAAAACTGACAAGAGAGAGACGAATGGGGATATTTAAAAAATAGCCATTCAGATTTTTGTTAGAAATCTTTTCTCTCTGGTTCCAATAGTGTTCGAATGGGTTAGGTACTCCCAGTATTGGTATGGGAAAAATCCATTTGCCGAACACTGGTCTCTAGTTGTCATTACATATGTTGACTTTTGGAGGGAAGGGAGGGAGAGGGATACAGGTTCGAACCCGTTTGATGGAAAAAATTCTTTTATTGTAAAAAATTAAACAAAAAATAATTTACATTAAGCCTCCGTTTCCTCGTACTTTTCATGTAAACAGATGTTGTGTTTGGTATAACATGGAATTTTGCAAATTTCCCTCTAAATTTGCTATAAGCCAAAACCATGTCAACTGAAGGAGAATTTTGTAACCAAAAGAATTGAGTTCTGAAAAAATAAAAAAAAATTTAAATTAATTTTTAAAATTTTCTAAAATTCATTTTATTAAGGCAAAATTTAATTTTGAGCCAAAAATCCCTAAAAATTAAATTTTTGTCTAGTTTGGTTAAGTTGGATAAATAAAAATTTTCTTATTTTTAGGGTTGAGGGTTCGAACCCTTTCAGGGATTATTAATTTTTTATCAGTCAAAAAACAATTTTAAACACAAAATAAAATCTTTGGTTCATTTTTTACTCAAAAAATAATTTTATTTTAACACAAAAACCTCAATTTATTGTGTAAATGTAGTTGATCAAGCCGACGTTGTTCCCATTTTTCCCAATATTTCCAACCATCAATTTCTGGATCCATATCTTCCAATTCCTAAAATTTTTAAAAATAATTAAAAGGGAGTTAGACATATCGGGACGGACATTTCAGACATAACCTCCTGATTTTGGGACCTACAGCCAATGGGTCTTACAGCCACTGGGTCTTATAGAGCTCTATTGAAGAAGGGTTTTCATGTTTCAGAACCAATGCAAAAATACGCAAGAGGTTTTTTTGACATAGCAGTCCCGAAATGGCCGTCTCGATATGTCTTTCTCCCAATTAAACAACCTTTAAAAAATAAACAAAAAATTATTTTAAATACTTTGTTTGGTTCAATATCCAATTTAAATATCCAAGAAGGGTATTCAGAATTTGGCCGAATTTCTGGACCTGGAGACTCATCTAAAAAATATAAAAAAAATTTAAAAAGAAAAATGTGGAAGGATTTAAGAGAAAAAAACATTAATTTATTGGGAAGTTTGGTTAAGCTGGTTAAAATAAAATTTAACATTTTATGAGGGTGCGGGTTCGAACCCGCACAGGGAATTTAAACTTTTTCCGGTCTCAAAATGTTTAAAATATAATTCGAGAATATTCTTAACTACTTTTAATGCAAGGAAAAATTTTTAAAAATAGAAAACATTCAAAAATTATGTCAAAAAAAAACGAAATTTCTTCAACAATTTCCAAAAAATCTTTCCAAAAATTTCAACAAAAAAATTAAAAAAACCCAAAAATTCAAAAAATCAAACCTTCATTTTTATAATTTACATTAACATATTTGCACAATTTTTCAGCATCTTCTTCAACATAACTTTCTTCTTGGTCCAGTGGAAGTGCTGTCGATCCTCTTCCTTTAACGGCTGGTTTAGCAGCAAAAGTTCTAGTTGAAGTAATAATTCCAAATAATTTAATATTGGGGAATAAAAGGCGAGAATAAATTTTTAAAAGAGAATATTCCATTCTAAATTTAAAATTAAGAAAAAAATTTTTAAATTCAAAAAAGAAAAAATATTTTTAAAATTGAAAAAACAAATAAAAATTAAATTTTTCAAAAAAAAATTTTTTAATATTTAAAATTTACACCAAAAAATATCAAAAAATAATATACGGAGCATGTCGTAATACCAGTCACAGAAATATCAAACACCCTCAAAATCTAATAGACTACCAAACTGTGGAAGAGTAACGAACATCCCACAAAACATGTGGAAAGGTTGTCAATTAGAGATCAAGATTTTTGAAAAGCCTGGACCTGCTCATAGACTCTGGAGTTTGATTTATTGACCTAGACAGGATCCTGGGCCTGTAGTCCAGGAAAACCCAGGCCCAGGAAAACCACAGTAAGATCAAAAAATGCCTGAACCTCGACTCGGGTACAGGAAAAACCCAAGCCTAAATCCAGGTCCAGCTCGATCTCTATTGCCAACAATCAACAATTTGTGTTTCTTAATACTTCGATGCCTAGGGAGTTTAAGTATTTCGATGATTGGTATTTACGGCATCTCATACAATATGTTAAACAAAAGCACTTTTAAAAGTAAGGCGAAATTGGAAACTACTAGTCAAAATACTGGCCAAAAAATATCCGAAAAAAATATCCGCAAATTTTGAAATCCCAAAAAATAAAAAAATCAATCCATTAACGCCTAACACTAAACCAAAATATTTTTAAATTCAAAAAAACCTTTCCCTATTCAATATTATGATTTTTATATTTAAACCTCTCTAAATTTATAATTTCCCTCTATTTCTTCTCCAATTTGTCCAAATGCTTGCAAACCTCAGCAAAAATATCCTCAATAGTTCCCTCAGCATTTATCTAAAAATTTAAAAAATGTTTTTGAGTAGAAAAGTGCTTCCCTGGAGAATGATAAAAATCCGCTCATCAAAAGCTGTTGAAATGTCAAACCCCCTCAAAAGAAAAGGCTTCCCATGAGGATGGGTTGAGAAAAAAAAGATGAACCGGGTTTGGATAAAGTTTTCAAAATTTCCTTCGGATCGAAGTTTCTGGTCAAGAAAAAAGTCAAATGTTTCGGGTAATCCGAACATCCATGGAACATCCAACCAAGGCCTTATCGAAGTTTCCTTAACAAAAAGAATCTCCGAAATTTTTTTGAAACATTTGGGGCTTGAACAGCAAAATAATTTTGGATTTTAAAAACAAAAAAGGGGCGGAAAAGCATTGAATGAATCATGCAAAATTTTATTCTTTAGATTTTTCAAATATCAAAAGAACATAAACAACCTTTGCCAATTTCCCCTTTCCTTCATAATATTCCACGACCGGTTTGGTTGCCTCATAAAAAGTACGCAAACGATTACGAATTGTTTCCTCATTATCATCTTCTCTACCACTAGTTTGTCCACGAAACATTAAACGTTTAACCAAAGTTTCTTCTACAACATCAAAGAAAATAACCAAATGGCTTGGAGACAACTGGAAAAAAATTTCGAAAAATTTGGAAATTTAGACAATTGATAGGTAAAGAACATAAAGGTTGGCCAGAAAATAGACAGGAACAAGGATTTGCAAATATAAATCTTGGGACAGACATCGGATATCGGTTAGCGGGCCTTATTTGGAATCTACCCACATACCAAAAAACATTCTGGCCCAGCTCTGATAGAAATAGTGAGAGAAATGCTTTTATGTCTTTGGATGCTTCCCGACCTCTAAAAAATTAAGGGAAGGAAATCAGTCAAATTGGCAAGGGAAGGAAATTACAAAAAAAAGAGAATAAATAGTAAGGGAAAGAAAATACTTCTCTTAAAAAATTCCGAACTTTGAAACACCCAAAATATACCCTAACCAAGCCTCACCAATTAAAAAATAAAATTAAAAGAAAACCTTTTCTTCAAAACGCTTTCCTTGTTCAACATCTCTAGGATATCCATCAATCAAAAATCCCTTCGCCCCAGCTTCAACGGCTTTAAGCATCGCCTTCTCAACCAAATCAAGCACCAAATCCAATTCTACAAGTTTCCCAGCTTTGATGGTTTCAGAGAATTGCAAGCCTAGAGGAGAGCCTGAAGAAACTTCTGCACGTAGTAAATCACCAGAACTTGAAAAAATAAAAAAATTAGAGGAAACTCGAAAACACTTAAGTCGCCAGAATCGACCAAAGCCACAAATACACCAAAAAGGAAACCCTCGCCAATGGGTCCAGCCTAGAAAGTCAAAACCCAGGTCAAATCCAAATATTTGGGCGGATAAATGTGACCCAGCGACATCCACGTTAACACCCATAAAGCCTTTATCAAATATTTGGTCCGGGTCATGTCCTTCTAGGTTAATCCCTCACCTTCGCCCAAAAAAATTAAAAAATGTAAACCTCAAATGAGTATAACCATATTTTTTGACAATCAAATCACATTGCGTTCCCTTTCCACTTCCTGGACCACCAACAATGAAAATTATAGGCAAATCTTTGTTTAGAACAGGAGGCATTGATTTAAATTTTTAAAGATATTATCTAAAAATCAAGAAAATGTCTGTTAATGATCGGAAATAACTACAAAAAAATATTTGAATATTTTTTAAAAATAATTGGAAGCAAATTAATATTAGCCTAAAAATATTTATTAAAATATACAGTCAATTTTGAGAGATCGATAAAAATATGGTAATTATGAACTTTAAAACTCTCACTTCGGCTCTACTCCAGTTTATGCGTCCAATCAAACTTTATGAGTCATTGAATTTTTCTTGGTGTTGCAAAGTTGGGGTATGGGTCCAAAACATTTCTTCATGTTCGGGACCTATGCCCACTGGGTCTGGGACCGTTCCTTACCCTATCCCTCGATTTCGGAAAGTTACATAGTTTGATTGGACGCATAAACTTTTATTGGACGCATAAACTGGAGTAGAGCCCTATTCTCATCTAAAATTTTTCCTTATCATAAATCATATTTTTAGAATTCCAAATAGTAGAAAATAAATGCTGAAATCGGGAGTAGATAAATAAAAAGGAGAGTAATAAAGTTCAAAATTTGATAATAATTTTAGATAGTCTGAGGTTTAAGTCAATATATAAAATTTCTCCATAAAAAATAATTAATTCTTATTCCAATTACAATTTTTAATTGAAGACAACAAATTATCAAGTCTCCATGAAAGGAAAAAAAGCCATATTAAAAGAGCTAACAAAAACACTATAAGCAACATTGTAAAGTTAATCCAATGTCGGGTCTTCGGAGTTTTGCTACGCAAATACTTGCAAACGCTACGAATACACTTTTAAAAAAGCATTAAAAAATTAATAAAAAAATAAAATATCAATTACTCAATGTGTCTGTTCCGTGTTTTAGTCTGACAAGGTTGCTAAAGAGGGAATAAATGCTGGAATTGGGAAGTGATAATGAGGAAGAAGAGTAATAAAGTTCAAAATTTAAAAATAGTTTTAAGTAGTCTGAGGTTTAAGTCAATATATAAAATTGCTCTATAAAAAATAATTAATTCTTATTCCCGTTACAATTCCTATTTGAAGCGATATAGTCATCGAGTTTCTTCGAAATGAGGAACAATCCAAAAATAACAACTCCCAAGACCACTATAAGTAGCGTCATAAAGGAAACCCAATTTCGGGGCGTCGAACCTTTGCAAAAAATACTACGAAGACGCTCCTAGATAAAGAATTGAAAAATGAAAAAGAATAAAAAATATACGGATTTTTTCTTTCTTTGCTTTGGAGCGGTTTCACGCAACTAAAAATATTGAGAATTGATTAGAGTCAATATAACACTTTTGTAGGGGATTTTTTGTGAACTAAAATATTCAAAGAAGAAAGACAAATAATCAAGCTGACTTAATAGGAAAACAAAAATACAAAAACTAACAATCTGAATAAGTTTTTCCACATCAATTTGGGCATTAAGTGGTTGTTGAGTAGTTTGTATTGGAGCAGGATATGTTAAAGCTGTTGAAATTACTTCTTCAATTCCACGTCCAGATAACTAAATATAAAAATAGAAATATTTAGGGAAAAAAAAACAAAAACCAGTGATATCCGAACATACTCCTTCTTAACCTTCACATCCTTTGTTCCTCTCATCGAAAAAAATGAAGCTATGAAATATTTGAATGAAGACATATATGAACGAACTGTTTCATACCTTTATAACAGGAGGAATTGATTAAAATTTTTGAAGAAATTAAGTAAAAATAAAGAAAATAATATATACATATTTTTTAAAAATAATTACAGGTAAATTAAAATTAGGTTAGAAATATTTATTAAATCATGCTAAACAAAAAAAGCAAATTTGTGAGATCAAATATAAAATTTATTAATTTTGAACTTTATAACTCATTATTTTTTTATTTTTTTCCTATTGCCAAATAGCGAATTGGGAAAGTAAATCAATAATTGGAGAACAATACGGAGTAAGACGAGTCATAAAATTCAAATAAAGTCAGAAGTAAATTTAAAGAAACCAGTATAGCCACAGTAAAGTGTTATTTGTAGTCTAATTCATTTTTGTAGTCGTTTATTCTTATTTGCAGCCAATCTATCAACTGAATTCTCGATACGATCAAGCGAAGAATTCAACTTAACAAAATTAACATGAAGATGGTAAAACATGATAATAAATAAGACAATAATTCCAAGCACGATTAAAAAGGATAATGTAGAGGAGGAGACAAAGCATATTATGGTAGAAGCTGTAGTATATTGTGGGAGAGGCTGTAGTTCAGCAACGAACTGAATACAAATTAATGACAGTTTTGAAAAAACTAAAACCTGTGAATTATCCTTTCCATTGTTTTTCTCCGGAAAAAAACTTTTCCAGAATTCTCCAGTCTCAGCAGCCATTAATTCTAAACATTATTTTAAGGCAAAAAACAATATTAAATATCAAATTGAAATATAGCATCAAAAACTAGATTGTCTTAAACAAATTTTTAGGGAAGCTTTATTAATAAATTATGCAAAAAATAAGGCAGAAAGATTAAAAAAAGTTGGAACGAATAAGAAACAATCATCACATTATTAGAAAGTTGAAAACGTAAAGACGAGAAAAAATAACTTCAGAAATGACAGAAAATAAATAAATAAATAGTGAAATTTTTCAAAATAACAAAAGTCAAAACGTCCAAGTTAAAAATGTTAAAATAAAATTTTTTGAATTTTTAAATAAAAATTTGATAATTTTTCCAAATTTGAATAACAATTTAGGGAATGTAGTTGCACATAGAAAAAGCCTTTATTCAAAGTCCCAATTGACTCAATGTTTCAGTCACTTGTTTGCAGCAATCAATAGGATCACTAACACTATGTCCAACAGTGCCAGGATGAATAAAAATCTCGTAGTCGTTTCCTCCCTTAAATTTTGTAAATTAAAAATCCGTTATAGAATAGAAGCTTTGCTTCAGCAAGCTTTACCAATAGTTTACGGCATCTTAGCTTATTCGGTTAGTGCTTAGTTTTAGCAGGAGTAAGGGTGGAGGTTCGAACCCGGTTGGCGGTCATATTTTTCAAAAAGCTATAAATTGACTTCCTTATTGAAAGGACGCTTTGCATACTATCTTAACACAAATTTGCGGCATTATAGCTTAGTCGGTTAGTGCTTAGTTTTAGCTGGAGGGAGGGCGAAGGTTCGAACCCGGTTAGTGGTCATATTTCTTAAAAAGCTATAACTTACTTTCCTTATTTGTTTAAGCCATCAAAAAATTCTTTTAAAATTTTTTAAAAATTTATTTAAACTCACAGGCGTCGTTTTATCACCAAAAAAGTGAATAGCCTCATATTTGGGTTCCAAATATCGCAAACAGAATGTTTTATCCCACCCAGAGGGGAATATATCGATACTTATTTGTCCACCAATTGAAAATTTGAGTGAATGTTCGTTTACTGGAAATCGTTGTTCTAATGCCTTTACAAAGTCTTGACGAACAGGAAATTTATTTTCGTATTCAACAAAAGACATTCGCTCTTCTTGGGTACAGCTACGGCCTATAGGGCAGACATTCATCTAATTAAAAAAATTTTTTAAATTTGATTTTAATATACCATTCCATTCCGAAGTTCAATAAAAGTCCCTCGTTTAAGCGGCAAATCAATTTCTGACAAATAGCGAAGACAAAAATTTGTCAAGTCTTGCAAGCGCTTTTCACCAAGTTCTTTTGTTATTGACTAGAGAAAAATAAAAAAAATAAATTCAAGAATATAAAATTCCGGAAAATAGTTACGGAGGTGAATTAACTAAAAATGTCCGGAAAGGATTAGATGTCTAAAACTCAGTAAAATACAATCTTAAAAGAAATATTCCTTTCCGGAAAATACATTTCATCAAAGAAATAGTATACTATTTACCGGGAACAGAAAATCAGAGAAAATACATTCCGTAAAATAGTACTAAAATTTACGGAAATATTTCCGGAAATTTCCGGAAAATACATTTTTAAAAGGAAAGTATATTCTCTTCCGGAAAATACATATATCCCAGGGCTCGCATCGACAAAATGCCACTCAAAAGTATCAAAATCTCGATTAAAAAGCATATAGGGAGAAAATTTGCAAAAAAAAAGTAGTCTCAAAATTAAATTAGAAAATATTTATTCGTCCACAAATCTTTCATATTTTTCTCCTAAATGAATCTTTTCTAATAATTTTTGTTTCAACTGAGCATTTTTGTCAATTTCAATGCATCTTTTGTGGCGCCGAAGGTGCCAAAAAATCTATTTTTTGCGCCGCAGGAGAAAATTTTTAGAATTTTGGAGGCCGAAGACCAGAAAATTCACTTTTTTGCCCAATCCCTTTCCCAATTTCATTTTCAATCAAAAAAAGTATATACTTTCAAAAAAGTATGAATTCAATTTCGTAAGCATGGAGGTCGATTTAAAAGTAGAATACTTTTAAAAAAGTAGGAATGCGAGCCCTGATATATCCTGTCAAAGAAATATACATATTATTTTCCGGAAAACAAATAGAGTAATATTCTATGGAAATCCGGAATAGTATATTCCTTTCCGGAAAATATATTCTATCAAAGAAATATTCTTTTCCGGAAACTATATTGACAATGAATTAAATGCTAAAATTCCGGAAAACACATTTAGAAAAAGAAATACTAGTATATTATCTTCCGGAAAATATATTCCGGAAAAAATATTCTAACCCCAAAGCAAACACATTCCGGAAGGCATACAATTTAGAAAAACCTTCCGGAAAGCCAATTTAAAAATAGAAAAAATACCGCTTTCGGTAGCTCCTCAACGCCTTCAAACCCCATTAATCCATTCTCAGCAAAAATAAACGAAAAAAGTCTTAGCAATTCGTTGTTTTCATTCGGCAATTGTTCGAAAATTTTGCACAAATCAGAACCGCCAACTACAGCAATAGGTACTCGTTGGCTTAGATTGCGCATAAATTGAAGCATCTCATCCGTTATTTTCTGAAAACAAAATTTTTATGGTACTTATTGGTTATCCCAAATTAGTTTTTGCGGACATTTTATGCGGACTCATTTTTGCATGGAATGGTCAAAGGTTCTTTATTCCTCGATTTTTCCTGTGCTCTAATTGAATGAAGCCACAAGGAAAATTGAGTGAAATCGAGGAAGGAAGAACCTTCTTGCTTTGTTGGGCGGAAGAAGCTTTGACCATTCCGTGCAAAAATGAGTCCGCATAAAATGTCCGCAAAACTACTTTGGGATAACCAATAAGTACCTTTTTGGTATATTTTTTCAACTAATTTTTGCTTCACATTTTGTTTCAGAAAAAAAAATTCGGAAACGTTAAAAATAAAATTCAGGAACATTTCAGAAATGAATTAAATAAGAAATTCCGGAAAACACATTCCAGAAAGTAATAAAACTGTGAAAAAAGGGAAAAATACGTACATTCCAGAAATTAAATATTTAATTCTGAAAAATACATTCCGGAACAGAATCTGTAAAATATGTAGCAGAAAACACATTTCAAGGCTGTAGTGTAGTGTACCGGTGGTAAAAGTTCGGGACGTGACATATGTCATTCGATTCGTCTCGACGAGCTGAGTCGAATGGTACCACTCCCTATTTTAGGAAATGATTCTGGACCGAGTTATAGGTCCCGAAAAATTGAAAAACCATAGGGGGGAGTAAGCTCGATTTTGGGGTGAAAAATTCGAATATGCAAATAATAGCTCATTCGAAAGAGCTCGTCGAGCTGAGTCGAATGACACCAAAATCAACGAAATCTGACTTGATTTGACAAAGTTATGCTCGTTTGTTTTAGCCCCTTACCTATGGCATCTCTGGAGATTTTTGCTGCTACGGAGGCCCCAAATACGTCCAGAGCAAGGGAGTTGGGAATAGGTTTATGTTACAAGCCCAGACCCATCGCCCGTAGACTCCCCGCGAGGCGCGTGCCGCAAAACCCCGCGCGAAGCGCGGGGTTTTGCACAAGCGCCTCGCCGACGCCCCATAGGTTTAGGTTTTTTTTTGTTTTTTGTATCATAACTTTGTCTAAACTTAAACAATCAAGCTGATTTTGATGTCATTCGACTCAGCTCGACGAGCTCTTTCGAATGAGCTATTATATGCTTTTTCGAATTTTTGACCCTAAAATCCGCCCTATGGGTTTTGACCATTTCGAGCCCTATATCTCGACTCCAACTTGTTCAATCAAGCTGATTTTGGTGTCATTCGACTCAGCTCGACGAGCTCTTTCGAATGAGCTATTATTTGCATATTCGAATTTTTCACCCCAAAATCGAGCTTACTCCCCCCTATGGTTTTTCAATTTTTCGGGACCTATAACTCGGCCCAGAATCATTTCCTAAAGTTGAGAGTGGTACCGTTCGACTCAGCTCGTCGAGACGAATCGAATGACATATGTCACGTCCCGAACTTTTACCACCGGTACACTACACTATATCCCATTTCAATAATAAACATACAAGTTCTGGAAAACACAAAATAAATGACAGAATAAAATTCCGGAAAATAAATTCTGAAAACCCCATTCCAGAAAATATTTAAATTCTGAAAAATACATTCCGGAAGCAAATAAAAAATATAAAAATTGCTTCCGGAAAATTGCTTCAAAATTAAAACAAAATACATATTACTCACCTGTCTAGGCATTGTAAGCGTTCCATCAACATCAAAAAGAAAAATTACTGGAGCCTTTTTAGTTTGTTGTGTTACATTAAGTTCGTCTGATTTTTCTCCCCCATTATTAGCTGCTTCTGCTGGCATTTTTTAAGAAAACAAAAATATTTTAAGAAATTTAGAAAATTTTTATAAAAATAATTTATGAATAAAGCATTATTTTTAGAGTAAAAATAAATTATTTAAAAACGTTTTATTTGTTCATTTAAACGTGGCAGTAATTTTTATTTAGTAAGATTTATATAAATGCAACGTGGAAAGAATATGTAAAAATAAATTAAAATTAGGGAAAATACTTTCCGGAAAAGTATTTTCTATTTTATAGTAAAAACACATTCCGGAAACACTTTCCGTATTTTTCCGGAAAATACGGCAATATAAAATTCAAAAACACATTCCGGAAGTGTCCAACATAAATTTAAGAAGTATTCCGGAAAGTATTTTTCAGGAAATAAAAATAATTTTAAAAACACATTCCGGAAAGGAAATATAAAATTCAGTAAACATTCCGGAAAATACTTTCCGGAAATGAATTAAAATAAATAGAGAAACACATTCCGGAAGTGTCCAACATAAATTTAAGAAACATTCCTGAAAGTATTTTCCGGAAATTATAAAAATAATTTAAAAAACACATTCTGAAAAAGTATTTTCCTGAATGTATTTTTAACAAATACAATGAGATTTACTTAAGTGAAAAAATAAGTAAAAAGTGAGGTAGAGTAATTATAGATTGAGGCAAGGTTAGAGGACATTGGATTTTATTTAAAAATTTTTTTTAATTTTTAATCAGCCAAAATACAATCAAGTATAATATTAATGCCCAAACTTACGACATTTATTTAATAACAAATACAAAACAGAAAAATAGCCTATAAGAGAGGCAAGTAATCCAAGTAAAGCAAGAATTGCAGTAATAAATCTATTCGTAAAAAAATAATTTTTACTAAAATTTCCAAAAATAATATATTCAAAAATAAAAAAGAATAGAACCAAAATAAAGACGAAAATTATAAGAAAGAATATAACATTCCAGCAAAGACAGTATTTATTAAAAATTGAAGTGATTAAATCCTTTTTTGCCGAGAATATTCGGCATGAGCGTATAATTTTATACAAAAATAGGAAAGATAAATGGACAAAAGATAATAAAAAAATTGTTGAGAGAAGTGCCAAAACGGGCCCAGATTTGCCCAAATCTGGATCAGAAACTATAGTTGTGAAAGCAATCCAGAAACCTGACAAAATTAGCAAAAAGAAGACAAAAAAGAGTGAGGCTGTTAAAAATGCCAAAATTCCATGCAAAATTGAATTGAGACAATTTTTGTTGATTGAAGCAAAACAGTTACGAAGCCAGGAAATAAACTTCTAAAATAGGACAAAAATTTTATTGTGGTTAACCTGATGACTCTGAAGAATTATTTAAAGACCTATAATTTCTAAAAGGGAATATTGAGGGATTTAAAAGGATTAAGAGGGATACCCATTTTTGTATTTTAAAATATGTGGTGTGGTATTGTAAATAACTACCAACTTGTCAAATTCTTTCTAGAGCTACAGGGGGCTTCAGAGGCCGCTGGGGCGACGACTACTACTCTTTTATCCTTTTAGATAGTTTAACCTCCGCCTAAGCGTTTTGAATGCTATAGGTGAATCATCCTTACAATATTCAACGGTGAGTTAAGCCGGTAGGATTAAACCGGTTAAGATTAAACCTGCGAAAATGTTGATAGTGCTCGCTTGGCTTCGCTTATATTATCTATGCAAGTGCTCTACCTGAGCTATTGGGGCAACTATAAACAATTTATACATTGTTCAAACGCTGCTATGTGAAACCTTGGGGCAAAGTTAGATAGCTGAAAACTATGCTTCTTATTATCACCTTTCGAGCTCTCTTAACTCGAAGTTTTATACCACTAATTTTAATGAAACACCTGAAAGTTAATCATCAGCTTTTGACTTTTTTTAACCTCTTTGACAGCATTTCCATTTTCAATCAGCAGCTTGGCATCTTAAAAATTAAAAAAATTTTTAATTTAGCAATCAAGAAACCTTTATTTTTCTCCACTTTAAGATCACTTCCACCATTCCCTGTTTCTTCTGTTTTTGGTCCATCTGAAGAAACAAATCCACTTGCAGACTTTCTATAAAATTCTATATATATCATATCTTTCTCAGTCAGCTTGCGTGAGTTTGGTTCCATTTTTGTTAAAAAATCTTTAAAATAAAATTTCCTTAAAAATTTTAAAAATAAAAAAATATAAGAACAAATAATTAAATAATTGTAGTTCTCAAATATACAATTTTTAAAATTAAAATTTATAAAATATCCTTGAGATTTATTCAATTCTTAATGAGATTTATTTAAAGAATTAATATTGAAAAAATTTGTAAAATATCCTTAAAAATTGGTTAAGACGCAAATATAGATTACAAAAATAAATAAAACGGAAAAACACATTCCGGAAAAGAATCTAACGAAATTTGATAAATATGTATTCCGGAAAGTATTTTCTTTAAAAAATAATTTAAAAGATTAGAGGGTTGAAAATATGGTTCTATTCGACCATTTACTAATGTAAGCATTATATCAATACAGACCTCTATCTAAGCTCAAATTAATAAGCATTATACGCAACAAAGAAAAATAAAATAAAAGAAGCAGGGTTACCCCAAGAAAAGCAAAAAGAGAATTAACAAATCTATTTTGAGTAAGTTTGTTTTCAGAAAAATTATTGTCAAAAATAATAAATTTAAAGATTAAATAGAATGAAATTGAGAGTAAAACGAGGGCTAATATAGTCGATAAAATTAACCAAAAAATTGTGATTATTGTGTGAATTGAGGTTATTAAAGGTCTATTGGATGAATTGGTAGGGCGAAAAAATGGAAGGTTTAGTAACATACTAAAATAAAAAAAGAGAGCAACGGAAAGGACAAAAATAGCACAAAATACATGAAACATCCAATATTTGTTTGGAGGGGAGTCAAAAGCAAAGTCTTTAAACACACTCCAGAAAACAATCCAGATTAGCAGAAATACAAGAATAAAGGTAGTTGCAGCCAAAAATGTCAATATTTGATTATAAAATGAATTGAGAGAGGTAAAGTTTATTGAAGAAAGACGATCATAAAGCCGGTTAGTAAAGTTCTTAAATGGAAAAAAATTATTTTTATAATTTAAAAAATTAATTCGGTACTTATACCCCTCTCACCAATCAATTTTTAAAATGTCCATAATGGTCAGTCAGTTAGTCAGAGCCTGTCGAGCTAAGGAGAATGACACCAGAAATAGTGTCATTCGCCTCTAGAATCTCTAAGCCGAATTACAAGGGGGAGGTTCAAAGATGTCAAAAAACACAGGTTACGGGGGCTCAAAATGGTCAACTTTTGAGTTAAGTTTAAATTCAGTTTTTTAATTAAAAAATTTTTTAATTTAACCTGCGCTTTATTTGTATCTTCTTTAACATTTTTAAAACGATAGATTCCATTCTTGACGGTGACATCTAAAAAGCTCCCCATAACTTTTCCTTTTTTAAATTAAAAATCCAACCTTTACTTTCTTCAATTTTACAAATCAAATCAATATCAACAGGAAATTTGACAACTCCATTTGTTTTCGATCCATTTAAAGAACCAAATCCACTTTCTGTTGAAGTTAGGCTCGTATCACAAGTAAAATTTGTCAACTTGTCAAAGTTTGTATCCATTTTTTGTTAAAAATTTTTAAAAGAATTTTTTTAAATAAATTTAAGAATTTAAAAAATAAAAAAATTGTAATTACTAATTATACAATTTAAAATAAATTAAAAAATATCGCTGAGGTATTTATTTAATTATTGAGATTATTTTGGAAAAGCTCTAGAATAACAGTGGTCCTTATTCCGTCCTTCAGACAGTTTTTACTTAATGTACAAAATGGTCAGTCATTTTCCCTTTCATATAAGGTTGTTATCGATCTGTTTCGAAATTTCCATGTTCGAGGTTATTTTTCTTTCGATTTTGGTATTTTTGATGATTTTTTATTTCGAAACAGCCTTGGATAAAACTCTACAGCGGTAGGGGACACTTCAATTCCGGGACGTTTCAGTCCCGAGCTCTATAACTCGAGAAGGTTCGAGTAGTTTTTGGAACTCTTGGTATCGTTGGATGGAGGATTAATTAAGCTACAAAATAAGCTTATGATCGAAAAATTTGATCGACAGATACCAAAGTTATGATCAAAAAACATGCAAAAAAATGACTTTTTTTAGAATGGCGGTTTTTTGACAATAACTTCATTATCAGTTAATAAAATTATTTTATCTTTGGTATCATTTTGTAGAGAATTTAATCCTCTATCCAATGATACTAAAAGTTTAATAAATTATTTCCAAATTCCCGAGTTACAAGCTCGGGACTGAAACGGCCAGGGACTGAAGTGGGACGTTCAGACTCCACAGTTAAGAGATACTCAAAAAAATTTTAATTAACCAAATACAATAACAACAATAACAAATTAACCAAATAAAATAAAGTAGAAAATTACCGACCACAAAAAGAATTCTATTCTCTTTGTACTCATTATTAAACAAAAAACATGTAAAATTATAATATGAACTAGCCGTAATAAATAAAAATAAGAGAATATAAAAGCTTAAACAAATAATTAAAAGAAGCTTAAGGAAATATTTTTTGTTAACCAAATTAGGTTTAAATATAAATAATACAAGGCAAACAAAAAGTGAATAAATAGAGATTAGAATAAGGAAGACTAATGATACCGTAGTTGCATTAACAATTATGGAAGGGAAATCTAAATGTCTAACAATTGTAGGATACATGTAGTTGATAAAAAGGTAGTATAAAACTATGATTAGAACAAAACCCAAAATTAGAAGTGTTGACAATAAAAATTTGTTGAGTAGAGAAGTAAGACAATTTTGGATGTTAATCGATGCAAAATAATTAGTAGAACAACGCCAAGAATTCTAAAAAAAATTTTTGGAACGAATTATTATATTTTAAAGTCCTCAATGGTAATCATGGACAATCCGGGAGACACCTTAAAAACACCTTAAAATCCATTATTTTTTTTTGAAAGTAATTCTATGTAGGTAATCGACCATGCTGAGTCCGAATCTGAGCTTAGAATTTGTTTATTTCGAACCCCGGACCCGATTTCGACCAAGTCGAATTCGAGGTAGAAATTCGAAAACACGATATTATGATCATTTTGACTCGTCTCTTTATTCTGAGTCGAATGGTATCAAAATTATTCAGTTTCGACTATTTTGGGCGAAGTTATGATCAATTAAATAACGCTTGGTTAGACTTCCGTATACGAATCAGACATCATAACTTCGTCCAAAGTTGTCGAAACTGAATAATCTTGATACCATTCGACTCAGCTCGAATAGGCGCATCAGATTAGCAATAAATTTTTAATTTCGAATTTTTTACCCCGAATTCGACTTGGTCGAAATCGGGTCCGGGGTTCGAAATTAACAAATTCTAAGCTCAGATTCGGACTCAGCATGGTCGATTACCTACATAAAACTATTTTCAGAAAAGAATATAATAATTTTTAAGGTGTCTCCCGGATTGTCCATGATTACCTCCTCGATAATCTGGTTAGAAGGGCTGTCTACTTTTAAATCACTGGAGAAACCCTCAAAAAATAACACAAACCTTAGCATTAAGCTTTGCCTTCTCCACCAGCTCTTTTAAGAGATTGGGTATTTTTACACTTTTTGTAAAACTTTTGACATCTTTAAATAATTTATTTGAAAATCAAATAATCAAAAGAACCTTTCTCTTTCTCCTCAATTTTATTAGAAATTAAACCAATTTCAACAGTCGCCGTTTCTTTTGTTTTAGGGTCATTTAAAGAGACAAATCCACTTTCTATTGAATTTAGGCTTGCTTTTCTTGTCATATTTGTTTGTGCCAAATTGAACTTTGGATCCATTTTTGTTAAACTTTTAAAGAAAATTCTATATAAGTAAAGATAGTGAGGTAAAATTAAAAAATAAAATTGTAATTATTAAATATCCACAATTAAAAAAATTAAAAAATATTCTTGAGGTATTTATTCAATTAAATTGCTACAGCCCATTTAGGCGCGCGGCCATAACGGCGAAAAGCCATAACTTGCTTCAAGATTTCCTGCTCATAACAAATTTAGTATTAAATGATTCCCCTCATCAAGCTAAAGAGATTGGTACCAAAATTGATTAGGGCCAGAAATTTTTTAGCAAGTTATGGCTTTGCGCCATTATGGCTGCGCGCCCTTCTGGGCATGTCCAATTATATCATGAGATTATTAAATATTCAGATGTGAAAAGAAAATATAGTCGACATTAATCACATCGCTCTCTAAACAAAGCATTTCTAAATCTAACACAAAATTCAGTTTCGATCTCCAATAGAAGATATCAATTAAAGCATGGCATTTGGTAATACTTTTGGTTTAGACACCCCTCCCCCTATTTTTTTCCTAATTTCCTTTGCAGAATCTATCCTCTTTTTAAGCCAAATTATATATCATTCGATAGAGCTCTTTGAGCTGAGTCGCATATTACTAAAATGAACGAAATCTCACTTAAATAAGTTATGTCCATTTTTAATCCCTTGCATCGACAGAATAAGCCTATCCAACGAGGACAGCCTCATAATTTTTGTTAAAAATACCAAACCTAACCTATCTTGGTATCATCGAATCAACTTGAAGAGCTCTTTAGAGTGCTATATAATTAACTACAGATCAAGCAAAAGCTCGAAATGGTCAGTGGGCTTAAAATGGTCAGGGGGTTCAAAATGGTCAAAAAAGCTCAAAATGGTCAGGGGAGAATAAAAACTAAGAAGGTCTAAACCACCAAAGTATTACCCTGCCTTAAAGGAAGGTTGATTAAATAGGTTGAAAAAGAAAAAGAAAAAAATAGTATCCAATGTAAAGAGAATAAATAAATTTTCAAGATAATTATAGCATCCATATCATCAAAAATATGACTTAAAAAACCATAATAGAAACAGATCATAATTATAAATAGAAAACTTAGTAAGATTGAAACAAAGAGATTTGGAATTATTTTAGAAATAATCAAAAACCATTTTGAGTCAATCGAAGGTCGAATAGATGAAATCAATTTGAAAACAAAACTATAAATAAGGAAGACTGGCAAAAATACCAAATAAAATGACATTGAAGCGTGTAAAATTACTAGAAACAAATCTGGCTCCTTATCAGATTTGATATACATGTAGTTAATAATAGAGTAGGTAGATAGATCCGCAAATAAGGTAACAAGCAATAATACAAACATTATTAACAGAAAGTTTTTGGTTAGCCAATTTTTGTTGCAGACTGATGAAAGGCACGTTGTAGTGCCTTGCCAAGACTGCTAAAAAAATTTTTTTGAGGGGAGATTATATTTGTATATTCGAAAATATTGTGGACATTTGCGGACAAGAAATTTTTGCGGACAAATATATTGAAAGACAGACAAGGCATAATTCTCTTTTATGGGCATATATATTGGCTGTAGTTCATCTGAGGACTCGCTCAGACAGGTCGAATTATATATACTATTGGATTCGACTCAGCGAGACTCTCTAGTTGCAGAAATGAATTGAAAAACTCGTTGAGCTCTTTCGAATGAGCTATTATTTGCATATTCGAATTTTTCACCCCAAAAAGTGCTTGGTCCCCCAATGGTTTTTTTTGATTTTCGGGGATCGGTCCAGGCATTTTCGATCCACTCAGCTAATCGATTGGCATTATTTTGACCCGATTCTGAGCGAGTCCTTAACTATATCCCATATATTTATTCAAGTTGTCCGCAAAAACTGTCCGCAAGTTTCCAATCTTAAATCGACCGAGAAAACCCTAATACTAGGCAAAAATTAACAAAAATAAACCTCAGCCTTGAGATTTGTTTTTTCCCCCATCTCCCTGAAAGAATTGACGAACTTTCCAAATTTTGCAAAAATTACGGCATCTTTAAAAAATTTATTTAAAAATCGAATAATCAAAGAAAAACCTTTCTTTTTCTCCTCAATTTTATTAGAAATTGAATCAATTTCAACAGTCGCCGTTTCTTTTATTTTAAGTTCAGTTAAACTAACAAATCCACTTTCTATTGAAGTTAGGCTTGTATTTTCTGTCATATTTTTTTGAGTCAACTTGTCCGAGTTTGAATCCATTTTTTATTTGTTTAAATTTTTAAAATCTACATTTTAAATATAAAATTGTAGTTATTAAAGCAGTCAAGACGGTAATTCCAAGGATAGTCCCCCCTTTTTTTTCCTTTCGATTTTTTTCGATTTTTTAAACTTTTTATGGCAAATTATATATTTTTCGAAAGAGCTCTTCAAGCTGAGTCGAACGGTACTAAATTAATCGAAATCCGACTTAAATAAACATAGTTATGACCATTTGTTTTAATCCCTTTCAACATCACAAAAAGCGTGTTCATCGAGGATTTAGCTTCATAATTTGGTTCAAAATCTCCAAATCGAACCGATCATAGTATCATTCTACTCAGCTCGAACAGTTCTTTCGAATGATATATTGTAAATTATATGTCAAACAAAAAAGCTCAAAATGGTCAGGCGAACAGAAAAAAGGGGGGACCAGCCTTGGAATTATTGAAAAGACTCTAGAAATAAAATAAATATTAACAATTAATTTCAATCTCTAACTAAAAAAAATTTTCTCAATAGAATCCATTGTAAGAGGGAATTTAGCTACAAATTTGTTTAAAAAATAAAAATAAGTAGCTAGAGAACAAAAAAAACAGAATAAACTAAAAAATGCCATAACAATTCTTACTCCTATACTAAAAATATTTTCAATAGTAAAAGTTGTAATATTGACGTAGAAAGAGGAACAGATAAGCATAAAGATGAGAAGAGCTATGACAAACACAAAAATGTTTGGAATAATTTTAGAAAGAGTAGAGAAGCATTTTGAACTAGTTAAAGAAGGGCGGAGGCTTTTTAACACTCCGTAGAGAGCAAAAAAATAAAGACTGAGAAGTAGAACATAAAGTAACATGAAAAAAGACCCACAAAATAATGTAACCTTAAAAATTGCATATTTTGAGGTTAGGGAAAAGGAAAAAAATTTAATTAAAAGAAATGAGCAGAACGCCATAAATAACACAAAAATCAAATTTAGTAATGTTGCTGCCAAAATAATTTTGAATTGAGAAGCAAAATGGTTGTTGATTGATGAAACACAATTTTTAGTACATCGACAAGACTTCTAAATATTTTTGGATGGGAAATTATTTTTAGTTTTGCGGACATAAATTTTTTGCGGACAACACTTGCGGACAAATATTTAATTGGAAAATTCGCATGAAAAGTTCGCTACCGCAGGTCATAACTAGAGCCAGGATTTTTAGACAAGATAATGTTAAAAAATAGGCGCTTATATAGGCACTAAAAAACTGCCAAAATAGGCCCATTTGTGAAGAAAAAGGCATTTGCCTAAAAATCCTGGCTCAGTCATAACTACTGCATCATCTCTCGACGTTGAAACATTTCACCCATGGTTTTCCCCTGCTGTAGGAAACTTTCCCCGGGTGGGGGCTAACTCAAGGAACGACCAACTCAAGGAACAGACAAGTCAAGGAAAAGACAGGTCAATAAACGACCAACTCATAGAATATTTTAAAAATTGGAATTTTTTGAAAAATCTGAATATTTTTAGAAAATAAGAATTTAAAACAAATTAGAATACTTAAAAAACAGAATTTACAAAAAAATTCTGAAAAATTCTGATTTTTAAAATATTCCATGAGTTGGTCGTTCCTTGACCTGTCTTTTCCTTGACTTGTCTGTTCCTCGAGTTAGCCCGACACACTTTCCCCTTCTGTAGGAAAGATTGCCGCGCGGTAAGTTGGCCTGAGGGATTACTTGTTTGTCTGCAAGTTTTTCAATTTTAAATAGAAAGCGCCTCTAGTTTAAATAAAAATTAACACCAAATAAACACCTACATTTGCCTTGGTGATTTTTGCACAAATTTTGGTATCTTTTAAATTATATATATACTTATTTAAAAGACAAGTGTAGTGTTAAAACCTCTATTTTTCTTCCTTTTAGGAATCAAATTAATATTAACAGTCACCGATACTTTTAATATTTCAAATCCAGTTAAATTAATAATTCCATTTTCTATTAAAGCCATACTTGTAATTTTCTTTTGAGTCAAACTGCCTGAGTTTGAATCCATTCTTTGTCAAATTAAAAAAGATTTTTTAAAAAAGAAATTTTAAATAAAAAAAAATAATTTTGATTAAATAATCAAATTTTAAAAAATAAATTTTAAATAAAAATAATAATTTTGATTAAATAAACAAATTAAAAATAAATTTTTAAAAAAATCCTTGAGATTTATTCAATTATCGTGAGATTAAGTATGTATGCATAAAAATGGTTTTAATATTTAAAATTGTGTCAGACCTCTAATTTATTTATACGCCCATGCCTTTATGAGGCATTTTAAATTTTGATTGAGAGAGTTGGGGATTGAGGTAGGATTATGGGAGCCAAAAAATATTTATTTAAATTTAAGGCCGACTGCAATACATACATGTAAATTTTAAAAAAAAAGGCATCGTTACATAACCGTAAATTAGAGATCGAGACATTAGCGCACCTCCCTGACCTCCTAAAAAATTAAAAAATCTTTCTATTATCCCAGATTATAGTTTACATACTAGGTATATATGAATTGGGGGCGAGTACAGCTAGGCGCGCGGCCAAGTAGGCGCAAAGCCATAACTTGCTTCAGGATTTCCGAATCTTTCAAAATTTAGTATTAAACAATTCCTCTCATCGAGTTAAAAAGATTGGTACTAAGATTGAGAAGGTTCAAAAATTTTTCAGCTAGTTATGGCTTTGGACATACCTTTGCACCTACGCATCTCCAAAAATGAGCTTACTCCTCCCTATGATTTTTGACCATTTCGAGCCCTATATCCGTCCAATCATGTTAGGTATAAAAGAGTTGTCAGTTCGACTCGACACCTTTTTTACCCTAATGTGACATTTTGAACATTAATTTAGGGAGGTGTGGCAGAACGGAAGTGTACCGCTATATGCTTTACATTAAGTAGGCAGAAAAAAATAAAAATTAAAATTTGGCCAGTCTCTCAATCTCTAACTAAAAAAATTTAACAAAATAATTCATTGTAAAAGGGTATTTAGCTACCACATTGTTTAAATAATCAGAATAAGTTTTTACGCCACACAGGACACAAAACAAGCAAAAGGTTGTCATAACAATTCTTACAGTTGGATAAAAATTAAATTCCATAGCAAACGTCATAATATTGCAATAATTTGCAGAAAAAATAATTATGAATAAAAGAATAGAGAAAATGCCCATAAAAAAGTTTGGGACGAATTTAAAGAGAAAAGAGAACCATTTTGAGTCGACCAAGGAAGGTTTAAGGCTTAACAACATTTTGTAAACAAAAATAGAATAGTAGCAAAGCAATCCAAAATATCCAAATAATTGTAGAGAACCAAGGAAAATTGTTTGACGGAAAGTTATTTTTAAAAGAAAATTAACGGAGCCGGTAAAGACGTAGAAGAAGAAAGTTGTAAACAACACTGGGACCATAAGCAAGCATGTAGCTACCATAAAGTTGTTGAATAATGAAACAAGATAGTTGTAATTGATTGATGAAAAACTATTTTTGGTACGTTCCCAAAATTTCTAAATTTTAAATTTTTATTTCAAAAAAATTGCGAACAAAAAAATTTTTTGCGGACAAAAAAATTTTTTGCGGACAACATTTGCGGACAAATGAAAAAACAAAATTTGGCATAATTCCATGTCACTATGGGTGTATTACAATCTTCTACTGTAATTTTTGGGGTAAGTCGACCTCAGTATGTTGTCCGCAAAATTCTTCCGCAAAAAATTTATTATCCGAAAAATTTTATATGAAAAATTTCTCCCATTTTAACTCAATGAAGAAGCCTTACATTTAAAAATAAATAGAAAATAACCTCAACAAAGTCGTAAGTCTTCCCGCCCAATTTCTTAAAAAGATTGGTGACCTTCCCAGATTTTGTAGACATTTCGGCACCTTTTTAATCAATTTATTTAAAAAAATTCAATTTAAAAAAAACCTCCATTTTTCTCCATTTTAGGCATCAAATCCATTTTTTGTGTCTTCGGCCCAATTAAAAATCCATTTTCTAACAAAGTCAGACTTGTATCTTTTGTCATAAGTTGAGTCAAATTGTCTGAGTTTGAATCCATTTTTTAATAAAAAATTTTTTTAATTTAAATTTCCTCTAAAAAATATAAAAAAATTTTTATTAAATTCTTGGAAGAAAAAAAATAAATAAAATTGTAATTGATTAAATATACAATTAATAAAAAAATTGAAAAAATATCCTTGAAATGTCTTTATTCAATTATACATATTTGAGATTTAAGTATGTATGTAAAAAAAATTTTTTTTAATAAATAATAAAAGAAAAATTCCTGTCGGACCTAAAATTTATATTCCCCTCAATTTTTAAAATTTTTTAAAAATTTGATTGAAATTCGAGGCCAACTACAATAAAAATTGTAGATTAAAAAAGCACCATTTCATAAGCGAAGATTAGAGATCGAGACATTGAGCTAATATAATTTCATGGCCAAAAATTGCTATCAAAAAAACTTGCGGACATGAATTTTTGCGGACAACTATTGCGGACACATAAAAAAACAAACTTGACATGATTCCATGTTATAGGAAATATTGCTTTTACAAAAAATTATCCGCAAAAAGTTGTCCGCAAAATTTTGTCCGCAAAATTTTGTCCGCAAAATTTTGTCCGCAAAAAATTGTCCGCAAAATTTTGTCCGCAAAAAATTATCCGCGAAATTTTTATCATTCACAACCCAGATTTTAGAGAACGAAAAACTTTCAAAATTTAGCCAGTCTCTCAATCTCTAAAAGAAAAATTTGTCAAGAAAATCCATAGTAAAAGGGAATTTATTCATTATTGTCTTTAAACTAGAAAAATAAAGGTATAGCTGACAAAATAAACCTAATGAAAGGATAAATGCACCACAAATTCGTGCTTCGACACTAAAATAATTTTTAATAGTAAAAATAGTAATATTTGCATAAAAATTGAATAAAATAATTAATAAGGAGAAAAAAGCTATAATGAACACAAAAATGCCTGAAACAATTTTAAAAAGTGTAGAGAAGCATTTTGAGCTTTTTAAAGAAGGGTGGACGACCAAAAATATTTTGTGAACAAAAACAAAATAAAAGTAGATTACTACAAAATAAAAAAATGTTAGTAAAGAACCAAATAATATTGTAGAATTCAAAGACTTTTTAGAATATATAGAACGTGAAATATAATCGGTTAAAGCAAAGTAAAAATTACCCATAATTAATATAAATCCAAAAATTAAAATTGTTGCTACAAAAATTTTTTTGAAAAGAGAAGGAGAATGATTTTTGTTGCTGTTGTTAATTGATGAAAGACAATTTGTAGTGGATTGACAGGATCTCTAAAAAAATTTTTTTTCAGGACATAAGGAGAAAAAAGACAGCATTTATTTAAAAATTTTGCGGACAACATTTGCGTACAAAAAAATTTTGCGGACAACATTTGCGGACAAAAAAATTTTGCGGACAACATTTGCGGACAAAAAAATTTTGCGGACATGATTTGCGGACATTTAATTAAAATAAAAAAAACTTTCTATGAACCCATTTTCTAAAAAACATTCGCTAGCATAATTGTCCGAAAAATTCGTCCGCGAAAATTTTGTGCGCAAAAGACTCATCCGCAAGCCCAGTTTAAAAAAAACAACGGGAGAACCCCTACTTTCAGGTAAAAATAAACAGAAAATCAAACCTTAATATTGTCATTTGTCTCACCTCCCAACTCCTTGAAAGAATTGGACAACTCTCCAGGTTTAGCACTAATTTTGGCATCTTTAAAAATTCATTTTTATCTAAAAAACAGAAGAATCAAAAGAAAAACCTTTCTTTTTCTCCTCAATTTTATTAGAAATTAAACCAATTTCAACATCCATTTCTTCTTTTGTTCCAAGTCCAGTTAAACTAACAAATCCACTTTCCAATGAAGTTAGGCTTGCATCCTCTATCATATTTTGATGAGCTAACTTGTCCGAGTTTGAATCCATTTTTTGCAAATTTTTTAAAAAGGAACTAAATTTTTTTTAAAAATAAATTTAAAAATTAAAAAAAAATAAAATTGAAAATTAATTTACAATTTTTAAAATAAATTTAAAAAAAATATTGTCGAGGTATTTATTCAGTTATCATGAGATTATTATTAAGACTATCATGAGATTAATTTTGCATATAAAAATATAGTCAATATTCAAAGAAAAATTTTTGTCGGACCTCCAATTTAAAATAAATACCAGGAGTGTACCAGTTTCGCGTTTCGCGGATTTTCGCATTTTTTGGAATTTCGCATTTCGTGTTTCGCCTTTAAAATCTGTTTAGGCACACATCCCTGATACCCCTTCCCTCTCCTTTTTTAAGATGGTTTTTAAATTTAGGTTAAACCTTGGGTCAATATGGGAGCAGGGTGAACTTTTCCCAACCCATTAAAATCGGCCGAGGACACTCAAAAATAGGGAAAAATAGGGTAATTGTGAAGAGTACAGACCCCATTTTTTCCTCCCCAGTTTTCCCCCTATATTTTTACAAAATGGTCAGACTTTTTCCTTTCTTCCATCCAATTTGTTTGTAAAAATATAGGGGGAAAATTGGGGAGGAAAAAATGGGGTCTGTACTCTTCACAATTACCAAAAATAGGGCGAAAAGTTTAAAAAAAGGGCAAATGCCCTAGGTAAAAAATTCACCACGTATGGGAGTCTAACAAGAGCATTATTAAATTATTTAAATTCGAGGCCGACTTCAATACAAAATTAATGAAAAAATATATCAGAGGATTGGAGAGATCGAAACATTGGCTAAATAATTTTCTTGGCCCTTCTAAAAATTAAAAAAAATTAAAGTCGCCCAGATTCCAGGCGGAAACAGAGTTCTTCGGTTCAGAAAACCACCGATTTTCGGTTCTCACTCTCGCAAACCCAAAAAATTTTTTTCTCCAAAAATTTTAGCCAATCTTTCAATCTTTAAAGAAAAATTTCTCAATAGAATCCATTGTAAAAGGGTATTTATCCATTACAGCTTTTAAACGAGCAAAATAAATGTAAAGCAACAAAACGAAGGAAAGCGACACGATAGAAATCATACCAATTTTTTCTTCAGCACCAAACTTATCTTCACCAGTTACCCCTGTAATAATTAAATGAAAAGTAGAAAACATAAATATCAATAACAGAAGAGCTAAAATGAATACAAAAATATTTGGAAGAATTTTGAAAAGAAAAGAGAAGCATTTTGAGGAAGTTAAAGAAGGTTGGAGGTTTCTCATGGTTTTGTAGATACAAATAAAATAAAAGCAGATTATTAACAAAAATGCTGATAATATTAAAGAACCAAAGAATATGGTAGAATCCAAAGATTTTTTAGAATTTATGGAATAAGTAATAAAATAGACAAAATAATAGGAGAAGAAAGCTGTTACAAGCACAAAAATTAGAAGCAAAAATGTTGCCGCCAAAAATTTGTTGAGTAAAGAAGCAAGACGGTTATAGTTGATTGATGAAAACCAATTTGTAATAGATCCCCAAGATTTCTAAAAATTTTTGGGAAATTATTTTTATAAACTAATTTTGCGGACAAAAATTTTTGTCCGCAAAACATTTGCGGACAACATTTGCGGACAAAAGTAATTAAACAATTTATCCGCAATAAAAAGGGCTGTAGTGTAGTGTACCGGTGGTAAAAGTTCGAGACGTGATATATGTCATTCGATTCGTCTCGACGAGCTGAGTCGAACGGTACCACTCCCTATTTTAGGAAATAATTCTGGACCGAGTTATAGGTCTCGGAAAATTGAAAAACCATAGGGGGGAGTAAGGTCAATTTTGGGGTGAAAAATTCGAATATGCAAATAATAGCTCATTCGAAAGAGCTCCTCGAGCTGAGTCGAATGACACCAAAATCAACAAAATCCGACTTGATTTGACAAAGTTATGATCGTTTGTTTTAGCTCCTTACCTATGGTTCCATGGAGGGTTTTGCTGCTACGGAGGCTCCAGGTATGCCCAGAGCAAGGGAGATAGGAATAGGTTTATGTTACGAGCCCAGACCCACCGCCCGTAGACTCCCCGCGAGGCGCGTGCCGCAAACCCCCGCGCGAAGCGCGGGGGTTTGCACAAGCGCCTCGCCGACTCTCCATAGGTTTATGTTGCTTGTTTTTTGTGTCGTAATTTTGTCTAATCTTGTTCAATCACGGTGATTTTGGTGTCATTCGACTCAACTCGTCGAGCTCTTTCGAATGAGGTATTATTTGTAAAAAAAATTTTTTATTCCAAAAATCGCCCCTTTGGATCTTCGATATTTAGGGGCCTATATCTCGGTCCAATCAAGTCAGATTTTGTTGATTTTGGTGTCATTCGACTCAGCTCGAAGAGCTCTTTCGAATGAGCTATTATTTGTATATTCGAATTTTTACCCCAAAATTGACCTTACTCCCCCCTATGGTTTTTCAATTTTCCGAGACCTATAACTCGGTCCAGAATTATTTCCTAAAATAGGGAGTGGTACCATTCGACTCAGCTCGTCGAGACAAATCGAATGATATATGTCACGTCCCGAACTTTTACCACCGGTACACTACACTATATCCATAAAAAGTTCTCCGCAAATTTTTCCAAATTTTTAAACCGTTGGAGAACTACTTTTATATAAAATTAATAGAAAAACCTTAACACGGCAAGCTGTCTTCTCCATCGACTCCTTGAAAAAATTGGCGACTTTTCCAATTTTTGCAAAAATGTTGACATCTTTAAAAAATTTATTTAAAAATTGAATAATTAAAGAAAACCTTTCTTTTTCTTTTCAATTTTATTAGAAATTAAACCAATTTCAACATCCATTTGTTCTTTTGTTCCAAGTCCATTTAAACTAACAAATCCACTTTCTATTGAAGTTAGGCTTGTATCATTCGACATATTTTCTTGAGTCAACTTGTCTGAGTTTGAATCCATTTTTAAATTAAAAAAAATTTTTTAAAAAGAAATTTCTTTAAAAAATAAAATTAAAAATAAGAAAAAAAAATAAAAAAAATTGTAATATAAACAATTTAAAATAAAATTTAAAAAAAAAAATAAAAAATATCCTTGAGAAGTATTTATTCAATAAATTATGAGATGCAAAAAAATACGTGAATATTGAAAAGAAAAATTTTGTCGGACACCTCTAATTTAAATATATCACCGTCCAAATTCAATTTGGCCGGCTAAATTAAATTCTGCCGTCCAAATTCAATTTAGACAATAATTTAACCCCCAAAATTTAAGATGATCTTTAAAATTTTGTTTGACTACTGGAATCGGAAGGAACCCAAAAAAATTTATTTAAATTTTAGGCCGACTTCAATACAAAAATTTAAAAAATCAATAGATTGAAACATAGGCCAAAATAGGCACTTTTACAAAATCGAAAAATTTTTTAAATTAAATTTACTTGAAAAAATAAATTTAAAAAATCATGAACAAAAAAAAATAAATTGTTTAAATGTACAATTTAAAGTATAAAAAAATTTATAAAATATTCTTGAGAGATTTATTCAATTAATTAATGAGATTTATTTAAATAAATAAAGTCAATATTGAAAGAAAATTCTGTATTCCAAAGAAAAAAATTATCAAATTGTAAAAAAATCCACACTGATCCCTATAAAATTAAAAATTAAATTTTTTAAGCATTTTTTACTGCAGGACACGCCCAAAACGGCGCGCGGCCAAGTTGGCGCAGTCATAACTTGCTTCAAAATTTACTTATCAAATTTAGTATTAAACGACTCCTCTTGTCGAGCTAAGGAGATTGGTACCGAAATTGAGAGTGGTCAGATATTTTCCAGCAAGTTACTGCTTTGCGCCCTTTAGGGCCGCGTCCGTTTTTGGACAAAATTGAATTCCCCCAAGTTTTTAAAATTAAAAAAATACCTAATCAGGTTACATAATGACAATCTCTTCCACCATTAGTGCAAACATATCTAATAACAAACTTTTCCTCCTCCTTTTTCACATCAACCTCATTCTTTTTGAAATAATCCATCAAAATTAAATACACAACACTAAAATATATCCACAGAACGACAACAAAACAAATTAAAGTAACAATTACAAAAAAGCCCTTCCCCACATGATTTTCTGAAGAAATAATTATTGAAAGACTGATCCAAAGCAGATATCCAATAAGTATGAAGAATAGAAGAAATAATAATACCATAAAAAATAAATTTAATTTGTTGTGGATTGAAATAATTGTGGCTTTGTTGAATTCGGGTAAAGAATAATTAAAATTAGGGAAGCAATCAAAATAGAATAGAGCAATACCATTAATTAATGCAAAACAACAAAGAGCAAACGAGCTGTGAGAGAACATCTAAAAAATATTTAAATTAAAGGAGCTGGTATCAGGACTGTCCGCAAGTGTGGAGACTTGCGGATTTTAAAATAAAAATTGCGGACTGCAGACAGTGGAGATTTTTTTTTTGATTTATGGATAGTCCTGGGTGGTATTATTTCGAACTTTGGGCATTTTTGAATAAACTAATATTTGCGGATTTTTCTTGCGGACAATTTTTGGATTCTCTGAAAGGGATGCTGGTATCCAATTTTTCCCATATTCTTAAAAAGGTTAATTTTCTTATATTTCTCTCTCTATTTTTGATTATTGCCTTAAGGCTATAGAGGATTTTCTTTCCCATTGGATAAATTAATTCATAAAATAATAGTCCGCAAGAATAGTCTACAAATTTAATTTTCATGTATTTCTTAAATAAATAATAATAATTTATTCACTAAAATGGGCGTAACAAGTACGTCTCTTAAATTTAGTACAATAAAAATAAAGTCAAACATTAAACCCAGGACCCCTTTGGAGAAATAAAAGTTTTAAAATACCCAATCTATTGCAATGGTGGCTCCAATTTTAGCTTTGTCAAATAACACTTTGATTAACTCATAAATAATCTTTGAGAACACGAAGAGTTCACCGATCAACTGACGATAGTTAAAATGAACTAAAAAATATATAAAAATTTAAAACGCTTAGGCATGGGTTAAAACATCTAAAAGAGGAAAAGTAAAAGTATTAGTCGATGCCCCAGCGGCCTCTGAAGCCCCCTGTAGCTCTAGAAAGAATTTGACAAACTGGTAGTTATTTACAATACCGCTTACGGGTTTTAAAATACAAAAATGGGTATCTCCCTTAATCCTCCTTCTAAATCCCTCAATATTGCCTTTTAGAAGTTATAGGTCTTTAAATAATTCTTGAGACCTGCGACCACGGAGGGGTCGCAGGTTCGGATCCTTCCCGGTGGCTAAATTTTCACTAAACTTTCTTTAGAAAAATCGTTTTAACTAAAAAACCGACGAATCGAAATAGAAAAAACTTCAAACCCAAAGACATGGGAAAAATTTTTTTTAACGGAAGGGGAAACCCCAAGTTAAAAAAATTAACTTAATAAACCTTCATCTTGTTTAACTTTAGGAACATCCATTTTAACAGTCATTGTGCCAATTTCCTTCATTTTTGGTCGTTTTACACAAACAAATTCGTCTTCTGTTGAAATTAGGCTTGTATCGCTTGCCAAATCTTCTGGAGTCAAATTGCCAAAATTTGAACACATTTTTTTTGTTAAATTTCGAAAAATCTTTAAAAAAAACTTAGGAAAAAAATTTTAAAAAAATATATAAAAATTGTAAAAATGTACAAATTAAAAAAAAATAAAAAATATTATTGAGATTTATTCAATTATCAATTATTGTGTAAATAGCATAAATGAATGACTAGAAAAAAAATGGAAGGAGAAAAGGAAGGAGAAAAAAAAGAAGAATTTTTATATAACGCCAGAAAATGCTTGTGACTATTATTGTACCCTTTTATACTTTTACAAGGACCGCAAAAATAAAATGATCGGTTGGACACTAACATTTTAATAGGCAATCTTCTCATATTAGATGGAAGTATTAGAAATAGGAGAACCTATTAAAGAGGGATAACCTCTTAAAAATGGTTAGAAATGGGGGAAAAAATATTTTTTTACTTCAAAGCCACAACCCCAACATGGCTAACAGGGAAAAACAAAGGTAACCAAGCTTAATGAGAAGGGAAAAATCAGAAAGTCAGCAGGAAATGTAAACTTAAAACATGGAAGACCGCAAAAATAAAATGGAACGTTTGGCCTAGATAACGTTCCAGGGTAGATGTCTTAAAGGAAAGAGGCAAATTACCCCCATTAAGAGGGGGAGAAGGGTCAGGAAAGGAAAAAAAATAAAATATTTTTTAGTTCAAAGCCATAAAACCCCATCATGGTCTACAAAGAAAAAATAAACTAGGGTAGCTAAGAGGAATGAGGAGAAGCGGAGGGGGCAAAAAAGAAATTAGTTGATAATAAGAAAAAAACTTTCAAAAATTATTTTAAATTAAACAGCCAAACAATCAGCCAAATTCTTCAATAAAATTGCATCCTGAATAGAACCTTGAATTTGAACAAGTCCATTAATATAAGCAGACATTGGAGATAATTGGTTATTAATAAGGGATATCATTGTTGTTTTTGATAAGGTAAAATGGACATCAGGGAATGGGGATAATTCTAATAAAAAAATGTTAAAATTAAAGAAAAATATCAAAGATATTTGCAATATATTGCTTATTTTGCCTAAAATCCGCAAATTTAATCCGCAAGATGGAGAAAAGTAGGTTTAAGGAGGTCGAATGCTTACTGACAAGGAACTATCTTTTACTAAAACTGCAAATTTGGTATTTTTTTGGTAGAATTCGATAGAGGACCCCCGACTTTCTATTGGAATGTGTTATCCGTTTTCTTGCAAAATCACCTTGGGCCAAGTTATGGCCGTTCAAAGTTTGACGTTAGAGACTCGAGTTTTTGAAGTTATTAGAAAGAATATCAAAGGGTTGGGGGGTGATATTACTGAAAGAAAAGGATAAAATGACTTGCGGACAAGATTTGCGGATTTTAGGAACCCTAAAAGAAAAACCCCCCAAAACAACGGAGGAAAACGGAGGTTTTGAAAAAAGTTGGAATTGAAGAATGTAGAGAGAATATCGAAGGTTGGGGGTGATATTACTGAAAGAAAAGGATAAAATGACTTGCAGACAAAATTTGCGGACTTTAAGGAGGAACGAACCCCAATAAATTGGCTTTGGGGTTAACGAACCCTAAATAAATTTACCCTAAATAACTGACACAAATGAAGGATTTGAAAGAATATCGAAGGTTGGGGGTGGTATTACTGAAAGAAAAAAAAATAGAATGACTTGCGGACGAAATTCGCGGATTTTAGGAACCATAAAAGAAAAAATCCAAAACAAAATTTAAAAAAACTAAAAAAAAACCTCCTTCTCTCTGCCATGTCCACCCACACCATCCTCCACTAGATTCCCTCAAATCAATATCAAATTCATTATTATTCAAGCAATCAGTACATTTTACACGAAAGCATTTATTTACTCGTTTCAATAAATTCCCTCCACCACAATTTTGAAATAATACGAGGCGGATACGTTGAAGGAGATGATCCAATTCATCATTATCTTCTTCTTCTACAACAATTTTTTCTTCAGATATTGAATTTAGAATTGAAGGGGAATTTTGTTTTTCAGTTGAAGCTGTAGAGAAGGTATCAGCTATTTTCTTTAAAAATTGAAAAAAAATAATTTTTAAATGAAATAAGAAAAAAATATTGAAATTAGAAAAGGGTATCAGACTTCCTACAGGTCAAAATGAAGTAGAAAAATTAAAGGAAGGAGCCAAATCGGAAGAGAAAAAAATGTGAAAAAATGAAGCGATGTCATTTACATTGGGCTAAAAAAATTTTTCTTCGCTCAAAAATCGGGAAAGCTAAAAAAATAATTTTCTAACTAAAAAACCCCAAAATATAAAAATTATTAAAGCCCAGCGGCTTTTCAAGTTGACGGCCTTCCAAATTTCACAAAATTTTAACCCGCGACGCTGAAAAAGTGAATTTTTTTCGCCCTCAGCCTTCTAAAAATAAAATTTTTGACGTCTTTGACGCCAAAAATTCGGCGCTAAAAAATTTCCTCCCTTTGGACCCCTACGAAAAAAAAATTCTGACCAAGGGCCTGTTTTCAATCCCCCAAAATCAAGAAGGGAATTTAAGAGAGGAAGACATACCCAAAAAACTAAACCCGTTTTTCTATTCCCAAAATTTCAATAAAAATTAAAATTAAACCTTGGATTCCTCATTTGACAATTTTATTAAATTCTTCTCTTTATTTTTTCCTTCTCCATTTTCGCTCATAAAATTATTTAAATTATTAACAGGGCATCCAAAAACATCCAAAAATTGTTTACCAACATCAGAACGAATTAAAGTTTTAAAAATTGAGACTGCCCCGTTCTCTCCAAGTTTAATTACATTAATTTTTGTGATGTTTATTGCATCAATTTTGACCCCATATTTGTGAATAAATTGGTCCAGTTCATTCTGTGAGGAAAAAAATATACATTTCCGGAAAGGGAAATACATCTGGAAATAATTACTGAATTTAAAAATAGGAAAAAGAAATACAAGAAAATACATTCCAAAAAGGTTGAAAACTTCCGGAAAATACAAAAAAAAAAGTTAACATTTTCCGGAAATAAATAGTAGATAGAAAATACACTCCGGAAAATTAAATATTTAATTTCCGGAAGAGAAAATACATTCCGGAGGTATTAAAAACTTGCGGAAAATACATTCCGGAAAATACATAAATTATTTATAAAAGACTGCAGACTACTTCCGGAAATAATTAAAAAATACGTTCCGGAAAATTAATAAACATATAATTTCCGAAAAAGAAAATACAGAAAAAAATAAATTCCGAAAGTGTTAAAAATACAATTGTATTTTCCGGAAAAGACAATACAACAAAAAGTTCCGGAAAATACATCAATATATTTTGAATATTCCATTCCGGAAAATACATTTTATAAAATAAAATTATGAAAAAAATACAAAAAATACCAGAATAAATTAGAATATTTAATCTTCCGGAAAAATAAAATAACAAATAATATTTGTTTACCTTACAACTAGCCACATGTTTTGCAAGACAATTCGGATTTGTAATATCGCTCAACATGCGTTTTCCCAAATGTCTATGTAATGCTGTGTAGACGAGCAAATTTAACATCGGAAAAAATTTTTTTATTAAAAAAGATTTTTTCAAAAAAACCTGTTTAATATTTTGGACAGTACAACAAGCAATAATTGGGTCAATAATTTGAATAAGCACAACACAAGATAATTCAACTATTCCACGGTCTGTGGTAAACAAATAAATTGTTGGCAATTCTATGGTGGAGACCCTAAAAATTGAGTCAATCGAAATAATTTTTGTACAAAAAAATAAAAAGAGTCAAAGCAAACACTTGAAAGGGCCTATAATTCTATGTGACCAAAAACCCCCCAAAAAATTCTTTGTGATAGCCAATCAATATCATTTTTGCCAAACTCAGGCTTTTTTAAATCATGACCCCAAAATTAGAAAATTAAAGAGCTTTAAGGTATCTGCATTCGGTTATTTTTGAACTACAAAGTTACAGACAAGAATTTACCATATTTATCAGCCTGTGAATCCCTTAATCCTACTAAAAATCGCGAGCATGAAAAAGACCCAAAAAATTTTAATTTTAAAATGTAATGAAAGAACCAGACGACTTAAGTGTCTAGTAAAGCTTGCCAAAAAATCCCCAAAAAAATCTCAAAAAAACCTCAAATCAACAATCGTTACTTCATCAATAAAGGGCAAAAGTAAAATCATTCCTTGCCCATAAACTTTATTTTGACATTTTCCAAGTCGCATTACAACAGCTTTTTGGAATGGATTGATAAACTAAAACTTAGAAATATTAGGTACTTGTGTAGTTTACACCCCATAAGCCCCGCCCCTTTCCTCTTTCTTTACTTAAAAAAATTTTCTTTTCCTATAAAATGACCACTTGGGTCAATATACCATTTTGGGTCATAAGGCTGTTGCGTGTGGTTAATTTAAAAAAAAGAAAATAGGGGCGGGGCTTATGGGGGGTAAACTACACAAATAACATTTTTTAAGTTAAAAGAAACCTTTAAAGTAAAAAACAGAGAAAATGGCAAGGTAATTATAAAAAAGAGTAAAGAAAGCATTGTACAAATAAATTCTCCAATTTTATTAGAAACATTTTGGTTGTTTGGAAATTGTTCTTCCAAGGTTGTTGGAAGTTGAGAAAATTGATTGTTGCCTCCCCAATCTGAAAAAAATCAAAAAATAGTAGTTTATGGACTAACTGGGCAATGGAAAGGTTATGGTAAGGACTGGTCCTAAAAGTTCAATTTCAAGCAAATTCAAGCATTGTGCTTTCTGGTCCAGGATCCACTAATAGGTAACCCACGCTCTTTACAGATCAAGAACTTGCAAATAAAAACATTTTAACAGGCAAAAAAAACGTAACTGGCCACAAAATAAATACGTAAAAAGTCCAGTCAAGAGACTGAAAATCCAGTCATTAGACCTAGAAACCTCGAATCAAGACCCTCCAAAAACTTAAAATTTCGGTAATCCTCCAGTTTATTGGCCCTTAGTAAAAAATGGGCAAAATGTGCTCTTCCAATGCTTTTGAAGTTTACTACATAAGTAATCGAGTTAAACACTCAAAGAAATCGAAAGAACACTTCTTTACCCATTTTTCGCAAAAGGACCAATAAAGTAGAGAATTACCCAAATTTCCCAGTAAAAATAAATAAAAATACCAAAAGCAGTATTATACCGATTCCCTCCATAATTCCTTTCTGAATTGTAAGTAAAAATGCTTGCAAACCGTTCATCATTTTCTATTGAATTGCTTTTTATTATTTGTTTAATTTCGCGTTTAGCAGATCCAAATTTTAAAGAATCACAGCAATACCAAAACATTTCTTAAAAACTTTAAAAATTAATTAAAGAGCAAAAGAAAAACAAAACAAATGGTACAGCCCAAAACGGCGCGCGGTCATAATGGCGCAAAGCCATAACTAGTTGGAAAATTTATGGCCCTTATCAATTTTGGTCAAATCTCCTTAGCTCGATGAGAGGAATCGTTTGATTATAAATTTGTTAAGATCAGGAAATCTTGAAGCAAGTTATGGATTTGCGCCGTTATAGTCGCGCGCCGTTTTGGGCGTGCCCTACAACAAAAGAAAAAAATTTCTCCCACTTGTAGGAAAAACAACAAGGTGACAGAATGAAAGATTAAAAAAGCAAATTTTCATTTAACCAAATAGTAGAAAATTTTTCATTTAACCAAAATTAGTGAACATCAAAAACAAAAGAGAATAAAGATAAAAAATGAAAATAGTGTGTAATATGAAGAGACAAAAATGTCTAACAAATTTCTTTAAATTTCATTCAACCAAAGACAAAAACGGTACAGGACAAATTGCCTAAACGAGCAAATATTGACAAAATGTCATCAAGAGAAATACAGTAAATTTTTCAAAAATTCGTAAAAATAATTTTAAAAATTTTTTTGTTTTTATTTTTATTAGCAGAAACCAGTTTTTGTTCTAAAATGTGTAAATTTGACGAAAATAAAAACAAAAAAAGAGTAAAATTAAATATCTTTTTTACTCATTTTTGAACATAAATAAAATTAAAAAAAACCCTCCATTTTTGCCTTTTTAATTCAAAATTTTTTAAAAAATCAAGATGCGTCTCAACTTATTTTTTTTAGCTATATTTGCTTTAATAGCACAATCACTTCTATTTATAAATGCCAAGAAAACTGAAATTCTTGTTTCGAATGATCAACTTTTTGGAGCGTAAGAAAAACAGGGGAATGGGGCCGAGGTTGAGAGAAAAACATCAGTCGGGGGGACGGGGTATCAAAAAATTTTCTTCGGATCAGGTTTGGATCAGGTATTTTAGGAACCTAATCCATCCCTCGTAAGAGAAAATTTTGAAAGAATTTTAGAAAAAAAAATTTTTTTCACAGACATGCCCGTAAACAATTGGAAAAGATAAAGCGTCCTGAACCACTAAGCCATCACTGAATTTTATGCTTGAATTAAAAAGATTTTTTAAAAAATTTTATTTTAACCGGAAAGATAATTTTTATATTCGTAACATCAAAAATAAATAAAATTAAAAACAATTTAATTACTCATTCCCTCCCCCAAAATTTGATGTCGGCGTTGTTGACCCACCACCACTAGTAAATATAAAACGTTTTTCCATTTCTGCAATTTGTTCTTGCCTGTTTGCTTCATCAGCTTCTTGTGCCATACGTTCATTTAAAGCCAAAGTTACCTGAAAATTAATTTTTTGTATTGAATACAAAAGCCTCCTATATAAGATACCCCCAAAATAGGGCACCTCAAGTGGCAATGGTGGCGAAAATTGGGGTCCCGTCGGGGTCCACAATTTTCGAATCGGGGTCCCGTTAGGGTCCCAATTGTCCCTCAATTTAAGATAGGCTTTAAAAAAACTTGGTTGGTCACTGGGTGGGAGGGGAGGTTTATCCCTCATTTTAAGCGACAATTTCTCTCTTGACCCAAAAGTGGTAAGGTTGGCCCCAAAGTGGTAAGTCAGGTCCAACTTCAAAAACTCAATTTTTCCATTCATTCACCTTTTTCATTTCCCTTCTATTTTTTTCTTGCTCCTCCTGTGCCATTCGCCATTTCTCCGCCAAATTATCATCAATATCTTCTATATTTACTGCTTTCAACAAAACATTGCCTTTAGCTCCGACTCCTCCACCGCTTGTTCCTAAACCACCACCGCCACCACTACTACCTCCAACACCTTTGTTAGCACGAAGCATTAAAGCCATTCTAGATTGAGGGGAAGATGCTGAACCTTGAATTAAATTTTTGAAAAATTCTGATTTTATTTTGGACAATTTCTGATCAAATTCTGGTCATTCTGATCAAATTCTGGTCAGATTCTGATTAAATTCTGAACCAATTCTTGTCATATTCTGATTTTAATAATATAATTATCATAAATTTCTGATTTCTCTAATTTCTGATTTTTCTAAAATTATAATTCTGATAAAATTCAGAACACAAATAATCTCCCCTTTTAAATGTTCTATTTGACACTATAATTCATTTATTCACAACCTTTCTGTCTATGTTGCTGTTGAGAGCTCCTTCCATAATAACTATTCCCTCCAACATCCTCAGGTGGCAAAAGATCATGTGGGGAACTTTTATCAACTGAATGAGTTTCTGACATTGCTAAAATATTAAAAATTTTTTTAATTCCTCTCTCTCCCTCCCTTACCAAAAGTCAATTTCCTTTCAAACTTTTGTTTTGCTTGGGGTGGAACAACCAAATCGCTAATAGGACCTTGAAGCATTACTGGAGCTGACTGCAAAAATTAAATTAAAAATAAAAAAACTAAAATTTCTGCCAAAAAATTTTTGCGGATAAAACTTGCGGACGTCCGCAAAAAATTGCGGACAAAATTTTGTCAGTAAATTCTAAAATAATTTTATTTACTTGTAAAGACTCGTTCATAGTTTTATCAAAATCTCTCATAAAATCTTCATCTTCTGGAAGTAACTGTTTCTGTTGTGTATGTATTCTAAGCTCAGATTCATCTCCATCAAAATAACAAGTTGGCGATTTTTCAGGATTTTCTAATAAATGTTGTGTTTGTAATGAAGAAATATTTTGTTGTTCTTCATTATTATTTAAACTATTCTTTTTGTGTTGCTTTCGATTTGAATGGGGCCTTTCATTATGTTCAGCATCTTCTTCTTCTTCATTATCACTTAAAAACATTTTTTAAGTTTAAACTTGATAATTTAAGCTTAAACTTGAGAATTTAAAGTTTAAACTTGAAAATTTAAAGCTTAAGCTTGAGAATTTAAGTTTAAACTTAAATAAAACTTGAATACTTAAGTTTTAAGAAATACAAAAAAAGCTTGAATAATTTCAAGTTTAATTTGGAAAAACACATTTTTAATTCCGGAAAATACAAAATTCCGGAAAATAAAAATAATTCATGCAACTTGAAAAAATACAACTTGAATAATTAAAAAATAAACTTGGATTAATTAAACTTTTTCTTGTATTTTGCAGGTTTATTTAAAACTTTTTTTGTATTTTTCCAAGTTTAAAAAGGACAGGAAAAATACATAAAAAGTTTAATTAATCCAAGTTTATTTTTTTTTAATTATTCAAGTTGTATTTAAGTTTAATTAATTTGTATTTTGGTAAATTAATTTTGTGTTTTCCCGGGAAACTTTAATTCTTTTCAAGTTGTATTTTTTGTATTTTTCCAAGTTTATTTTATTTAAATACATAAACTTAAGTTTAAGTTTAGCAGTAAAATCCGCAAATTTTTTGCGGACATCATTTTTGCGGATTTTACTAATTTTAAAAACTCCCTTTTTCTTACCAAGAATGGTCCAATTCTTCATCCAAAGAATGGTTCTCTTCATCTTCCTCATCCTCCTCACTATCATAATCATCCTCTTCCTCCTCCTCATTTTCTTCATTAATTCTATTAAGACGTCTTTGCCCTTCTTCATCTCTAGTTGCCGCTTCAAGAGCATTACGCATTCCAGCCAAAATTTCATCAACTTTTGCCTTATAAGTCGCTTCAATCTCTGCTACCTTCAATTGCGCTTCATTAAGGTTCTCCGGAAATTTTTCATTTTTCCTCCAAGTACGAAATAATTCTGTAACTAGTTGAATTACATCATCAGGGAATTCACCAATTTCGTCGATATAAAGAGACCAACCATCACGTGTTTCATAATCTGAATTTTTAGAAAAATTAAATAATTAAAAAAATTCTTAAAGGTTATTAGAAAAGTCCGCAAAATTTTTGCGGACTCATCAAATTTTTGTCCGCAAATTTTTTGCTGACTTTTTTCCAAAAAATTTTTTTAGAAATTTTTAAATAAAAAATTAAATTAAAAAATCAAAAAAAAACAAACAAAATTTTAAAAAGAAGAACAAAAATTGATCCATCCTCCTTGTACTTTTACTTTTTGGGGCACAGAAAAATTCACAGACTGTATCCACTAATTGGGTAACAAGTCGAATTCGTTGTAATCGAATAATTAATTGTTCTGGACCGGATGATTCATTGTTTCCTTCTTGTTGAGGTAAATCGGGGGAGACAGTAGAGGTAATAGGGTGAATACCAAGAGAGATTAATTGATACAAAACCTTAAAAAATTAATTATATGATGAGAGCTCCCTAATTCCAAACCGTGGCGTCATTTCCAAGCTTTAGAAAAAATGACAACTATTGTTACCTAAAAGGACCAAAACCGTCAGACAAAATTTAATCCGCTCAAAACAAAGTCTTAAATCAAACGAGCCGACGAAAATACAGTCCAAAGAAAAAAATATATCTACTAAAGCGAGAGTTATCCAAACAATAGGGATAATTCTAAAGAATATTTTTGGATTGGGATTTTGGATAAATAAGATATATTTCTTCTTTAGGCTGTATTTTGGTAAGTCGAAGGGTTATTGGTTTCAACCCAAACCGAATCGGTTCGATTAACTAAAAAATTTAATGAAACAGACAGCCCTATTGGTAAAACTCTCTGGAAATTTTGTTCTTCCCTAGACCAAGACTAACTCTAAGATTCCGCTAATCATTTAAATAAGCATTAAAAACATAAAAAAACCTTAAACAAAGTAGCAGTATTTGTAACATTATAATTAAATAATTGTCCAAGATAAGCAACAGTTGTGAGTGCACGTTGTTGCAATGCTGGAGCATTCAATTCTAACGAAAGACGCAAAAATTCGAGAACAGAGTCTAACACATAAACACCAATCCAACTTTTAAAAATAAAATTTAGTTTTTAAAAATTTGAAAAAAATAAAAATACTCATGATGATCAGAAAGTGCAGAAACTAGAGAAGCCATAGAAGCCATATCAGCAAAATGAACACGCCATGGACAAGAAAGCAATTTTAAGGTGAAATCTGAGAAGAAAAATAAAAAAAATTTCCAAAAATTTTTCAAAAAAATTTCTCCAAAAAATTCCAGTTTTCCAAAAATTCTCAAAAAATTTCAAAAAATATTCCGAAAAAAATTTCTGAAAAAGCCGTCAAAATTAAGCTTTTATGAAATGAAATTGATGAAAAAAATAAAAATTTTTTCGAAAAAAAATTTTTTCAGAAAATTTCCAAAAAAATTTTCAAAAAATTTTCCGAAAAATTTTTCAAAAATTTCTAAAATAAAAAAATTTCCAAACCTTTAATCTCTTCATCATCCCAATCTATACGTCGAAAAATACCAATTCTAATGTCTGTTGAAAGCTTGTGAAGAATAAATTCATGCATTGGTGGTTGTCGAGCTGCTGTTGTTGTTGAACTAATTGTTTGATCATCTGGAGGAATAACAGCAAAATAGGCATTTTCTAGGAGAATCTTAAAAATTTTTTTTTAATTTTAAAATTGTAAAAATTTAGATAAAATTAATTCTCTAATCAAATTAAGGAAGGTGAGAAAAAAATTCGGCGGAGAAAATTTTTCCCCTTGCCCAACCCCCTCGAAAAAATCCTGGTTACGGGTCCATTGAATAGGTGGGGGAAAGAATTTTTTAAGAAAATCTCCCAATAGGCAAGAAAAAAAAGAATCAAAATATAAAAAAAGGAAAGGTAAAGTTTAGCTCTGGGCAGGCATTGTCCTGCGACACTTTGGCAGCTATTGTTAGGCACTTTTCGCTCACTACATAAATTTAAAATTTTTTATTCACTGAAAATGACCTTATAAAAAGGCCACTGACATTCAGAAAAAAATTTAGATTAAAATTCCCCTTTTTTAATGAATCTTAAAACCACAACCTATTGAACATTTTAAATATAATAGTCTCCCTTCTTACTTAAATAAAAAATTAAAAATTAAAAAAATAAAAACCTTATGCCTTGGATCTTTAACATTTGCTGATTTATCCTTCAAAACTTGCATTATTACAGCCATTTTTGAATGAGCATCAGGTGAACGATATAAGAATGAACCCATTTGTTCAATCATAATACAAAGCATATCAACTTTGTAAAAATGCATATGGACTAATAAAGAACGTAAACAAGTTAATGCTTCAGCTTTTGGAAGAATTCCAAATTTACACTGGAAAAAAATTTTTTTAGAGAAAATTTAAAATAATAATTCTGGTTTTTAAAAATTAATTTAGTAACAAATTCTGATAAGTTTTGATAAAATTTCTGATTTAATTTGATAAGTTTTTTTATGGAATCTGACTTAATTCTGGTCAAGTTTTGATTAAATTTGACTTAATTTTCATTAACCCTGATAATTTTCTAGTTATTTTTGGTGAATTCTGGTAAATTCTGATTTGGTTCTGGTTTCAAAAATTATATTCTGATAAAATTTCTGATTTTATCTGGTTAATTCTGATTAAGTCTGACTTAATTTTCAATAATTCTGATTTAAGTCTGACTTAATTTTTAAAAATTCTGATTAATTCTGGTCAAGTTCTGATTTAATTCTGATTTCTAAATTTATATTCTGATAAATTTATGATTAATTTTTAACCTTATTCTGATTTAATAAACCTTTAAAAAATATAAATATTTACCAATTCAGAAAGGTAAGAACATAGTTGAAGCTTCGCCTCGATTCGAGCAAGTGCCTGTTGCATTTCTGCCTTCTTTGCAAATTTAACACTTTTTGGTGTGGTGATTGAACGGAAACGAGCTAACAATTCATGCAAAACCTTAAATAATTAATTATTTTTAAATTCTGATTTTCCAAAAATTAATTTAAATTAAATTCTGATTTCTAAAAATTAATTCTGACCAAATTCTGATTTTTCCAAAAATTAATTCTGATTTTTAAATATAAATTCTGGTTAAATTCTGATTTTCAAAATAAAATTAATTCAGACCAAATTCTGGTCAAATTCTGATTTTTAAAAAATTATTCTGGTTAAATTCTGATCAAATTCTGATTTTAAAAATTAATTCAGACCAAATTCTGGTCAAATTCTGATTTTTAAAAAATTATTCTGGTTAAATTCTGATCAAATTCTGATTTCTATAAAATTAATTCTGACCAAATTCTGGTTAAATTCTGATTTTTAAAAATTAATTCTGACCAAATTCTGGTCAGAATTTTAACCAAATTCTGATTTTTGCAAAAATTAATTCTGATTTTTAAAAATTAATTCTGACCAAATTCTGGTCAGAATTTTAACCAAATTCTGATTTTTGCAAAAATTAATTCTGATTTTTAAATAACCTGTGTAGTAATTTCTGGATAAGCAGGTTTAATTGTCGCCATAAACCTCCCATAAAAAGGTAACAAATCTAAACGTCCTTCCGGCGGTTGTTGCAAATGTTGAATTAAACGTTTTCGATTACTTTTAATTCTAGAATAATTTTTTAAAAAATCTATTGAAATTGAATCAATTAATTCTTTGTTTATTGATTGGGGGAGACGTCCAAGTAATTCAGAAAAATTGCTGGTAGTTGTGGGGGTGGTAATTGTTGCTGCTGAGTCTGGTGGTTGTTGATAAATTGCTAGAAAATGGATTAATTATTCCAGTTTATTTTAATTTTTTAAATTAATTCTGGTTAAATTTTGATCAAATTTTTTAAATAAATTATGATTTAATTGGGACTTTCCTAGATTTTTGGATAAAGTTGAAAGGATTGTTTAAATTTAAAAAGGTTGCGAAATGGTCAAACCTCTCTCAGATTCTACATACCATATTCGATGTAGAATCTGGTTAGTCACCGGAAAAGGACTCTAAATTAGAATTGGTCCCCGATGGAAGGGGGGGGGGCACAGGAGATAAATTTTCGGCGAGGCAGCGCCACGCAGGGGGGAGGGGGGGGGGGGGGGGGGGGGGGGGGGAATTATCAAGAACAAATTCCCAGATTTTCGGAAGCAAGGATATCCCCATATAGTCCAATTGCGTGCACAAATAAATTTTTTGTGGGCAATTTTCTAGTCGTTTATATTGAGAAAATTTAAAAAAATAATTTATATATACTTTCTTGCTCCTCTACAAGTTCTGTTGATTGTGAAATTTCCTCTTCTTCAGGTACTTCCAGTAAATTTGTTGTAGCAGCAGTTGTTTCCATCTCATCTGTAGGCTGTACTTCTTCCAAACAGCTTAAATCAACATTTTCGATAGATTCAGTTACTATATGCTTAAAAATAAAAATTAAACCAAAACTTATTAACTAATACCCATAAGCGATGAAATTTTGTAAAAAGGTATCTCCTAGTATACATTAGGCAGTGACTAGGCAAATCCTACGTCTAACCTCATTAAAAAACAATCTTAAAGAGGTCAACCAAACCCAAAAATTTTTCGATGGGTATCTAAAAACAATTCAAATCAGGAGTGTGTTTTGGGTTGAGAAAAAGTCAGATTTCTGGTCGGGGTTTCGGATTTTTTCGGATCAGATTTCGAGTCGAAAAAAGTCATAGATATAGGGTCCCGGACCGAAAAACTAAAAAAATCAAAATTAAAAAACCTCTTTAGTCTGTTGCTGTTCAATTCCTCCCGCATCTGCCGTCTGTGCAGCAACAGTAGGTGTATAAGCAGTCACATCAATTAAAGATTCATAAAAAAGTTGAGTATCACGATCAGGCCAAATTAAAATTCTTCCTTCACTCAATTCTTCAGTTAAACGATTTACAGCCGCGTCAGCTTCCCTTTCATCTTCACTAGTTTCTTCTGGAGGGAGTTGAATAGGTGGATGGCCTAAACACTCGGTTAATTCTTCCAAAGAAGTTTGGAGACGTTCAAAATGTTGTTTGGTTTGTTCAAAACGTTGATGGTCATCAGCGGAAGCATCACCTCAAAAAATATTTTTTTTCAGAGAAAAATTTTTTAAAAAAATTTTTCTTTCAAAAATTTCAGAAAATTTCTTTCAAAAATTTCAGAAAAAATTCCAGAATATTTTTTTCCTAAAAATGGAAAAAAGTTCAAAATAAAAATTCTTTAAAAAATTTAAAAAAGAAAATTTCTTTCAAAAATTTCAGAAAAAATTTTTGGAAGAAATTTTCGAAAAAAAATTTTTTTTTAATCTGAAAAGAATTAAAGAAAAATAATTTTCAAGTAAGAAAATTCGAAAAATATTCAGAAAAATTTTCAAAAATCACAAAAAAATTTTTTTTTAAATTTCAGAAATAATTTTGGAAGAAATTTTCAAAATAAACAAATCAGAAAAAAAAATTCAGAAAAATAACTTCAAAGAAAAAAAATTTCGAAAATTCTAAAAAAAATCAAGAAAAAATTTCAAAAAATTTTTTCCTTAAAAAATTCAAAAAAAAAACCTCTAGTCCTCTCCTGTCGTCTTATCGACTTTTTCAATTTATTCATTTCCAGATATTTTTTATTTGTATGTTCTACCAAAGATTGCCAATAATCATCAAGTGTTTTTGAAAGAATGCTTCTTTGCTCTGCAGTAAATAACTGAAAAAATTCTGGTTAAAAAAAGAATTGTTTTTAAATGCTTGTGTTTTCCGGAATTTTATTTTTCATTACTGGGAACATTAGAATTATATTCTTTGACTTTTCCGGAAAGTTTAATAATAAATTGTGTGTTTCCCTTTCCGGAAAACACTTTAATTTATTTGTTGTGTTTTCCGGAATACTTTTTGCAATTTTTTCCGGATGTGTTTGTGTTTTCCGGAATTTTATTTTTCATTACCGGAAACATTAGAATTTATTATTCCGGAATACTTTTTGACTTTTCCGGAAGGTCTAATAATAAATTGTGTTTTCCGGAATTTTATTTTCTCTTTACGGAAAATACTTTAATTTATTTTTCCGGAAAACATTTAAATTGTGTTTTCCAGAATACTTTTTGTATTTTTTCCGGAAAGTTAAACAATTCTTTTTTTCGTTCCGGTTGTCGTGTTTGTGTTTTCAGGAATTCTCTTTATATTTTTCCGGAAAGGATTTAAATATTTCAGGAATTCTTTTATGCATTCCGGAGACAAATAAATTGAATGTGTTGTATTTTCCGGAATTTTAAAATATTACCGTTGAAATTAATTTAGCATGTTCTTTTCCCTTCTCTTCTAATTCACCAATTTCCTTTTGTATAGAATACGGCAAAATCCCAGTAATTGGAAAAAAATGAGCCTTACAAAAAGGCATCAACACACTTGTATTTAAATGTTCTTGTTTATCTGTGTTGACCAAAAAAGCTAAAACAGCCCCAAGTAATTGAAGTCCTTCACGTCCAAATATTCCATTAAGTAAAAGTTCTGTGAAAAATCTGGAAAATTTTTTTAGAATTTTTTTAGAATAATTAGAAGATAGGTTCAAATTTCCATATTTTTTCTAAGGATTGGGTTTCAAATTTCGGGCCGAAAAAAGTTCAAGTTTCAGATATCGAGCAATCCTGCCTACTTCTTGTAAGAACTAAAAAGATCAAAACTCAATATATGGGGTTTTGATCTTTTTTAGTTCTTATCCCCCCCCCTCCCAAAAACGATTTTAAATTTACCCCTAAAAATAATAGAGCCTTATAAATGTTGTTGCTTGTCTAAACTAACTAGGGATTGATCTCAAGTATTAATTTTAAAAAAGTTATAATACTGAAATTTGGTTGGGATTTTTTTTGATTTTTAACCAACGGTTCTTTAAAAATGTCCTCAAGACCTTAAGAGCATCCCCCCCCCCAAAAAACGATTTTTTACATTAAAAAACCCCCAACCTTACATAAGTTTAAAAAAATCCCTTAACTATCCCCCAGTCTTAAAAAAAAACAAAAAATAAAAAAAACCTCAAATCAACTCTCAATTTTGATGGATTCTCCACTTTATCCGTCTTCTTTGAAGGCATTTGTTTTTTAAATTCATTCAATAAATGTGTTGAAAATTGATTATATAATGACGAAATTTTGACAATAAAATCAACTAGACTTGACAAATCAGCAATTTTAATTTTTGCTTCACAAATATTAAAAGCAATTTCATCCAAATATTTACTTAAATTTAGTAGTTGTGTAGTTCCCCCACCCCCTCCCCATAAGCCCCGCCCCTTCCCCATAAGCCCCGCCCCTTTTTCTTCCCTCTTCCTTTTTCTTAAAGCATGACATTTGGGCCCATATTGATAAGGGGTGGGGAAAGGAAATAAGTAAAGGGGCGTGACGACTCATGAAGAGGGGGGGGGGGGGGAACTACACAATACCTCAAATTTAATTTTTCCAAATCTGGTAATAATTGACTAATTGTCGTTGACGATACATTTTTCAATTTTTTGGTAAATGCTGTCACTTTTTTTAATGTAGCATCTAAAGAACGTAAACGTTGGTCGTCAAAAGGATGCGATTCTTCGAGAAACTGAAATAAAAAAAAATTTTTTATGATTTAATCATTTGGTAAGAATTGTTGAGGAAAAAAGGAGTCAACAAATTTCAATTCAAACACAAAACCCCGCAAAAAACTTCCTTTAAAACTTAGGCAAAGGTACTGGATTTTAAACAATTGTCTGTATGCAAAGGACTATTTTGTCCGCAAATTTAAATCCGCAAGTTTTTAATGCTCAAAAAACATTTGCCCTTGAAAAGTAATGAATGGTCTAATTTGTTCCATGCATTTTTCTTTTGGCTAGGCGGTCATTTTGAATTTTTCAAAAATTTTTTTCTGACTTAAGTCAAGCACTAGAGCCCAAAAAAGACTCAAAAACTAAGAGTTGGTCACAAACTCGAACTCTAAAGATCCCAGAACCCAAAATAAAAAAATTTAAAGAAAAAAGAAACCTTAATATTCCTCTCTCTAATTTCAACAATTTTTTGCATTTCCAAAATCCAATTGCCATAAATTTGAGTCATTTTATTCTTCTTTCTTGCTTTGAATTTTTTTAGTTAATTACACACTATATTGCTCTAAAAAAATTTCTAATTAAAAAAATATGTAAATTGAAAGAATCATTACAATTTAGAATTTTTATAAAATGCACTTTATATAGAAATTGAGATTTATTTATTTATAAAAAATTTTTTAAGTGAAAATTATAGGAGTCGATATATATAAGGCGAATCTCGATAGCACACGTTTCCCCGTTAGCACTTTTCGTTTACTTATTACACCATTCGGGCCAGGGGACGTTTATCCCCCAAAAAAATTTTTTTGTTTATCCCCCAGGGAGCAGCCAAGGTACCGCAGCCCAAAGTACCGCCGAGCTATAACTTCGTTCAAAATTGTCGAATCTGGGACGCCCTGGTATGGTTCGATTCCCTCGTCAAGGTGCATCGAACTATGCCAGGACGCCCAAGATTGGACAACTCTGAACGAAGTTAAAGCTCTGCGGTACCTTGGGCTTGCAATACCTTGGGGTGTATCCCCCAATAACCCGTCTTTTCATAAGACTTTTAATTCAATGTGTTCCCAAGGGTGGTGTATTATCGAGATTCGACATGACTAAAATTTAAAGACAAACTTAAAGAAAAAAAAATTAAAAAAAAATTTTTTTTGAAAGAGTAGAAATATAGAGGTCTGAGCGATTTTTTAGGACAAAATATATAGAGAAAAAAATATAGGTATATCCTAACATTAAATCAAAAATATAAATAAAAATTTTTTTTGAATAAAATAGACATTAGGTATATTTGTATAGAGGTCTTAGAGTTTAATTTAGAAGCTCAAAAAATAAACTGGGTCAAAAGTAAATTGAGCATAAATCATAATAATTGAGCGCGATTGCCAAAAAAAAATTGCCAAAAAAAAAGATTTTGTAAATAAAAGAGATAATTTGAAAATTATATATATATTTTTTGGCATTCATAATTATAAAGAATTTTTTGAAATTTTTAGAATGAGAATAAAAAATATATATAGAGACGTTCATAGAGAGGCATCCAAAACCCAAAAATTTTTCCCAAAAATAAAAATTTTTTCCAAAAAAAAACGAAACCAAAACCTAAACTCCATCCCAAAAACCAAAACAAAATTCAAGCACCCAAAAACCAAAAAAAAATTTGACCCCGTGCCCAAAAAACCAAAAAAAACTCCCCCAAAAAATTCAGAGACCACGTAATCTAAAGATCCCAGAACCCAAAATAAAAAAATTTAAAGAAAAAAGAAACCTTAATATTCCTCTCTCTAATTTCAACAATTTTTTGCATTTCCAAAATCCAATTGCCATAAATTTGAGTCATTTTATTCTTCTTTCTTGCTTTGAATTTTTTTAGTTAATTACACACTATATTGCTCTAAAAAAATTTCTAATTAAAAAAATATGTAAATTGAAAGAATCATTACAATTTAGAATTTTTATAAAATGCACTTTATATAGAAATTGAGATTTATTTATTTATAAAAAATTTTTTAAGTGAAAATTATAGGAGTCGATATATATAAGGCGAATCTCGATAGCACACGTTTCCCCGTTAGCACTTTTCGTTTACTTATTACACCATTCGGGCCAGGGGACGTTTATCCCCCAAAAAAATTTTTTTGTTTATCCCCCAGGGAGCAGCCAAGGTACCGCAGCCCAAAGTACCGCCGAGCTATAACTTCGTTCAAAATTGTCGAATCTGGGACGCCCTGGTATGGTTCGATTCCCTCGTCAAGGTGCATCGAACTATGCCAGGACGCCCAAGATTGGACAACTCTGAACGAAGTTAAAGCTCTGCGGTACCTTGGGCTTGCAATACCTTGGGGTGTATCCCCCAATAACCCGTCTTTTCATAAGACTTTTAATTCAATGTGTTCCCAAGGGTGGTGTATTATCGAGATTCGACATGACTAAAATTTAAAGACAAACTTAAAGAAAAAAAAATTAAAAAAAATTTTTTTTGAAAGAGTAGAAATATAGAGGTCTGAGCGATTTTTTAGGACAAAATATATAGAGAAAAAAATATAGGTATATCCTAACATTAAATCAAAAATATAAATAAAAATTTTTTTTGAATAAAATAGACATTAGGTATATTTGTATAGAGGTCTTAGAGTTTAATTTAGAAGCTCAAAAAATAAACTGGGTCAAAAGTAAATTGAGCATAAATCATAATAATTGAGCGCGATTGCCAAAAAAAAATTGCCAAAAAAAAGATTTTGTAAATAAAAGAGATAATTTGAAAATTATATATATATTTTTTGGCATTCATAATTATAAAGAATTTTTTGAAATTTTTAGAATGAGAATAAAAAATATATATAGAGACGTTCATAGAGAGGCATCCAAAACCCAAAAATTTTTCCCAAAAATAAAAATTTTTTCCAAAAAAAAACGAAACCAAAACCTAAACTCCATCCCAAAAACCAAAACAAAATTCAAGCACCCAAAAACCAAAAAAAAAATTTGACCCCGTGCCCAAAAAACCAAAAAAAACTCCCCCAAAAAATTCAGAGACCACGTAATCTAAAGATCCCAGAACCCAAAATAAAAAAATTTAAAGAAAAAAGAAACCTTAATATTCCTCTCTCTAATTTCAACAATTTTTTGCATTTCCAAAATCCAATTGCCATAAATTTGAGTCATTTTATTCTTCTTTCTTGCTTTGAATTTTTTTAGTTAATTACACACTATATTGCTCTAAAAAAATTTCTAATTAAAAAAATATGTAAATTGAAAGAATCATTACAATTTAGAATTTTTATAAAATGCACTTTATATAGAAATTGAGATTTATTTATTTATAAAAATTTTTTAAGTGAAAATTATAGGAGTCGATATATATAAGGCGAATCTCGATAGCACACGTTTCCCCGTTAGCACTTTTCGTTTACTTATTACACCATTCGGGCCAGATGGAAGTATTTTTAGGTTAAATAACTTATCCCTCCAATAACCCGTCTCTTCATAAGAAATTTGATTCAATGTGTTCCCAAGGGTGGTGTATTATCGAGATTTGACATGACTAAAATTTAAAGACTAAAACTTAAAGAAAAATAAATTAAAAAAAAATTTTTTTTGAAAGAGTAGAAATATAGAGGTCTGAGCGATTTTTTAGGACAAAATATATAGAGAAAAAAATATATATCCTAAAATTAAATCGATAATATAAATAAAAAAAATAATTTTTTGAATAAAATAGACATTAGGTATATGTGTATAGAGGTCTTAGAGTTTTATTTAGAAGCTCAAAAAATAAACTGGGTCAAAAGTAAATTGAGCATAAATCATAATAATTGAGCGCGATTGCCAAAAAAAAATTGCCAAAAAAAAAGATTTTGTAAATAAAAGAGATAATTTGAAAATTATATATATATTTTTTGGCATTCATAATTATAAAGAATTTTTTTAAATTTTTAGAATGAGAATAAAAATATATATAGAGACGTTCATAGAGAGGCATCCAAAACCCAAAAATTTTTCCCAAAAATAAAAATTTTTTCCAAAAAAAAGAACGAAACCAAAACCTAAACTCCATCCCAAAAACCAAAACAAAATTGAGCACCCAAAAACCAAAAAAAAATTTGACCCCGTGCCCAAAAAACCAAAACAAACTCTCCCAAAAAAATTCAAAAACCACGTAATGAATGTCTCTAATAATTAATTATGATCCTGAATAATATCCAAATGTTTTTGTTGATACCAAGCATCGATCTTTGAACTTAAACTCGAATTGACGTCATCGATGTGTCGCCATAAAGTTATATTTACATTGGTTAAGTGCCAGAAAACATAATTAAGGTTTACGATATTTGTGTCCATTTTGTTCATCCTTTCAGTAAGATTTCCGAGTTTTGTGTCCAAATCCGTAATTTTTGTGTCCATTTTTGTAAATTTTCTGTTCATTCTTCCTTCCATTTTTGTAAATTTTCTGTTCATTCTTCCTCCAAAATTCGTAATTTTTTTGGACAAATTAAATTCCAATTCTTTTATTGTCAGATTTATACCACGAAATTGCAAGTTGAAATCACTCTTCAAATCTTTTTCGAAACGATCCAAACGCTTATCCAATGTGTTCCCAAAATCTTTCACTTGAGAATGCATAAAGAACCAAACTGTTGCACCTACACCAACACAAGTAACAACAAAACCCAATACAGCCAAAACCAAAGTCCAGAATAGAGTTTTTGAACAAACCTAAATTTGAAGAATTAAATAAAATCAAAGAAAACTTAAACATAAATTTTTGAATTAATGTTTTAATAGATAAATTGATGACTAAAAGAATAAAACCGAAAAAATTAATTTAAATCAAAATTTTAAAGTTAGAATTTAAAATAATACAAACTTGAGAAACACTTCGCTTGGAGCGACGATAGTAGGTTGAAATACTTCTACTGCATCGACGATAGTTGGTTGAAATACTTCGACGGCATTGATTGAAAACATTTGAAATAAAGTTCCAAGTCCCACTATTAGGTGAAGGCGTATCAGATCCCACTAAATTTATAGTTAACAATAAATGTAAAATTTGACTACAAAGATTTAAAAATTGGTCCCAAAAAGTAAACAAAAATTATGACCAACTAAAGAATTATCAAATCTGATCGACCAAGAATTTTAATATCCCCTTAGTATTTTAATCAAATTGTGTAAGCTAATGGATCCTTAAAAAAGAATAATAGAAGCTACACGACTCAATAATAACCCAAAAAAAAGATACCCCAAAATACAAGCAAAGGATATTTAAAATAAAACAAACTTTGTAAATTTTCCAGAGGCAAATTAGACCGAGGATTTTCTGTTTGAGTAGATGAAGTTAGAACATTTGAAGCAGATTCACGTTTAATTGAATTATTATTCGTCTTCACTTCCTCATTTGAAAGATTAACATTCGCGCCAACTCCGCGTTCATCAACACTAACATTTCCTTGAGGGAATTGCATTGGTGCCTGGCCTAAAACTTCGCTCAGCTCGTTTTCATATTCTAAGAGACGTTCAAAATGTTGTTTAGTCTGATCAAAACGTTTTGAGGCATTGGAGGAAGAAGTACCTGAAAAATTTTTTAAGATAAAATTTCAGAAACAAACAAAAGTTTTTTAGAAAAATTCCAAGAAAAAATATTTGTGATATCCTTTAGATGTTTTTAAAAAAAAACTATTCAGAAAAAAAATTTAAAAATTTCATTAAAAAAAGAAAACCTCCAGTTTTTAACGACATTTCCAACGACATTTCCAACTTTATCATTTCCTCATATTTTTTATTTGTATGTTCAACCAAAGATTTGCGATAGTCTTCAAGTATTTGAATAATAATGTCTATCTGCTCCGTATCTGAAGTTACTTCTTTCGATGCTGGCAAAATCTTTGTATACTGTTGCATAGAATAAGGTAAAATTCCAGTAATTGGATAAAAATGTGCTTTACAAAAAGGCATCAACACACTTGTATTTAAATGCTCTTGTTTATCTGTATTAACTAAAAAAGCTAAAACAGCACCAAGTAATTGAAGTCCTTCACGTCCAAATATTCCATTAAGTAAAAGTTCTGTGAAAAATCTGGAGATTAAAAAAATTTTTTTAGAATAATTAGAAGATAGGCTCGGGTTTCCAAAATTTTCTCTACGAATCGGGTTTCAAATTTCAGGCCGAAAAAAGTTCAGGTTTCAGATATCGAGCATCCCCATCTTGTAAGAACTAAAAAGATCAAAACACGATATCAAGTAATAAAAGAGCCTTAAAAATGTTCTTGCTTGTCTAGAGTAAATAGGGATCAATCTCAAGTATTAATTTAAAAAAGGTATAATACTAGAATTTGGTTGGGATTTTTTTGATTTTTAAACAACGGTTTTTAAAAAATGTCCTTAAGAGCCTATTCCCCCCCCCCCCCCCCAATCGATTTTACATTAACCCCCCCCCCTCCCCTTACATAAATTCAAAAAAATCCCTAAACTATCCCCCAGCCATATAAAATGAAAAATAAAAAAACCTCAAATCAACTCTCAATTTTGACGGATTCTCCACTTTATCCGTCTTCTTTGAAGGCATTTGTTTTTTAAATTCATTCAATAAATGTGTTGAAAATTGATTATATAATGACGAAATTTTGACAATAAAATCAACTAGACTTGACAAATCAGCAATTTTAATTTTTGCTTCACAAATATTAAAAGCAATTTCATCCAAATATTTACTAAAATTTGGTAGTTGTGTGGTTTCCCCCCTGCCATAAGCCCCGCCCCTCCCCATAAGCCCCGCCCCTTCCCCATAAGCCCCGCCCCTTTTTCTTCCCTCTTCCTTTTTCTTAAAGCATGACATTTGGGCCCATATTGATAAGGGGCGGGGAAAGGAAATAAGTAAAGGGGCGTGACGACTCATGAAGAGGGGGGGGGGGGGGAAACTACACAATACCTCAAATTTAATTTTTCCAGATCTGGTAATAATTGACTAATTGTCGTTGACGATACATTTTTCAATTTTTTGGTAAATGCTGTCACTTTTTTTAGTGTAGCGTCTAAAGAACGTAAACGTTGGTCATCAAAAGGTTGCGATTCTTCGAGTGCCTGAATAAAAAAGGAATTTGAATATTTTTTATTTAAACGAGAAAACTTGAGAATAAATTATAAAAAGGGAAAAACTCCCTTATTTGTTAGTTTTTTTGGGCTTTTGGTGGTCACTTTGGCAATCCCGGAGAATTGTGGTCCCACCGAAAAAAAATCTTAAAAATAAGAAAAAGGATTTTTCTAGGTTCGGGATTCGACTTTTTCAAAATCGAGTTCAGATTCGTAATCAGCATAATTTTTTACCCTAGAAAAATCCTCTTTCTTATTTTTAAACTTTTTTCCCGCAGGGACCATAATTCTCCGGGATTGCCGTCACATTTTAATTTTTTAATAAATTTTAATTGAAGCCCTAAGGAACTTGCTGTGATCATTACATTATTGGTACCTTTTTTGTTTTTTTGCCCCTATTAATTTTACAAAAAATGGAAAAAAATGTAGCCAAAACAGAAGCCTGGTCACAAACACAGTTCTGTCCCAACCCCAAAAAACGTTTTCAGAATCCAAAAGTAACCAAAAAAAATCTTAAAATACCTTAATATTCTTCTCCCTAACTTCAGTAAGTTTCTGCATTTCCAAAATCCAATTGTCATAAATTGACACCATTTTCTTTTTTCTTGTCTTATAATTTCTTAAAATTAGCTCACATTCTATATTGTTCTAAAATTTGAAAAAAAATTTTTTTAACAAAAAATTAATTGTAAAAGTCAACACAATTAGAAATTTTTTAAATAAAATTTTTTAAATCAATAAATTTTTTAATAAAATGCACTTTAAAAAATCCTGAGGTTTATTTAATATAAAAATTTAAAAAAAAATTTAAGTGAAAATTATTGCGAGATACAATACGGATATATAGTCGAAGCTCGATAAAACGTCACCCCGTTAGCACCTTTCCCTTAATACTATAAATTAACACGATTCAATCCCGAAAAAATTTTTAGTGAGAAGACCTAACTCCTGACAGCACGTCTACTCATTAGAATGTCGGCTCAATCTTATTTCCGAGGGTGACCTTCATCGGATTCGACTATATGTTTATGTCGATATTTGTGTAGTTTACGTCCCATAAGTCCCGCCCCTTTTTTACTCTCGTCCTTTTCTTTAGAAAATGATTACAAGCACCGCCCCTTTCCTCCTATAAAATTCCATTTTACTCAAGAAAAAAAGGAAAGAGGGGCGGGACATATGGGGTGTAAACTACACAAATAACTTATGTCACTATAATGTACTATATTTAAAAGTCTGAGATTTTTTAGAATAGATTTATGGGTCATTATTTAAAAAAATTATAGAATATGGGACATAGAGATTTATTTAATTTTTTCTTTTAGAAAACAAAAAAAGCCTATATATTTTTTAGAATTTGAGCATGTTTGAATATATAACCGTAAAAGAGATAACAAAGTCTATATATAAGTGAAATCGTAAAAAAAGTAAATTTCTTTTAGAAAACAAAAAAGACGCCTATACAGGTGGAGGTTGTAGTATAGGCACAAGATTTGGCTGTGCTGGAACTAGAATGAAAGGTGGCGGAATGGAAGGTGGTGAGGGACCCTTTATTGACATTATTGTATTATTTAAATTATCCAATCTATTGTCCATTTTATCCAATCTAGTGTCCATTTTATCTAGGCGGCTATTGATTTCATTAAATTCTTTGTCCACATCAAGAAATTTTTTATCCATTTTCTGTTCGAGGTCAGTAATTTTCTTGTCAAATTTCTGCTCCATCCCATTAAACTTTAAATTAAAAATTTTAATACTTTATATCCTACATCCACCTTTTTGTCTCAAAATTGTTCTTTTATATTTTTTTGTCAATTAAATGTTAAGATAAGTAAAATTAAAAGAAATTTTGAGAATAAATAGGTGCGTGGAATAAAGTATATTATAAGAAAAATACCTTCAAATCAAGTGTTGAATTTAAAGATTCAAATTTGTCATTTATTTTCTTCTCAATAGAGCTCTCAAATACGTCCATTCGCCCAGAAAATGAATGATAAAGTAATGCAATAGTAACAAATAATGTCACAATAGCTATAAAACCACCAATTATTGAACAACAAATGACGGGATCCTAAATTTAGAAAGTTGCCAAATTTAAATAATTTTAATAACCCTTTATTAGAAGGAAAATATTTTTATTAAATAAGTTCATGATTAAGGGAGTCCTTCGGATTACTAGTCTGGACATAAAAAAGAACCCCAAAAAATAAATTTTCGTTAGTGCCCAACGAAACTCAAAGTATATATCATTCGATTCGTCTTACTGAGCTGAGTTAAAAAAATTTTTAACCAAGCTAATTTTTGGGGTAAAATATTCGATTATATAGCTCATCTGAAAAAGCTACTCGAGCTGAGTCGAATACTTCAGGGACCTAAATCTCTGCGAGTTTTAGTCTTCAGCAAAAATTTACTTATTTGAACTCAGCTCGGCGAGAGAAATCGAATGATAAATAATTCGAGTTTTGATCTCGGTGGGCATATACCAAAGTGACTCCAATTAACTATCTATCAAGTTTAGTAAAATGTAAACCATACCAAATTACAAATCCTGTGACAAACAGAACGTTCAATAACTAAATTTGTATATTAATGTAAAAATAAAAATAATGAAAAGGTTATTTTGGTCCCAAAGAAAACGATTGAATTATGCCTAAATAAAGACTGTAACTCATTGTCAGGCCAACCAAAAATTTGAACAGTTCCTAGTATTTGCTATAAACTAATAGAAAAAAGGAATAGAGTACATATACCCGTCTAATCATATACACGTCTAATGGAGTAGATATACCCGTCTAAAAAGTACCAATAAAAATCCAGCAAAACCCCCAAAATACAGAATAGTCAAAATTCTAAAAGTGAAACAAACCTCTTTTTGCTTTCTTCAATGTAAGCTTTCCTTTAAAATTCTTCAACTCTGGTGGAGGCTTTTCAGCATCACTCAATTCTGTGGAGGCATCGGTGTCACGTTCATCCTCTGAAGAAAGTTGAATAGGAGGAAGGCCTAACCACACTCTCAATTGTGTATCATAATTACAAAGACGTTTATAATCATCCATGGCCTGCCTAAAACTTTGTTGAGAACTTGTACCAGCTTTATCTAAAATTAGATAATTTTTGAAACAAATAAAAATCTAAAAAAACCTTTAGCTAATGTTTGTTGTTGAAAAGAAATATTCAAATACTCCATTATTATAAAGCTTTTGTTTGTATGGTCATCTAATGATTTACAATAATTTGAAATAATTTTATAAATTGTTGTCGTTTGATTCGCTGTAAAAGGCTGAAAAAAAAAACAGAAAAATAATAAACTTTATTATTTGTATTATACCATTGGAGACAATTGAAGTTGTTTCTTCATACTCTCATCTTTCATAAAAGGCCAAGTTCCCGTTAACAAGAAAAAGTAATTCTCACAAAACGGCAAAATCACCGAAGAAAATTTATGTTGCTTATCATTCCTAACTATACATCTTAATGTAGACGCGAGTAGATCCATTCCTTCACCCTTATCTCCAAAGATGCCAAGAATTAAAAGTTCAGAGAAAAATCTAAAAATACTTTTTAATAAAAATAGATTACAGCCCTCGAAAAAAGATTTAAGGATAATTACCAAAGCTGAATACAAGTCGAACAATTAAAAAAAACAAAACTCCCTCTAAAAATTTCAATGGAAAAATCAAAAACCCCTAATTCTTATAAAAATTAAACTTAAAAATCACAAACCTTAAATCATCACCCAATGTTGACAAATTCTTCACTACATCTTTTTTCGAAGGAAGATGATTTTTAAATTTATCAAGTAAAATATTGGAAAAGTTGTTGTATATTAACGACATTCTTGCAACAAAAATAATTAAATAATTTAAGTCAGGAACTTTCGTTGATTCACAAATAACTTCAGCAACTTCTTCCAATTTATCGCTGAGATTCAGTGTATTTAAAGAATTCACTTGCTCCGCGTATACATTTGTATTTGAAGCATTTTTAAATTTATATAAAAGTGAATTTACTTCAAATCCCTTATGTTCCGGGGAGTCAAGTAATGTAGACATAAGTTTATTGCCAGGATGTCTAGCCTCGTTTAATAACTAGAAAGACAATATTAATTTTCTTAGCACAAAAACCTTCAAAATTTTGGGAACCATACCAGACCTAACGGGGAGGTCTCTTCCTTAATAGGTCTGTTCTGTCCTCAAATTTCGGTCATTAAATAACCAAAACACTCAACTTAATATTAAAAGAAACCTTTATATTTTTCTCCCTCTGTTCAGCACGTTTTATCATCCCTAAAATCCAGGTGTCACAACTCGTTGCAGTCATTTTATTTTGAAAGTGTTTGTTCAAGAATGTTTTAAACTTTTGCAATTTTTAAAAGTTTTGTTCTAAAATGTTTTAAATTTTGCGGACAAAAATTGCGGATTTTAGAAGTATTTCAAGGTATGAACTGAAAACAAATCTTAAAACCAACAAGGAAAGACAAATGTTTTTGACAGAAAAACAAATTAAAAGCTCCCAAGTTAGGCTATAATTCAAAATCCGCAAAAATTAAAAATCCGCAATTTTCGTCCAAATTTAATTAACAAACAAAACAAGAATTATTTAAAAATAATAAATGGGGTTTAATCCATTCAATAAACCAAAATTTTAAAAAAAAGTAGTCAAATTTATATAATGTAAAAATTAACCACCTCCCCAAAAGTGGAATAATGAAAATAATAAAAGGAGTGCTTACAAGCAAAAAAGATAAATGTATATAAGTATGAAAAAAGATGCGTGTGATGATAATTGATTCAAAATTTGAAAAAAAACTGGGAGGAAATCCAAAAAAAATTTTTTAGAAAATCCTGATCACACCCTTATGAAAAAATTTTCAAAAAAAGATCCCAGGTCCCACCCTCCAAAATAAAAAAAAATTTCAAAACGTGGTCCAAAATTTCAAAAAAATTCCTGGTCACACCCCTATGAAAATTTTCCAAAAAAAATCCCAGGTCCCACCCTCCAAAAATAAAAAAAAATTTCAAAACGTGGTCCAAAATTTCAAAAAAATTCCTGGTCACACCCCTATGAAAATTTTCCAAAAAAAATCCCAGGTCCCACCCTCCAAAAATAAAAATTTTTTTTTCAAAACGTGGTCCCACCTCTCCGAAAATATTTCCAAAATTTTTTTAAAAATCTTAAAATTATAAAAATACTTTTGAAGAGGAAAAAATAAAATCATCACACAATAAACCTTCAAGAATCACTTTCAAACCACAAATTTCTCCTCTTTTTTTTAATTTTATTCCTTTCTTTGTCAATTTCCACTTCCACCACCACAGCACGAACGTCGAGCCTGGTTTTGACCTTCTCCCTCTCCAATGTTGACACCTTCTCGGCCTCGACCTGCTGGACCGCCACCACCAGCTCCCTCATTTTTGGGCAATCTTTTGGCTGAAATTGAAAAAATTAGAAAAATATAATTCGAAAAGATGTTAAGAGGAGCTTTTTAGAGGAAACGGAAAAATATACCCCTTAATTAAGTCAATTCAAGAAAAAGGATAAGCAATCCAAAGTTTGGCGAAAAATTCAGGAAAAAATTGCACCTATTTATGCACTCAAAATTTGTGGTTAAGTGGTTTAAAATGAAGAAAAAAAATCCCTCTTGTTGAACTTTCCGAAAGGAAAATACAACCTTCAGAAAAATAACAAAATTTCATAAAAAATACAAATCCGGAAAATTCAATAAAAAATTGCAACTTTTTTTGGTTAAGTGGTATAGACGGGGGAACGCAAACACTTTTAGAATCATTTAAGCTTTAAAAATCCCAAAAAAAAATTTTTTTTTCAAAAAATTTGAAAATAAACCTATAGCTAAAAATATTTCGTTGACATTCATTGACGATTTTGCAGAAGTTTCCAAAAATAAAAGTCCATTATCTTCAGCATATGCCTGCGCTTCTTCATATTCAACAACACGTTTGGCTGCCAAATCTGCTTTGTTTCCAGAAAGGGCAATCACAATATTTGGAGATGCTTGCCGTTGAAGTTCACGAACCCAATTTTTTGCTTTGGCAAAGGATTCCTTTGAAGACAAAATTTTTTAATTTGCTTTAAGTTATTGGTATTGAAGGAATAGGCAAGTCATAAAGGAACTCGAGGGGAAGCCATGAGAAGAGAAGGGGGGGGGGGGGCTCCTAGAGCTGAATCCACTTGAAATGGGGGACTAAAAACTTCAAAGCCCTAAAAGTAGTTGGTTCTCCCTAAAGTAACGATTACTCTCCCTTAACAGTTGTATCTTAGAGACAACTTTTGCGGACGTTTTTTAACTACCTATATACTTCCGCGCTTATTGTCTTTGATATTCAGAGGACCCAGAAGCCATGAGGCACAAAAAGTGCGTGAGGAGATTGATGAGATACAATGAGTCGCTCTAAAGACACTTCACTAACAATAAGACGAAAATCATGAAGCCGAATGAGTAGTAGTCCTCCCCAACTTATTTTTGCGGACAACATTTGCGGACAGATGCTCCTTAAGCAAGTTCTGGACTAATTCTAAAAGGACATCAAAACATGCCAACCTCAACGGGTACACCCCGATGTAACGCCGAGTTATAACTTTGTTCAAAATTGTCGAATCCGTGGTGCTCTGGTATGGTTCAATGCGGCTCGGCCACTGAATCGAACCATACCAGGGCGCCACCATACCAGGGCGCCACGGTATTAAGCTCGCAATACACTGTCCTGCTCCCACTTCAACTAACCCCTAAAAATTCCCCAACCCCCCCCCCCCCCAAAAAACGAACAAATAAAACCTGATTAGTAATGTCATAAACAACAATCGCCGCTTGAGCCCCGCGATAATACATTGGTGCCAAAGAATGATATCGCTCTTGACCAGCAGTGTCCCAAATCTCAAATTTGACCGTTGCTTCGTCCAAACAAATTGTCTGAGTTAAAAAAGCAGCTCCAATTGTCGACTCTTGGTATTCATGAAATTGGCCTTTGACAAAACGCAAAACGAGGGAGGATTTGCCAACAGCAGATTCGCCAAGCAAAACCAACTGAGCGAATAAAAAAAATAAAATTTCTCGAAAATTTAAAGAATGATGACATTTGATCCCCTTAGACTTAATTGGGTGGGATTTTAGTAAAATGAAGTGAAACTCATGTCAGAAGGTTCTAGAAGGTTTCATGTCCTTTCTGAAACCCGAGTTGGACATTATATTGAGAAGGAAAGTCAATGGAACGCGAATTATTCCTAGAAACACAAACAGTGCTTTGCCTGGTTCCAAAAAGCAAAAACGGTTTGGAATTAAAAAGAAAGGCGTTTCCAATTAGGGAAGACTAAGAAGTGAAAAGCAGAATCGGCTGGAACCTGAAGCCCCCCATTATAACCGTTCATAAGTCATCCAAGAAACGGTCAAAAAACTTTTTGGGACAAAATGTCATCATTTTAATTTTCGGTTAATGAGCCACACGAACTTAATCGATTCCCCAATGTACCTTAAATCATCCCCAAAGCTCGCTCTATCCCTACACTAACATCCATGAATCACCAAGCGGAAAACAGTCGAAAAAAAAATTTGGGACAAAATGTCACCCTCCTAATTTTTAGAAAGTCAAACCAAAACGAGCCACCTAATCCATCCCCCAAATGAACTTCAAGTCAACCCTAAAGCTTTAAAAGAGTATCACCAAGCGGAAAATAAAGACAAAAAATATTTTGGGACAAAATGTCATCATTTCAATTTTCAGAAAGTTAAACCAAAACGAGCCACACAGACTTAACCACTCCACCAAAACCCCTTAAAAGTCATCCCCAAAGCCTTTAAAAGAAACCTTAAATTGACATGTCTTTGTAGGTCCACCACTACCCCCACCTCCATTATTGCCTGGACGAGGAGTGCTGCTACCACCGCTACTGCTTCCTTTATTTGCCATTTTGTGTCAAATAATTTGGGCAATATTTAAGTCAGAAGAAAAGGAAAAATAAGCCCCAAATTAATTAAAATTTGTAAAAATAATTTTTTTTAATTAAGAAAAAAACTGAAAAAGAAATTAATAGGAGGGAGAATACCAGTTAAATCGAAATAAAGACAAGTACAGGGTCACGGATAAAGGCATATATGACATTAAAATAAATAAAACAAGTGAGTCATTCGCGTATTTAATTTTTAAGGGGAATAAAGACAATTTTTTGGGTAGAGTCCGGCAAAATCGCATTCCCGGGATCCCGGAACGGGATTTTTTTCAAAATTTTGCACGGGACGGGATCCCGCGGGATTAATCCCGTAAATCCCGGTAATCCCATTTTTCGCGAAAAACCCGGGATTCCGGGACGGGATCCCGTAAAGATCTCGTAAAATCCCGTTCGGGGTTCCGTCCCGAGCCGGTCTCTATTTTTGGGGAATTGGACATTTTGAGAATTTTCTAAGGCGTGTGGCATTTTGAAATTTGGACATTTTGAGAATTTCTAGGCAAGTGGCATTTTGAGAAAAAATACATTGATTTATTAAAATCTGGATTTTCGGGGCAAAAATTTTCTGAAAAAAAATTTCAGAAAGAAAAAAAAAATTTTGAAAAAAAATTTAAAAATAAGCCATGAAACAAGAGAAATATTTAATAAAATCAATTAAATCAAAACATATATTTTTTAAATTTATGCAAAGTATTGGTTGCTCTTCAAAAATGAAAAAAAAATTGGATGAAAAAAGAGCAGCAAACAGCAGAGAATTTGTGTTAGTTAATAAAAAAAAGAATTGGATGAAAGTTAAATAGTGAAGTGACACTAGTTGTGGGAAAGGGGGGATGTTTGGGCGCAGAGTGCAAAAAAAGTTTTGTTTGGGCGCCGAGTGGAAAGCGTAGTTCGTTTCGATGCAAAGCTAAATGTGCGTTGTTTTGGGAACCTTCCAGTTCTAGAAACAGTCGAATCTCTCTATAAAGTACCCCCAATATTAGAGACACCTCAGTTTTAAGATAGCCTGAGGATACTGGGTAGCGCAGAGGTCCGTGGTTATTTCGGCGCAAAAGGTAAATGGGCGCCGATTAGGTAGCCTTCCGTTTCTAAAACATACAGCCAAACCTCTCTATAAAGTACCCCCAATATTAGAGACACCACAGTTCACGATACTTGTTTATAATTTACAAACAAAAATGATTTTCGATTAAAACAAAAAAGGATTAATTAAACAAAATGCAACATAGTTTATGCGCCGAAATGACCCTAAATAAAAAAGTCAATAAACAAACGTGAGAGAGAAGGGAAAAATGTGCGCCAAAATTTCTAATTTTAATAAAAATATTTTTTTGTAAAATTTTTTTTCCGATTTTTAAAAAACAAAAGAATACATTGAGGAACTGGGGGGAACAGGAAAAAAATCAGAAAATTTCAAAAAAAAATTTTTTTCAAATTTTGGCGTTTTTGAAAAAAATTTTTTGGCGCACAGCAAAACTGGAAATTGGTGAAATAAAAAATGAGAATGAACTAGATAAATAAATGTAAAATAAATACAATATATTTGATCAATAGGGGGGAACTCTAGGAATTATTTAAACTTTGACCCCTTTCGATTTAAAATATGTTGACTTACTCAAAAAGAGTCAGCCTTCTACCTAAATTTTTTTGGAATTTTCTGATTTTTTTGTTCCCGAGGTCCTTGACAAATTTGAGGAAAACTGTCCAATTGAATATTGCTATAGGGAAAATAAAAAAGAATTTGGGTAGGAAAAAAGTCTGACCATTTTGTACATTTTTAAAAAATAATTGGGTATGGGAGGGAAACAACACTAAAAAATTGTTTATGGGGGGGGGGGGGGTCTTTAAAGAGTTTGTAAAATTAAAATAAAGAAATTATCAAAGAGAAAAGATTCGGAAGCTTTACAAGATTAGAAACAAGCAAAAAAAATTTTTTTTAGAAAATGCTTTTTTATAATGAAAAGCACGTGAAAAAAAGAAGAGAAAAAAGAATAAGAAAGACAACAAAAAATGAGTGTTTGGGAGGGAAACATACTTTGCCAAACCCATATTTTGCCAATAAAGCTTAAAAAATACGTTTTGCCAATTTTTTGCCCTTATTGGCAAAATGTGGTATTGGCAAAATGCGTTAGCATTAAAAATGAGGGTTAGACAAAAAATTAAATTAAAAAAAACGTTTTGCCAAAACTTATGGAAATTCGGATTTGATAAAAAAATTTGTGAAGAAACCCACCACGAAATTACCTCCAACACTCGACCTTCCCATATTTTTTTCAATTGAAAAAAAATATAAGGCATATTCCAAGCTAAAAAGAGGGCTGAAAAATGAAATTTAATTTCAAAAATTGCACAGGAGCAAAAAACTTCTAAAAATTTTACAAATTAAAATACATCAAAAAATATTTATTATTTTAAAAAACACAAAATTAATAAAAAAAATTATTTTTGATTTTTATCCATCCTTATGAGCTTCGCAAAAAACGTTGAAAAGCATTATAGCCTGCTTCAAGTTCAAAAATCATTTGACGAGCTGTTTCGTCAGAAAGTTCTTCGTGTGCAGCCATTCCATGTAGTTTATCATACCTTTAATTTTTTAATATTTTTTGAGAAATGCTTCAGGTTTTTAGAAGCATGTTTCAGATTTTCGGAAGCATGTGAAACTTGTTTACAAAAATTTATAATCATGCTTGATACTTTTAGAACTTGCTTGAGATTTTTAGAAATATGCTTCCACTTTTTTAAAGCATGTTACAAATTTTTTAGAAACATGTTTCAGAATTTTTGAAGCTTGTTTCAGGTTTTTGAAACATGTTTCCGGTCTTTAGAAAACATGTTCAAATTTTTGAAACATGTTTCTGGTTTTTTAGAAACATGCTTCAGATTTAAAAATATATTCTTCGGCCTTATAAACATGTTTCAGGTTTTTTAGAAACATGCTTCAAGTTTTGAACCATGCTTCACATTTTTAGAAGCACGCTTTATACTTTCAGAAGCTGTCCTTATAAACACAAAAACCTACCAAGATTTAACTTTCACTTTAGCATCAAAATCATCAGGAAGAGTGCTCATTGCATTTATTGAAGCATACAATTCAGTTAAATTCGGAAATAGTTCATCAACAGCACGAATATTTAATTTAAGTTGGTCAAGTGAAGTAATAAATAATTCAACAATGTCAGCAATACATTTAAGTTGATTTCCCTTTAAAAAAGGTTTTTTTAATTAATTCTGAAGCAAGTTTTAAAAATGATTTTCAAGTTTGAGTTTATCTGAAGCAAATTTAAGTTTGCTTCTATTTCTGCTCAAGCTTTAAAAAATAATTCTGTTTCAAGTTTTAGAAAAATTCTGGTCAAGTTTTTAGATAATTCTGATTTTTAATATTTCTGCTTCAAGTTTCTAATAATTTTTAGTTTCAAGTTTTAATTAATTCTGGTTAAAATTTGATAATTCTGATTCAAGTTTTAATGCTTCAAGTTTTAAATAATTCTGTTTCAGGTTTTAATAATAATTCTGGACTAAGTTTTTCTAATTCTGATTCAAGTTTCTAAATAATTCTGATTTTTAATATTTCTACTTCAAGTTTTATAAAACACTCACCTTATCGTCTCTAACTGTAATCGGTCTATCTTCTCTAATACGCTCCAACGCAGCCGGGCACTGAATTCTGTGTTGACGAACAAATTCTTCAATGCTCATACCCGGAACTAGGCGAAGTGCAACTTTTATTTGGACTAATAATTTTGAACATTCCGCTGTGTATTCTAGGGAAATTTAAAAAATTGGGGGGAATTTTTGTTTATTTTTTAAACCTTTAGAAGGCACATAATCTCTTGAATAAACTTTTTCTAAACATTCCAAAGCGTTTATCATTGCATATAATTCTGACATGTTGTCTATACGGTCACGTTCAGAATTGTTGTCGAACAGGCGAACCTATTAAAATAATTCAGCTTGTTTTTAAATAATTCTGATTTTTAAAACATTTAATTCTGAAAAAGTTTCTAATAAAAATTCTGATTTTTATAATAATTCTGTTCAAGTTTTAAATTAATTCTGGTTTTTCTAAACATTAATTCTGAAAAAGTTTTTTGAAAAATTCTGGTTTATTTTTATAATAATTCTGATCAAGTTTGAAATTAATTCTGGTTTTTCTACACTTTAAATTCTGAAAAAGTTTTTAATAAAAATTCTGGTTTCTTTTTACAATTATTAAAAACTTGAATCAGAATTAGTATTTAAAATTTAAACCAGAATAATATAAAACTTGTTTTTAAATAATTCTGGTTTATTCTGAAAAAAGTTTATTTTAATAATTCTGATAAAGTTCATTTTTGATGTTTCTGATTTAATTTCTTAAAGATAATTCTGTTTCAAGTTTTAACATAATTATGATTTGTTTTTAAACTTTTAATTCTGAAATTTATTCCTCCTAACTTGAAGCAATTTTAATTACTTAATTAAACTTGAAATAAAATTCTGATTTATTTTAATTTCTGAAAATAAAACTTACTTCTTGGTCAAGGTCGGAGGCCATATTTCAATTAGAAAAACAATCTAAAAATTCAAAAAAAAATTTTTATAAAATCAAATAAAAAATATTTTTAAAAGCTACATAAGCTAATTAATTATTTAAAAAAATTAATCTTTATTAAAATTTAATTTTTATTTCAATTAATTTACACTACACACACAAAATGTCTCCTTTATATTTTACATGAAAAATTAAATTTTTATTTCAATTTTATGACTGAATTTTGGAAAAATGAAAAAAATAATTTTAAAAGAATAATTGTTAATTTTCTGGTATTTTTCGAAAAAAATTTTTTAATTAAAAAAATTTATTTGCAAAAAAAAAAAAATTGTTAAAATTTTTTTTAAAAATCCCAAAAATTTTTCAGATAAAAAATCTAAAAAAAATTTCAAAAATCCTATAAAAGTTTTATTGAATTTTTTGGGATTTTTAAAAAATTCAGGAAAAAATCAAAAGAAAATTTTCCAAAAAATTTCAAAGAATCCAAATTTTTTTTTTCAATTTTCCAAAAAAAAATTTTCAGTCAAAAAAATTTTTAAAAAACAATTATATAAAAATTAAATTTTTTAAAAAAATACTATAATATTAATTCCAAATCTTCCATAATTTTATTTTTAGACAATTGTGCAATCATTAAAGGTAAATTTGAATATTTACTTTTTTTACTTCTTAAATCCTCCTCTTTTTGATTTTTAGAATTTTCATTATTTTCAATTATATACCGATTAATTCCCCATTTTAATTTTCCTAAATGTTGTTTTGATGATTTTTTTGTTGTTAAATTATTATTATTATTGAAGGAAGATAGAATTTCTTGGTAGAAATTATCTGCAAAAAAATTGAAAAGAAAAAATTAAAATTTTAGGAGAAAATTATTTAAGAGCCCAACAACTATTTAAAAATTGTTTTCGAGTAATTTTTGAATAGGCCCAAAAATCTTCGAGGGCGAGAGTTTCGGGTTTCGGGGTTGCCGGGGTAGAGCCTTCGAAATTCGGGTCGGGGTTTTTGCTCAAAAATTCGTCGGGGGACGGGGTGCTATCCCCCCTATTTTGAACTTTAGAGGGCCCCATTTCATTCCTTCCTTATTCAAAGAAAGGGATTTTGCGAAAGAATTTTGAAAAGGTTCCAGACTTTCTAATTCAAAAACCGGAAAAAATTTTTAATACCCTCAAGACTATATTTATTTTTCCAATATTTACAAAATTCAAAAAAATTTCGAAAAAAAAACCTTCAATTTGTTTCATTTCATTTTCAACTTGTTCCAATTTTTCATCAATCCTTTTAGATATTTGTTGTTTTGTATATTCCTTGTCATGTTCAAAATTGTTTAAAGCAAATTCTCGTTGAAAATTTAGCTTTCTTGTGAGGGCATCGAGTCGAAGAGTTTTGATTATTTGAAGATTCTAAGATGAAAAAAGTAAAATGAGGGAAGGGGGGAAGGGGTTTTCAATGGATGGAGAAGATTTGAGATTATCCCGTGTTTTTCGGTTAATAAGGATTTTTTGGTAAGACAGACAAGAGAACAACAACTGAAACAGACAATAAGTCTGAAATTGGAAAAGAAAATAGCAATCGAGTCCGTGGTCCATGTTTCCTAAACCTGTAAACAAGGTCGTAGCCAGGGGGCTAAAATGGGGTGTGCGCCCCTTGCTTCTTGCGTCTGTTCCAGTGTCACAAAAAACAAGGAACAAAACAGCCTGACAAGTGAACTGACAAGGAGCAAGTGAACCGACACTGCGGACAAGTGAACCGACAGTGTGGTTATCCTTGTTTACCGGTTAATAAGGATTTTTAGGTAAGATTGGCAGAATTCGGTCATTTTTTGGCCCAATTTGACAAAGAACCCGCAACTTCCTATAGTAAAATAATGACATCACAAATCGGTTTCTCAAGTTTCATCAAGTCCGAACAAAATTTAATTTAAAAGAAAACCTTTCTCCTTGTATCAAATTCAGAATCCAATTGAGCCTTCCGCCTTAAGAAAATACTACAACGCCTATTTAAAATATCGTCTTGAAGTTTTTCGAACTGAATAGAAAAATTTTAAAAATTAAAATTTAAAAGAAAAACCTGCGACATCTTAGCTTTATGCAATTTTAATCTCAAATCATTAAAGCGCCTTTCAGTGTGAAGAATTTTGGCTAGATATTCTTCCCGTTTAGATTCGGCTAAAGGTGGTGGAGGAGGAGGATCAGCTAAAAACAGAATTTAGAAGAGAAATACATTTAAAAAAAGGTCTGAATGAACTTAAAGACCTGCTCAACCTAGCAACGATGAGTTAAGAAAATGGGAGGAAAAATGGACGGAGTTTGGAGAAAAGGGAGTGGGGTGGAACCTAAAGTTTGATACGAACCAATTTCTAATTGAAAAAAACGAGGAATGGAGAAATTGTTCAAAATCATATTTAAACCGAATTTTGCCAAAGTCTGAGTTTTTAAGGGCCAGCCAGGGTTTTTAGTCCTTAGAACCAGGATCAGATAGAAAGTGGAAATAGGCCTAGGCTTTCCAGCATCCGGAACCAGGATTCTGCCATTTCAATGGATTCGAAAATTAGCCTAGATTTAAAAATGAAAGTTAAAAATTCATCTAATAGATTTTCATAAACAAGCCCGAGCCCAAGCCAAAGACTTACTATTTTTAAACAAAAAAAAAAGAATTTACCACTGCTTGAAGCAACAGAAAAAGCATTAAAATTGTTCATAACCTCAAATTACCAATGAAAAAGTTGAATAAAAAAAAGAGATTATAATACCTAAAAAATCTAAAAATATTAATCAGAAAATTTTAGAAAAAAAATCGGTACTTATGAAGATGGAGGTGCCCTTTCTGCGGACTTTTTTTTGCGGACTTTTCTTCCCTTCTTTTAAATGTTTTACTTGTAGCAACTAACTGTCAACGCCACTCCCCCATTATTCTTCTTACCTAAGATTGTACATAAAGGTCAGATTTTCTTCTTCCTCTCCTTCCTCTATTTGCCCTGTGGCAAATTCAAACAAGAGACATTGATGAAGAGAAGATTAATTTTATAGTCATACACTTATTTTTTTGCCTTCGAAAACAATTTAAACAAAAAAAAAGAATTAAATAAAATTGATTTGGTGTATAACATTATGAATTTGTGTGTAAAAACATTACATTCTTACTTCTATTTTAAAATATTGAACAACTGAGAAAATAAATTGAACTCAGTATTGAACAACTCAATTAATTTTAATCTTCTCTTTATCAACAATATCTCTTATTTGAATATGCCAAGCTCAAACAGAGGAAAGAAGGAAATCTGACCATTTTGTACAATCTTAGGTAATAAAAATAATGGGGGGGGGGGGACAAGGTTTGAAATTACCCGCATTTCTGTTCCACAATAACATATTCTTTTTCCATGAAGTATTCCGAGATCAGTGATCCATTGTCGAAATTCATCATCGTGTAATTGAAAATTTAGTTAAAGTCAAATTTTTTATTGATTGTAACATTTTTACGCTTATATATTCAAATTAATCGTTAACACATATTTTTCAAATTGGCATAAAAAAAATCCTTTGACAGTTAATTGCTACGAGCAAAACTTGCTGAAAGCAAAACAACCAAAACATTTAGAAAGAAAGAAAAGTCCGCAAAAAAAAGTCCGCAGAAAGGGCACCTCCATCTTCATAAGTACCAAAAAATCTATAAAAAATTCTAAAAAAACAAAAATTTGATAAATATAAGAAAATAGTAAGTTAAAACAGGAGAGTGAAAAAAAGAAAATGGAGAAAAAAGGGCTCCAACGGAAAAATTGCCAAAAACACATTTTGCCAATAAGGCTAAAAATTTACATTTTGTCACAAGCAGAAAATTTGCTTGTTGACAAAATGCAAAATGGCAAAATTATTGGCAAAATGTGTAATCGACCAAATATGAGAAACGGTGATAGGTACAAAAAGTCTAAATTAAACATTATGCCAAAAATAAATTAATTTTGCTAAATTTAAGTGATAAAATAGGAAGAAAGTTTCCCAAGATTTTCCCACGGATTTCACAAATTTTAAAGAAAAAGAATGGCAACTTCAACCGATTTGGACAACGAAAAGCGCCGTAAAATGCAAAATATGCTTCTAAGTAAAGCTAAAAAGCGTCGAATGGTTAATGAAAATGAAGCAAATCAACAGGTTTTCTTAAAGAATTTTTGGTAATGTTGAACCGGACAGACCCCCTTTTCCTCCCCAATTCTTCCCCTAATTTCTAAAAATATTCAGACTTTTTTCCAACCAAAAAGGAATTAAATAATCCTTTTTGTTTTGATTTAGGCAAAATTAGGGTACTTATTGGCTATCCCAAAGTAGTTTTTGCGGACATTTTATGCGGACTCATTTTTGCATGGAATGGTCAAAGCTTCTTCCGCCCAACAAAGCAAGAAGGTTCTTCCTTCCTAAATTTCACTCAATTTTCCTTGTGGCTTCATTCATTGAGAGCACAGAGAAAATCGAGGAGTAAAGAACCTTTGACCATTCCATGCAAAAATGAGTCCGCATAAAATGTCCGCAAAAACTACTTTGGGATAACCAATAGGTAGCAAAATTAGAAAGGCATTTTGGATGGAAGAAAGGAAAAAGTCTGACCATTTTGCAAAAATATAAGGGAAGAATTGGGGAGGAAAAAAGGGGTCTGTATGCTTCAGTATTACCGAATTTTTTTTAAATTTTTTTCCTCAATTTTCAGTCCTCCTCAACCTCTTCAATTAAAGACGACGAAATTTGTGTTGTTTACCACACAAAAAAAGAAATTAAAAAGAAGGAAGAAGAAGAGGTTGTGTTTATTGGAGAAAATAAAAGTGAAAAAATAAAGGGAAAAGAGGAGGTTTTGTTAAGAGGAATGGCGACACAAGCATTGATTCGGGAAGCTAATCGTTCTGCACTGAGGGCAAAAGAATATGGGCCTCAAGGATGGTTAGAAATTTAATTTAAAAAATTTTTTCCGGAAATTTTCCGAAAAAACACACAAATTTACAATAAAGATCGAGATTTTTGAAAAGCTTTTTGATTTATTGACCTGGGCCGGGTCCTGGGCCTATAGTCCAGGAAAACCCCAGGCCCAGGAAAAACCCACGAAGGCCAAAAAATGCCTGGGCCTGGACTCTAGGTATAGGAAAAACCCCCAGGCCTGGGTCCAGATCACACTTAAATCTCCGGAAAAGTCCTAAAAGTTTCCGGAAACCCCAGAATTAAAATTGAAATATAATTTTCTTGAAAACAATTTGATATTTGTGGGTTATTCCCAACCAGATTTTTGCGGATAAATTTATGCGGACTCACAATCACAATGGTCTCATAATGGTCAGAGCATCCATACTTTCTCCTTTTCTCGATCCAATGTATTCGAGGACGTGATAAGTGATTGGGGGAAATATTTGGAGGTTTGAATGATTTTTCTTTTTATATCTGACCATTACGAGTCCGCATAAATATGTCCGCAAAAACTGGTTTTCCGCAAAAACCCCACACTTTCCTCTCTTTTTATACTTTTTTCTCAATTCTTTTTTCAGGTTAAAACCTCGTGCTTTAACTACAAATAAGCGTTTTCTGGCTAGGACGTTACAATCTGTTGAACTTGACAGAAAGGAGTTTGAACAAAAAAGGAAAATGGTGGCAGAAAAGAGAAGGGCTGCTGAACGATAGTTTTATTTTTAATTTATTTTATAAGTCAAAAAACGTGTTTTTAAAGTAACAATAAAGTGATTGTGTATTTTTAAGTGTACCTTTGAATATAGAACCAAAAAGACTTTTTTTCAGAAGAAAAAAATTTCGAATTAAAATATGAGTTTGCGGACAACATTTGCGGACATTTTCCAAACAATCGATTATTTGTAAAAAAAAGTCCGCAAGTTTTGTCCGCAAAGTTTTTACCAAATTTGCGGACAATATTCCGAATATCAAATTTGCGGATATTATTCCAAATAAGTTATTTGGAATAATATCCGCAAATTTGGTAATTTCAATTATGTCAGAAAACTTGCGGACAAAACTTGCGGACTTTTTTACGAGTAATCAGTTATTTGAAATGTTCGAAATAACTGATTACTCGTAAAAAAGTGTCCGCAAGTTTTCTGACATAAATTGAAATTACCAAATTTGCGGACATTTTACCAAAACTACTTGAAACGCAAGTTTTATCCGCAAACTGACAAAAATTTAAAAACAAATTTGTGGACAAAACTTGCGGACATTTTACCAAACAATCGATTACTTGAAATAAAAGTCCGCAAGACTTTTCCAAATAATTTTTTTGTAAAAAGTCTGCAAGTTTTATCCGCAAATTTCGAGAAAGGTCATTCCAACATTTCAAGGCCTTTTACAAAACTTGAGAGATTTTCATTACGAGTATTGAAAAAACAAATAAGTCAAGATCAATTAAATTTAAAAAAACCTCCAAAAACTTCTTTATTCTTTTGAAGTTTCTTCCATTTTCTTCTCTTCACTAGAGCCTTCCCCACATTTCTCCTCCTCGTCAATTTCATCCTCTTTCAATTCCTCCCCTTCATTATTCTCAAAATAGTCTTCTTCTTCTTCCTCTCCCCCCATCCCTTCCAAATCATCAAAACCTCCCCCAGGCATTCCAAAACCTCTCCCTCCTCCTCCATTGACTGGCATAAATTTAGAAAAATCCATTGGGGCAGTAATACCCTCATCTTCATAATCAGAAACCTCATCTTCATCTTTCCATTTATTAAAGTCAACTTTGATCCATGGAACCTTTCCTGGCATTTTTAAAAGTCGAGGCCACCATTCTTCCTTTTCTTTTGGAATGACGAGTTCTAACCTTTGAAGAGAATAAATTTTAATTGTTAATCAGAGATCGAAACTGAGAAAAGTGCCAGAAATCGGATGACCGACGCCTCTGGAACCCATGAATGTGAATAGGGTTGCTAAAATGGCCCGACTCGGATTGAAAGATCGAGTCGGGCCTAAGATAAAAACAAGCCCGAAAAAATGCCTCGACCATCGCCCGACATGGCAACCCTAAATGTGAACAGAAAAAGGCAAGAAAATGCGAATGTAAAGGGAGAACAAATTGTTCTCTTCATTCTCCCAAGCTGCTTTATGAGCAGCAAATGACTTCCTCTAAAGTTGGCGACCGGTTAATTCTAGCCTGTGGCGGTTTTCGTTATGAAAATTCCTCGTTTAGCCGCCATAGGCTGAAATTAACCGGTCGCCAACAACGTCAATTTCATTTTTTGTTCTTTCCTTATCTAGGATCCTATTTAAAATAATATAATCTTGCGGACAAAATCTGCGGACTTTTTAAAAAACAGAGGAAAAGGGAACCAATACCCTCACAAACAGGCCCGTAGCCAGGGGGGGGGGGTTCGGCGTCAAAAATTTGGCCCAGAAAAATTTTCCCCCTTGCCCCCACACGAAAAAAAAATCCTGGCCACGGGCCCGCTCACAAATTCCCACCTCCCAGTTAAATTACTAAAATATAAACCTTCGATTAGTATCAACTTTCTTCCGTTCCGCTCCTTTCAATTTGCCATACAAGACGAGATCAGCCTCATACTTTTCTCCACCCTTTTCCCCCACTATTTTGAATTTGTCTTCTTCACACACCAATTCATTTATTTTTAAATTTCCATCTTCAATTGTCAAAAAGATTTGATTTACACGTTGAGCCCACAAAATTGATGGATGTTTTATTGAAGTCATTGAAAGAATTTAGATTTTTGTTTTCTTAAAGAATTGATATAAACTAGACAGTCGAACCTCACTGCCCCTTGGGGATTAAACGAGCAGCCGACCCCTTCCAATGGTCAATTATTAAAAACGAATTTACTCCCTATTCCCCTGACCATTTTGAGCTGGTTTTTTCTTCTTTCCCCCCACTGAAGAATAAAAGGAACTTACAAAGTGTTACCAAACAGATCTTAAAAATGAGGTGTCCCTTAAATTTAAGATGGGGTATTTTATAGTAAAGTTCGGCTGTATTAATAAAATACAAAAAAAAACAAGTCACAGATAATTTTTAAAAAATATAAAATTCAATTTTAAAATTAAATTTAGAATTCGAAAATAGAAATGTTCAGAATTAAAATATTTATCAAATAAAAAAAAATACAAAATTATCAATATCCTTTTTTCAAAAAACAAAATTTTATTTTAAAATCGTAAAAAAAGAATTATTGGTGGAGAGGACCACATTCTTTGTTCAAAGAGGATTCAACTGAAAAATAAATTTGAAAATAATTTTTGATCTATACTGATGTGAGTGGGGGGAAAGGTCCAAAAAATTATAAAATTTCTGATTTAAAAATCAAAATAATTAAAAATGGGATATCCACTTTTTGCGGACTTTCTGCAAATATTTGCGGATTTTCTGCAAATATTTTTGCGGACTTGTTAAAATTTTAAGTCTCGAAAAATTTCGTTCAATAAGTGTCACTCCACCCTCAATTGCCAAAATAAGGTCTCCCAAAAATTTTTTCAGAAAATTAAAAAATTTTAAAGACCCCTTGCTAAACTCTTTTCCAGCTCTTGAAGCGACATAGCTAAATGCCAAAATCTTTTTTTTGGTTTTTATAATTCAAACCTTGACGAATAATTTTTTCCCATTTAAAAAATCGTGTTTTTCTCTCTCCTTTTACTTAAATAAATTTACAAATTTTTCTAGAAAATTTTTTAGGAAATTTTTTCGCTAACCTCTTCGTTGCAAAGAGAAAACAACAAAAACAAATTGACAGAAAATTAATTTTTTTCCGTGAAAACTGGGAGGAGGTCAGAAATATTTTTGAAATTTTAACGCTATAAACTTACAAAAAATATAGATACCCTTCCAAATATGAGACTTGTCCAATATTTTTTAAGGTCGAAAATGAGCTGCTAAACTGCGAGCAAATTGTGGAACGATACGTATTGCCATTAATTCTTCCTAGAAATTGAAGAAAGTAGAAATAGGATAATTATAGCGGCAACAAGCCCATAACTAAGAGGAGGATGGGGGTCCCCTTCCATTTTTCCGAAATGGGAAAGAGAAAAAAATTGGGGAGACTGTTTATCAAAACCTTAATAAACAACAAAAATAAAGGTATCACTTGGATGAGCTTAAAAGTTCCCAACAAAAAGATTAACGTTTTAGAATGCACAGGGGCTTCAACCGCCTGAAAAGGAAATCCAAAAAAGATGGGCCCGTTTTCAATTCCTTCTGAAAATTGAGGGAAATTAAATTAGGATCGAGTTGTTGGATCACTCCAAATTTGTCCCGAGGAAACTAAATCTCATACCCCTCCAAATTTAACTCAAAAATACAAAAAAATATACCAATGACTCATACTCATCCGGGCAAATTATCCTCGTTTTGGCGCCAATAAACACCCCTCCTTCAGGTTTCTTTGAAGTTGACGCTTCTCCTCCTTCATCATTTTTATTTTCGCCCCTCGTATCTTTCGACTCACCACCTAGAAAATCTTTTTAAGAAAAACAAATTTAAAAAACCTTGATAAGCAGCAAAAGCAGCAGCCGGTGTTGGCGGCAATGGCGGGGCATCTTCCATTTGTAAAAAATTTGGAGCGGATGACGAACTTGTAGGTATCATATTTGACATTATTTGTGCTGGCATGCCGTGAATTGGTGGTCGCATCATTGGAAAAGAGCCGTTGGGGCCTAAAAAATTAAAAGGGGATAAATTGGCGTTACATACAGAAGGGATGGCCGAAGCGAAAAATGCCAGGTCGGGGGTAGGATTGGGGTTCGAAATTTTTTCGGATCGAAGTTAGTCGAAAAAGTCCGGGTTTCGCGTCGAGACAGCACCGAGGGCCAGGGTAGTGAGATTAAGAGAGGATCTTTTCGAGTCTGGTGTTCTAAACGTTCCCAGATCGGACATTGGTTTCCGTTTCGAAAAAGATCGGGTTTCGGCTATCGGACAACATGGCCTACTGACACAGACATCTATTACCTATCTTGGGCAAGAAATGTCAGATCGGGGTTCGGATTGTATTTATCAATCGACACAGACATCTACAAAAAAGTAGTAAATGTCTGTGTCCAGGTCCGACCAGTGGCAAAAAATAAAAATCTAAAAATGTTTAAACAAACCGAAAGGTGGCATAAAAGGCCTCATCCCCATCGCAGGCATTCGTATCAAACCACCAGCCGCCTGGAATTGTTGCATTGCAGCCATCCCAGGCATTAACATGGGTGGAGCAACAGGTGGTAAAGGCGGCATTGCAGGACGGGGGATTTTAGAAGGTGGTGGAGTTGTTTCATTAGGCTTTCTGAAAAGGGGTTTTAATGATTAAAAATTTCTAAAAAATCAACAAACGCATCAGGCGGCAATCCTTCCATTCCATAAACTTCAATATTAACATTGTCCCTCCCTGGCACAGCCCCAGGAATTTTGTCAATCGTTTCCTTGTGTACCTGCATACAATGAATAGCCAGCCCCGGGCCTGTGAAGAGTTTTTTGTTGCAGATGTGGCATTTGAAGTGTTTGGCTTTTTGATGTTGAATGAGTATTTTTTCGTCTTCAAATTCGCGATTGCAATACCTTTAAACGAGTAATTGAAAAATATTGAAAAAATTTTGAAAAAATTCCGTCAAATGTCCCTTACTTCGATGAGGACGATCAATATGGCATTTAAAAGAGCCTGACGAGCTGAATTAAACGACACCAGAATTGAGCTCACTATCATCTGCAGATTCGAATTTCCACACCAAAAATCAGCGTGGTCCCTCCCTACATTTTTGACCATTCTGAGACCATAACAAGGGTTGCAAGCTGAATTTTGATACCCGAGCTTAAGTGTGGCGTCATTCGACTATGCTCGACGGTCTCTTTCAGATGGCATATTGATTGTCCTAATCACAGTAGGAGACGTCGGAATTTAACCAAAAATCTTTCAAAAATTGCTTACCAACACCAAGGCTTCTGTGGCTTCTTCTTCTTTCTTCCCATTTTCTTGAGTTATATTTATTCAAAACTGAAACTTTATCTACACTCCCTAACAATATGTCGAAAAATGAGTAGAAAAAACTGTATAGAAAACAAAAAAAATTGTTGAAAGCCCTCAAAAATCGAAGAAAATACGGACAAAAACGTTCCTCCCCTTCAATTTGCCATTTAAAAAGTCGTCTTTTATTGATTTTGGCATTCCGTTTAATTACAGTAATAATTTGCAGTCTTTTTCTTTTTTTTGTGTAGTGTCTATTTTCTCTTTTTCTATTATTTTCTCTTATTTTTAACGTTATATGCCGTTATCTCTCTTTTCAACATGTATATTTCAACACATATTTTGAAGTAATGTGACAATATTTTGCCTATACACATTTTGCCAATAAGGCTAAAAACTCTCGTTTTGTCATCAAGTTTGTGACAAAATGTGGGATTTATCCCTTATTGGCAATATGTGGTATTGGCGAAATGTCGGAAAGCCCTACAATCAATTTCTTTTGCTGTCATTTGATTTTTGTTCGATTTTATTGACGTTTTCGCTTAGTTTTGAAAGCTTTTTGTCATTCGATTTGTGTTTAGATTCATTTTTCCAAATTTTAAAGGTTCTAGAAACGTCTTTTGAAGTGTTAAAGTAAATTTAAGGCGAATTTTGAGTTAAAAATGGGGCTTTTAGCCTTGGACTCGCTCATTTTTCATTCCTTAATCGAATAAATCGTTCATTTTTTACTTTTTCAGACAATCTACTCTTTCACAAACTATTATAAATTACAAATATGGGTCGTCGTAGCGGTCGTAGTGCTTCTCCTCGTTCCAGTGGACCTGTTCGTCGGGCCCCGTCGTCTCCAATGCGTACCACCACTCCGGCAACTGTTCCACCTCCTGCTCCCCAGCAACGTCAACCTGGACTTTTAGGGCAAATGGCTGCGACTGCTGGTGGTGTTGCTATTGGATCGGCTGTGGTATTTTTTTCTTTAAAAATTATTTGGGGGGTGGTTGGGTATTAGTGGGAGACTAGCTTTGGGGCAATTGATATAATTTTTTCTAATTTTCGCCATTCTTCCCACCGTTGTCGATTTCGTCCTACATTAAGAAAGTCCGCAAAAAAATCTGTCCGTAATAAGTTGCGGACTTTCTGCAAAAATAAATTTGTCCGCAAAAATTTTGCGGACAACAAATTGCGGACAGTCCGTCCCTTTCAAATACTCAATTTTCCAAAATTTGTAGGGTCACGCCGTCGGCAACATGTTCTCTGGAGGTCGTTCTGCTGAGCAGGAGCAGCAGCCAATGTACAACGAGCAACAGAGTGGTGGACAGAAGCAATACTCTAATGACTGTGAAGTTGAGTGGCGTCAATTCTTGGACTGGTTAATTTTTAAATTAAATTTTTTGAAATTTTTTTCGAATATTTTTAAGCACTGAGCGTCAAAATGACGTTAGTTTCTGTCAATCTTTCAATGATTTGCTCAAGGATTGCAAGGCTCGTATGCAAGGAGATCGTCTTTTGAAGCAGATGTTTACTTAAAGAAAAATGAAAGCAAAATGGAGAAGAAAAAAAGGAGGAAGGAAAAAATAATTTTCTGTTAAATTCTAGGGCAAAAAAATATTTTCTTTTAAAAATAAATTCTTTGTGGCAAATAAATGCGTAAATTGTAAACCCTTTCTGCCCAGTAAAAATTAAATAAATTTGCTGGAAATTAATTTTGTGTTTCAATTTGTTTAAAATCAGAAATGTTTAAGTTTCTGAGAAAATACAAAAATCAGAATATTTTTAAAAACTTTTCTTTTCTGAACAGGCGGTATTTATTTGTTCCCGCCTATTTTAATTAATCTTCTAGAAAAAATCAGAATTTAAATAAAACAGGCGGGAATAATCGAAAATTCTGAAAATCAGAATTTATTAATTCCGCCTGTTTTATTTGAATTCTGATTTTTGTATTTTATTTAAAACAGGCGGAAATACATTAAATTCTGATTTTCAGAATTTTTGATATAAAAGGCGGAAATATTAAAAATCAGAATTTTTAATATTTCCGCATGTTTTATTTAAATTCTGATTTTTTAGCACTTGTCAAATATTCCGCCTGTTTTAAATAAAATACAAAAATCAGAATTTAAATAAAACATGCGGGAATATATAATAGAATTCTGAAAATCAGAATTTTGACTATTTCCGCCTGTTTTGAATAAAATACAAAAATAATCAGAATTATTTTTTATTTTAGGTTTCTTTAAAGTTTATTTAAAAGATGACGCATACTATTTTGTTAATTCAATCAAGTGCAAAAGTGGACTCGAGAACATGGTTAATTATTTTATTTTCGGGTTTTAAAGGCCAAACCTTTCTGGCTTTCATTTTGCCTAAATTCTGCTAAAATTCACTTGCGGACATTTTTTGCGGATTAAAAGATTTTTTGCGGATGTCCGCAAATTTTTTGCGGATTGAAAATTTTTTTCTGACAAAAAAATTTTTTTGCGGATTAGAAAAGTTTTGCGGATCAAAAAAATCCTTGCGGATTCAAAAAATTTTTTGCGAATTTTTGAGCTCACATAAGCCGTGCCCTTTATTGGTTTTTGTTAGAACCTCTCCTCATTATCTCCAACTGCTCTACCTGACTCGGAGCTGCCCGGGTGTTTTAAGAAAGGCTTTTTTATGAGGCATCCCTTAACTTATCTAAAATTTCCTTTTTCAGGAGCGATTATGAAACTTTGACAGACTGCATGGAAGCAGTTTGCAAAATTTATGAGGAGCATCTTAAAAAATTAAATCCAGATTTGCCATGCATTCAGTATTTTTTTTATTTAAAAAATTTTATTTTTTAATTTTTCAAACTTTAGATACGACATTTCGGACCTTTTCAAATTTATTGACCGTTTGGCTGATTTGTGCTGTCTGGTTTTGGATAAAAATGTTTATGTGCCTAAGGTTTGTTTGAGCATTTTGCGTGATAGTTTTAGGGATTTTGGAAGTTTTTTTGAACAATAGGACGGGGAAGTTGAAAAAAACTGGGCAAATTTTGCGACTTTTAGGGATAAAGAGGCTAACCTTTAAAACTTACGTGGTGGGGGGGGGTGTAATCAATTAGCACCCCCAAAATAGCTCTAATCGGTAGAGCACCTTTTTAGTGGATAAGGAGGAGATTCATTGAGTCCGTGGTGAGCGAAAGCTTCTAGCAATAATTGCATTAAGACTTCGAAGACTCACTGGGTCTGAACTTTTATCTGTCTTACTATAACTTTACCAATTACATATCTCCAAGCCGATACTGCATTGTGGTCCCTTTTAATGGATCTCCTCCCTGTCCAGTAGGGACCAGAGTTGGTACTTGTGAGTTATCTCATACCAGTTTTGGAGACATATTTATCAGGACTCATTCATATTAGAGAATAGTCAGGCTTTCTTATTTTGACTCTGTTGGCATCAGGGCTTGGCTGACATTGCAAAAATTAATTTTTTCTTTCCTTGGATAATGCCACCGGGAAATAGAATGAAAATGAGCAAGTCTGACCATTTTGTGTATATAAATGAGTCACATATGTCGCAAAAACTGGTATCAGATAACTCACAAGTACCCCCAGAGTTGTTTTGAAATTTAGATTTTCGAAGATTTTTCTGTTTCGAAACAACTCTTCTACGGAACTGAAATCCTTTAACTGCTCAAGGTTTTGGTAAAGAACTTCCCCATCAGAAAACTTTCTCAAAAATGTTTTTAACTTCTAAAAAAATTTTTTTCCCAATTTAAAGGGCAAAGATTTTATCAAAGAGCAAATATTCATTCTTCTTCGTGGACAAGCTTCTGCCAAGCCTAAATGAGATGAAAGGAATGAGGAAGGATCTCTCTCTTTTGACTTTACTATTTTACAAACTTTCGTTTGGTTCAATGTTTAATTTAATTTTTAATATATAAAAAAATTTTGGGTCCTTTAAAGCTTAAGATGACTTTTTGGGGTAGGAGCAGGCCAAGGTACCTCAGAGTTTTCGAAAATTCTTCGTTCAGAATTTTCCGAATGCGGGACGCCCTGGCATGGTTCGATGCGTCTCGGCGAGCTGTATAGAACTATACCAGGGCGTCCCGGATTCAACAATTCTGAACGAAGTTATAGCTCTGCGGTACCTTGAGCCTGCGGTACCTTGGAGCGTACCCTTTTGGGGTTGACAATTTTGTGTTTTGTATGTTCACATAAATTTGTGTGAATTAAAATAATATTTTGTATCGTTCTAAAACCTAAGTATTTCCGTTTAAAGTAGAAAATCTTTAGAAAATTCCGCAAATTTTTTTTTGCGGACTGTCCGCAAATTTTTTGCGGACAAATTTTTTCAATTTTTCCCATTCTATTAAAAAAATTCCCTTCTAAAATTTTACTCAAATACCAACAAACAACTTTGAGAAACAATGAATAAATTAAACAGAATTATTAAAAGAAAAACTTTTGAGTAAATTAAAATATGAAAAACGAAAAAATGAGTAAAAATGGCAAAGGTGTAATTTAGATAGGAACGAAAAATTACAGATAAATTGTTTGCAGCCAAAAAATATATTTAACGGGGGAAATTGACTTGCGGACTAAATTTGTATAATTGCGGATTGTCCGCAAATTTTTTGCGGACGTCCACAAATTTTTTGCGGACAGTCCGCAAAAAATTTGCGGATTTTTCTGATTCTTGCGGATTTTTTTAAAAAAGTTCTGATTTTAAAAAATTCTGATTTTTATTCTGATTTCTGAAAATGTTCTGATTTGTCCACAAATCTAGTCCGCAAGTTTTTCTTGACATAACAAGCTTGCATTTTTAACAAATAGGAAAATAAAACAACCGTTTTTGAATTGGAAATACTAGCTAAAATCACAAATTATATAAATATTTGCTAGAAAGCTTTTTTTTTTTGTATTTTTTAAAATAATATTTATAACCTCGTTGTTGCAAACATAACAAATTCTCTCTCCTCACATTTCATCCAGAAATGATATTGTACTCCTGAAAATAAAAAAAAATAATTCTGATTTATAAAAATTCTGGTTTTTTGAAAATTCTGATTTAAGAATTCTGATGGAAAATTCTGATTTTTTAAAAAATTCTGGTTTTTTAAAAAATTCTGGTTTTTAAAATTCTGATTTTTCAAAAAATTCTGGTTTGAAAATTCTAATTTTTGAAAATTCTGAAAAAATTCTGATTTTTTTTTCAGAAATTCTGATTATTCTCCTTACCCAGCATTTTTCCGTTGAAATCGTTGATATTGTTTATAACGACCCGATTTTGCCAATTTTTCCTTTTCTTCCAAATCTTTTTCATGTTTCCACTGATCGAACACATCTCGTTTCCACAGCTCTTTAATTAAATATTCATCGATTAATTTTTGTTCTGTTGTCTGAAAAAATAAGAATTAAATAACAGAATTTTATTTAAAACAGGCGGAAGCGATTAAATATTGAAAATCAGAATTTCCTATGTATTTACGCCTGTTTTATTGAAATTCTGGTTTTTGTGTTTTACCTAACAGGCGCCTGTTTTAGGCAAAACACAAAAACCAGAATTTTAGTAAAACAGGCGGAAATATTAAAAATTCTGATTTACAGAATTCTGTTTATTCCCGCATGTTTTATTTAAATTCTGATTTTATCTAAAACAGGCGGAATATTTAACATCGAAAATCAGAATTTTCTATATATTTCCACCTGTTTTATTGAAATTCTGGTTTTTGTGTTTTACCTAAAACAGGCGTAAATAAATAGAAATTCTGATTATTTAATTTTATTTATTTCCGCCTGTTTAAAATAAAATACAAAAAACCAAAATTTACGGAAATATTTTAAAAATTCTGATTTTTTGTAGTTTACTTAAAAAATATACTTGAAATTGTTCTTCAGAAAGCTTCAAATTTCTCCTAATTAAATACAATTTAGCCTCATCATCATAATCTTTTTTACAAATCCAAAATTTAAATATCCAAGAGGCTCCCCAACGGAGTTGAGCAAACAGAGTTACTGGCAAAATTATCTAAAAAAGAGAAAAAAATTTTTTTTGAAAAATTTTCTGAGTGATTTTAGGGTTAGAAACGAATTTAGAAATATAAAAAAATTATTTTTAAAAATAACCAATTGCCAAGCTAATGTCTGGTAGACTGAAGGAGGCCTGTATCCGCCACTGATATTTATGTTTTCTTCTATTATTGAACTGAAAAAAAAAATTTTTTTTGATTTTTGGTTGAATTTTTGGTCCAAAAATTTTTTTAAAAATTTCAAAAAAAATTTTTCAGAAATTTTTCAAAAAAAACCTAATAACAGCCTCCGCGTCAATTCCATTTTTCTGCTTCTTTTTCACTTTACCAGTAAGTTTGTCAAAGTCTAAAACTCCCCTTTCCCTTGCAATATCAATAGCCATTGTTCGAAATTTTACTTGCTCTTTAGCGTATTTTAAAGCTTCTCTGTATTTTTGGTGAGCGCTAAGGTACTGAAAAAAAAAGAAATAAATTCTGATTTTTGTGTTTTTAAAAGGAAAAGTTGGGAAAAATACAAAAAATCAGAATTTAAATAAAACAGGCGGAAATAAACGAAAATTCTGAAAATCAGAAGTTTTTGAATAATTCCGCCTGTTTTATTTAAATTCTGATTTTTGTATTTTATTTAAAACAGGCGGAAATACATTAAATTCTGATTTTTAATGTATTTCCGCCTGTTTTAAATAAAATACAAAAATCAGAATAAGAGAAAACACAAATTCTGATTTATAATAAACGTAGAAAATTCTGATTTTAAAGGAAAACACAAAAATCAGAATGGAAGACAACGAAAATACAAGAAATTCTGGTTTTACAGAAAAACACAAAAATCAGAATTATAACGGAAAATACAATAATTTTATTTGTATTTTTCTCCAAATTAAATCAGAAGTTTGTCTATTTTTCTTCATTCTTAAAATTCTGATTTTTGTGTTTTTCTCTAAAAATCAGAATTTCTTGTATTTTTCTTTTCTTCTTAAAATTCTTATTTTTGTGTTTTTTCTCTAAAAATCAAAATTATGTGTATTTTCACAAAAATACTCATTTAATTAAATCAGAACCTGTATAGTCGACACCAACAAAATAGCCACCACAATAACAATGCGGACATCCACCCTCGGAGCAGTCCGCAACCGATAATATTGATAATACTTAAAAATTAATTTTTTTTTAAATTTAAATTAAATAAACATTGTAATAACGCTCCTCTGGATGATCCAAATAATAATCATAATATTCACGTGTTTCGTCGTCTTTGAGGGTCTCATAGGCTGTGGCTACTAGTCTAAATTGTTCTTCTGCTTCTTCCCGGTTCTTTAAAAATTAATTTAAATTTTGGAAAAAATTTTTTTCTGATCCTATTTGGTTGGAAAATTTTTTTTTCGGAATTAAAAAAAAATAAAAAATTTTTTTGCGGACAAATTTTTTGTCCGCAAATATTTTTGCGGACAAATTTTTTGTCCGCAAATATTTTTGCGGACAAATTTTTTGTCCGCAAATATTTTTGCGGACAAATTTTTTGTCCGCAAAAATTTTTGCGGACTTTTTTTATTCATAAATTTCTATAAACTTGTTCAGAAAAGACATCTCATTTGACTAAATAATTATTAAAAATAAATCCGCAAAAATTGTCCGCAAATAATTTTTTATTCAAAAATGCCAAAAAAATTTCAAAAATCAAATAAACCTCTCTTTTAGCCCTATCTGGGTGATATTGCCTTGCCAATCTTCTATAGATTCTTGGTAAATCGGTTTTGTTAAAATCGTCGCGGGAAATTTCGAGGACTTTAAAAAATAAATTTATTGATTTTTAAAAAATATTTTTGATCTTCCTGAGGTTTTTCCTGGACTACCGGCCCAGGTCAATAAATCAAACCCAGAACCCAGGAGCGGGCCCAGGCTTTTCAGAAACCTCGATCTCTAGTGGTTTGTGGGAGTGCCGCTAAAGGAAACCCTTCTATTTAACAAACACCTAATTATAAGGTAAAATTATTCAGATTCTTATAGTGAGGGCTGACTTAAAAATACTTTAATAAAAACAACAAACAAACCGTCATAACAAGTAACAGTCCCACAATAAAGTCCGGGCGCTAAACCAACAGAATGGACTAAATTGGGTAACAAAGCTAGCACGACAAAAGAAGGGAGCATTGATTTAAACATAATATCTTGAAGAATTTAAGGAAATTTTAAAATCAATTTGTAGGCTTAAGCATCCTGAAAAAAATTTTTTTGAATAAAAATTTGGAGGGACAGTAGAGTCTGGGCGGTTAGGAGTCAGTTTTTGGGCTATAACTTTTTTGTATTTCAACCTATTCGAATAATTTTTGTACCATTCGAAAGCTCTGAATGTGAGGATTATTTTAGCTGAAGAGACTGATCAGATCCGATTGCCCTCCAAAAAGTTATAGGCTGTTAAGTGACGAAAATCGTGATTTTTTAGACTTTTATGTCTCTAACTTTTTGTACTGTGGTCTTATCAGATCGCTCCCGTTAGAGAAAAGAATAAGCAAATCAAGAGCTTTCGAATAATATATGACTTGTACAGAAATTGTTAAAATACAAAAAAGTTATGGACCAAAAACTCCACTCAGTTGGCAAGACTCAAATGTCACGTCCTGTTATATTTTAAAAGTCGTCAGTTGAGTCTGAGCTGTTTTTGTTTAAGCAGGATAACTCAACAACTTCTGAACCATTCGGTATATTTTTGGTATCAATGGATAGAGAATTAAGTTAGCTATAAAATAACAAAAAAATAGAAAATTTGAAAATTTTGTCAAAAAAGATATGAGCAGAAAACCTCAAATTTCGCTAGTTTTACCTAGTTTTTCGACCACAACTTTTTTGCTAGTTATCCAAAAATTAAGCTTTATAGCTTATTTTGTAGCCAATTCAATTCTCTATCGAACGACACCAAAAACTAAAATAAAAGTTTTCGGGAAGCAGAGTTATAGAGCAAAGAATGCCGAATGGTTAGAGACTCTAGTGACTCTTACGAAATTTCAAAGAATTTTAAAATAAAAATTAATGGCCATATTTTAGACTGATTTATTGCTATATAGACAAGAATCAATTCAATAAAAAAGAGTGAATGCGCGAGAAGAGGAAGCTGAGTTGTACAAGAATTGCTTCGCGCACACTTACGGATAAATTTTTTGCGGATTTTTTTGAACTAAAATGAGTGTTGACTTTGAGCTCTTTTTTGGGCTATAACTTTTTTGTTTTTCAACAGTTTCTGTACAAATCATATATCATTCGAAAGCTCTTGATTTGCTTATTCTTTTCTCTAACGGGAACGATCTGATAAAACCATCGTACAAAAAGTTAGAGACATAAAATTCCAAAAAATCACGATTTTCGTCACTTAACAGCTTCTAACTTTTTAGAGGACGATCCAATCTGATCATTCTCTTCAGCTAAAATAATCCTCAGATCGAGAGCTTTCGAATGGTATAAGAATTATTCGAATCGGTTGAAATTAAAAAAAGTTATGGCCAAAAATCAGTTGCGACAATTCATCCAAATTCTGTCCGCAAAAAAATGTCCGCAAATATTTTGCGGACAAATTTAAATTTAATATTTCTCTATACAAATATGGACAAAGAAGCAAAGAAAAGACGATTGATTTTTATGGATTTATTAAAGATTTTTTAAAGGCTGGATTTTAGTTAATGTAAAAAGGACTGACCCAATTGATCACCTTCAAGAACATCAAAACCTTTTTTTCGCTGTCTTCTGCTTGGAAGTTTTTTCTTTTTTTTTTTGGTTTTTAAAATTTTTTTCCAACTTTCATTTTGTCTTAAAATTTATTTAAAATCACATGAAAAATTTTTTTTTAATATTTAAAAATTGTTTGGTACTGGTAGACATAATTAATCCACAAAGCTTCCGGTACACTTCTGTAACTTCCTCTCTCTCTCTTTAATCATAAAAAGATTTTAAGTATTTTTTTGGCCAAAAATCCGTCAAAAAATTTTTTAAATACTTTTTTTCGCTGTTCAAATAATTTAGTAGACAAAATTCCTCAATTTTGGATTGAATATAAAAGCAGCTAATTTTATTCAAAATTCATTTCCTCTCATTTTTTCCTCTCCAAGTTAGTCCTAAAGAATTTTAGGCTTCACAAAATTAAATTTAAAATTTTTTTAACGTTATAATGAACCCCAAAAAGAAATGTATGTGTTATATAGGGACTAAACTAAAGCAGACTTCAAGAAACGCCGCCAGGCATCGAACCCGAGTCTCCTGTTAAGTGCAAGTCTGGGGTGTTAACCATTACACCAAAGCAGTGGTGTAGTTTTGTTAACACCAGAGATGTGCGCCAAAATTTTCGCCTGGCGCGCCAAACGCCAATTTTTCAAATTTTTAAATCACGCCAAAACGTCACGTCAAAACGCCATGACGCACATCCCTGGTTAACAATACACCAAGGATTGACCAGACTGAAGAACTAATGAACCTTAAGTCCCCTTTGCATTGATCTATCCTTATTCCAAGGGAACCTCGGATCCACACCTTCACTCCCAACACGGCGGCCCTTCATAGTCCAGAAGATAGTCCAGAAGACGTTAATAGGCTAGCAGGTTGGTCGTAAATAGCGAAGGTGTCGGAATTCGGGACTGTTTCAACTGTCGTTTTTATATTTTGTATGGATTCAATATTTTCATTTTAGAATTTTTAAACGATTCTTTCAATGGTAAAATTGACTTTCTTAGTCTATTTTTTGGCTTTTATGACAATTTTGTTCATTACTGGCGTGTCAAGCAAGGTAATTATGATATACCGTATATACTCGAATAATCACCCTGGGCAATGTTCCACCCATCGCTGAGGCACGGTTTTGTCTGTATTCCGTACCGTGCTATTACGCAAGAGTACCATTTTGTACATCAAGGAAAGTGAGTGGGGGAAGGAAATGACTTAAGTATCCCCCTCACCCCCCCCCCCACATTCCTCAAATAATTGTCTCCTGCCTTACAATTATTTGAGGAATGTGGGGGGGGGGGGGGGGGGGGGTAATTGAGTCATTTCCTTCCCCCACTCACTTTCCCTTATGTACAAAATGGTCAGTCATTTCTTCCTTCCATAATTTCACAAAACTTTATTATAACATGTAACCACTCTTCATTATAACATGTTTTGTGTTTTTTGGTCTCACACAATGACCGATTGCCACAGAGAAATTCTGTGAAATTAAGCAAGCAAGAAATGACTGACCATTTTGTACATCCAGGAAAAATTGGGTGGGGGAGGGAAACGACACAAGTAACTAATTTTGTAATTTGTTTTTATATTTTTTTAGTATGGTAGCCCTGACAATTGCCCCAAAAAAATTCCTGATGGTTGTTGTGCTGATACAGTCTGCGTTAAAGACAAGGTTAAAGTCAAAGGTAAAATGGTTAAATGTAACTGCATGGGATGTTGCTGAGGTTGTGATGGATCTGGTGAATAAAAACAAAGAATATTGATGAATTTACAAAATTTTTGAGAAAAAAAGAGTTAAATCTGTTTCGTGACGAAAATTTAATATTAATAAAGGAACTTGGCTATAATTTTTTGTCGAAAAAAAGATAGGAGTCCCCTTTGAAGCCTGATACCTTCAATGTCGTTGGCCCTAAAGACCAAAAATTTTTGAAAGGTAATATCGAGGGATTAAGGAGATATCGATAGACTTGGTGTGATTTAAGGGGATAGAAATCTCTGCTCTCCCAGAGTTATGCTACACGCTCACAATACAGAATAGAGTTGGGCGGTATCGGGGTTTCGACATAAAATAGGGATCGGGATTTGGGATTATGATCCCGATACCATCCCGACTGCGGGATCGGGATTGGCCAAAATCGGGATCGAGATTGGATGCAGATTAGATACTTCTCCATAGGACTAGGTACTTATCCTCCTCTTTAATCTATCAATATTTGCCTTCAAAAGGTGTAGGTCTTCAGGGTCAAAAAGTCTTACTGTCCAGGTCTTTGGGGGTGTAAGTCTTCTAGGGTCGACACAGATAGTGGAGTCTTGATTCCTTCCCAAAAGATGACAAGGTCTGATCATTTAAAAATATTTTCTCTTGCAAGTACTCTTGAATAAATTTAAGTTATCGGCAGGTACCGGAAAAAAGACACCGCTGAAAATCAGCAATAAAAAAAATTTTTTTTTCTGAAAATTTCCAATTTTGGCAACTCAAAAATAAATTTTTTTTAATTTAAAATCACATGAAAAAAAATATTTTTTTTTTAATTTTATAAAAATTTAAAATTGTTGGCAGCTAATTTTCTCTCCCCCTTGTTTTAAATTTTAAACCAAACCTAGCTAAGCTTTTTTAAATTTAAAGAGCTTAACCCCCTCCCTTTTAGAAAATTTAATTTTTTTATTTTAATTTATCTCTCTCTCTATTGCCATGTGGATATTTGTAAATTTTAATTTTACTCTAAACTTTATGTTGGGGGCAAACCCCAAAAATAAATTAAAAAAAATTTTTTTGGCCAAAAAAATTTTTTTTTGGCAAGAAAAAATATAAAGGGAATGATCCGTTCTGGCGCGGGGCAGTTTTGGCGCGAGCTTATAAAACACTGATTTGTGAGTTGCTTACCTAAAAAGATAAAATTTTGTAATAATAACGCTCATATCCTTGTCTAAGTTCTCCAAAAATTTGAAAAATTTCAAGCTTGAATTACCGTAATTATAGCCAAAAATGTTGTTTTTCCAAGAAAATGCCCTATTTTTCGAGGTTTATCGACCATAACTTCAGAAATTTTTGATGAAAAATTCTGAAATTTCTGGAGGAGGTAGTCATGGACGTTAAATAAATTTGAGAAAGTGTTCATAAATTTAGATTTTACCAAAGTGCCACTTTTGAGTCTCGCGCCGAAACAACCTGGCGCCAAAACGGCCCCCAACACATGCTTGTGCAAAACTCCAAAATAAAAAAATTTTTTTACCCAAAAATACTAAAAAAATAAATATATTTAAATTTAATGAATTAAATAAAAAAATTTAAATTCGTTAAGTTAAAGAAAAATTAATTTTTTTTGCTGTTCAAATATTGGATAGAAAAAAGAAGAATGTTAATTTTGCATTAATATAAAATTAGTTAAGTTTATGCCAAATTTATTCACTTTCTTTTTTTTTAAATTAGCATTCTCCTTTTGAGTTAGTCAATAGGTACGAGGAATACATGAATCTCTGCCCCTCACCCCTCTTTTACCCACGTTTGGAGGGGGCAAAGGGGGGTGGTGTAGTGGTTAACACCCCAGACTTGCAGTTAATGGGAGGCCCCCTCCCCCCTCCAACTCCAAAAGAATAAATAGCCATTATGCTTGATACACCAAAAAATGAGAAAATATTTGTATTTTTTAGATTTTTATTGAACTATATACTCTGCAATGGTAAAGTTAAATTTCTTAGTTTATTTTTTGGCCTTCGCTACAATTTTTTATTTTGCTGGTGTGACAGAAGGAGCCAAGGTAAAATAATACTCGAATAATTACCTTGGGTAATTATTGTTTCAACTCTCACTTGGAGGGGTAATTATTTGAGAGAGAGAGAGAGTAATTCTAGTAATTCTACCTCCCCCTGGAAGAATTAGCCATTAACAAAGAGGTCTAATGGGGAGTATAGCATAGACAATCCTGCCGCTGACCGGAAAATGCCCCGGCAAGTCTAACGACTGAGCACTGCTTCCACCTATTTTAATTAGTGACTACTTCCGTATTTTTCGGTATTTAACGGTGTTGCTGTTGGTAATAGGTAAGGAATTCGGTGAATTTCATCGATATAGGTATATCGGTATGAACGGCACGAAATTCCGGTCCCTAAATTTTATATATTAAAAAAGGTCTGGAAGCGAACCAGACAGGCTGGGAGCGAACAAATCTCCTGGCCGGACTGTTGTGTTCGTTATCCACTACACCACACTGCTTCCTTTAAACAGCCTTAGAAATTTTAAATAGCCACCGTATTTTCTCGAATAATTGCCCCGGGTAATTAGTGTTTCAAACGTTGGTTGAAGAGGGATGGGGTTTAAGGGAAATTTTTATACACAATTTTTAAATATATTTTAGTGGGGGAATCCTGATGATTGTCCACCAAGTTTTCCTGAAGGTTGTTGTGTTGATGGATGCTGCGTTAAAGAAGAATGTAACTGCATGGGATGCTGTGGAAGTTGTGATGGATTTTGATGTGATACATTCAAGAAAGACTTGAATTTTATAAAGAATACTGGAAAGATTTATTCAAATCGGGATATTTTTTAATTTTTAATTTATGTAGAGCCTGGACCGTACCTTCCGACAGTATTTTTTAAAATATTTTCGGCATTCCATTAGTATTACGGTACGGAATACGGTATGGTCTCTAGTTTATATTCGAAAATTGGGAAGAAAATTTTTTATTTATCTTATTGATAAAGGGATATATAAGTATCTGTGTGTTATTATTAGGGTGGTCCAAAACATGCAAATGCATGTTTTGTATGCGGATATGCCTTGACGAGAGAAGCTCAAAAATGGTGTTTTAGGTTGGTACGAGCACTTTAGGACCCGATTCTTAATGCATATTTTTAATGTATATTTTTCCTTTCGTGCATAATTGCATATCTGTGCATATTTTGGCAAATTTTGCATATTTCAGTGCATATTTAGGGGTTTTTCGGTGCATATATATGCGCATATTTGGCGTTTTTCCGTGCATATTTTATATTATTAAATTTAAATCCGCATATATTTACGGACATCCCTTGCGGACAACTTTTATGTTGCAGATGCCCAGACAATACAAAAATCCTCCTACACAGAGGAAAACATAGAAGAGAGAGTTATAAAAAATAAATTTATAATTCTTTCTCTTTTCTGCTCCCCATCAAAAATTTATCTAACAAATATTCTGCATTAATATATACGTTGCAGAAACAGCTCAACTGTGCGAACTACTGGCCGCCGTTTCCCGCTATGAGAGAGAAACGTTCTGTCACATTAGGGTTATTGAGTCCTAATGGGAACGTCTACCTTTCTAGGTAGTCAACAGAGTTGATAAAACCTCAATGGCTAGAATGACTGACCAACGATTAACGTTTCCCTGTTCTGACCGCGTTCAACGATTGCTAGTCAATTTTGTATTGTCCGGCGAACAATAAACGCAATCAACAGTGTCGTCAAATGGCTGAAGAGCATCTATCGACGAAGAAATTCTAAACTCTCATAGCGGTTGTATTCGGATGGAGGGCTTTTCAGTGTGTTCGACAAAAATTTTTTTTAATTAATTTGAAGAAAAAGGATTCAAATGATGCCGCTACTTAAGTGATGCACTACTTTGGCCACCACGTTTTTATTCTGCGAACCCTTATCCGATAAAACCTTAAACTCGTACCTAACAAACGTAAAATTCAAGGGAATGTATTTAATTTTATTCTCGTATACGGTAATATATAAAAGTGATTACGGTATGGGCCAACTGAGCGCCAAGAAAATTTGATATGCTATAACCTTTTTGTACTTGATCCAATCCCAGCAAATCTTATATCGTTCTAAAGTCCTCGATAAGCGCTACCTTTTTTCCAACTGGAAGGGTCAAGCCTGATCGCCTACTAAAAAGTTAAAACCCAATAAATGTGAAAAACAACGATTTCTTGCACTTATCGCGGTATAACTTTTTGATGAGTGATCAGACTTGTTCCATCCAATTGGAAAAAAGATAGCGCTTATCAAGGGCTTTCGAAAGATATAAGATTTATTCAGATTAGATCAGGGTCAAAAAAGTTATGGTCGATCAAAGTCACCTAGCGCTCAGTTGCCCCCAACCAAAGTGAATATTAAAAGGCTTGATAACAAAAATAAAAATTGATAAGGTTCTTGTGAACAAGAAAAGATAATAATTGCTATTAATAAGGCAATTCGAGTATAATAATAAATTATATATTAAGTAAAATAATTCAAAAATTTAAAAAAGGGGACAAAAATGGCTTTTTAATAAAGACGTGTAAAAATGGCAAGGCTATTTTTAAAAGGCTTGAGTATATAAAAACGTTTAAAATAAGTCTAAAATAAAGTCTCAAAGAAAAAAGCTTCGTTGAAAAAACTATAATAAATAGAATTGAATGTATATAACAATCAAACCTCGTTTTTAAATATCCACTTTGGAGGCTTAAAAGAGATAGTATCATATCATGAGAAGTAGCTTAAGAAGAGCTAAGTATCAGGGGTGGGCTTAGTCTCGTATCTCGTGTTTTTTATTTTGTGGGTCTCGGCCCACCCCTGGTAAGTATTCTGTAGAGTTGAACCTTATAATGGAATGTACATAAAAAGAGGTTATCTTATAATGAGGTGGCTTATAGTGAGGTGTCCATTAAAAAGAGGTTATCTTATAATGAGGGTAACTTATAGTGAGGTGTCCATTAAAATGAGGTTTATCTTATAATGAAGGTAACTTATAGTGAGGTGTCTATTAAAAAGAGGTTTATCCTATAATGAGGGTAACTTACAGTAAGGGTATCGTCTCTCCTCCCGCCCAGTGGCCACCCCACTCTTTAAGAAAACGTAGCTTAAATAGAATGATCTAATATTGGGGATATCTGAAAAAGAGGTTCGATTGTATATAGAAAGAAGTTCAATTTGAAGAACCATACAAATTATTTAATGAAATACAAGAGAATAAACAAGGTTTTTCTTTTTTGTTTGCCTTGTTAGATAAAAGAAGATATGTCCTTGAACTACCTAAAAAATTAAAAAAATTGGAAGCTTAATCTTATGAGGGAAATGATATTTTTTCTGTGCCCTTCTTGGAAATTTTTGGATACCCAAAACTTAGTCGAAGAGGAAAACCCTCACAGGACAATTCGATAATTTCAAGTCTTTCCCATCCATAAGGCCCAAGTAGGCACGCGGCCATGACGGCGCAAAGCCATAAACTTTCTGGAAAATTTATGACTCTTATTAATTTTGGTACCCATCTCTTTAAAGCGATGAGAGGAATCGTTTAATACAAAATTTGGTAAGATTCAAAAATCTTGAAGCAAGTTATGACTTTACGCCGTATGACTTGCGCGTATGACTTTGTGCCTACTTGGACTGTACCCGTTCTTAAAGCCGCTATTCAAGGATGTCCTTAGAAATCATCCTTCCATCCTGCTTACTTTTATGGTCTTAACCCGAGCTTCTTTTTTTAAAGTTTTTTATTCTAAATTTTTTTTCAATCCTCTCACATAATTTTTTAACAATTCCTCGCACCAAACAAATGCCCAATTCTCTTCTTTGTTGTAATTTTGTCGGGAGGTGAAGAGTTTGTACGCAATGATGTTGAAGTTATTGTCCCAGTAGATCCAGATTCTAAACTTGAAGCAGACAAATTAGCTCCCCTTTTTGTGTTGGCAATCTTTTTAAAGGGAAAAAATTTTTTAAAAAGTTTTTCAAATTTTGAAAACTTCTTGTTTAAGTTTATCCAACAATGCTTGCTTCTCCTCCAAAACTTTACGGTTTTCCTTCTCTTCCGAATCCATCTGTCAAAAAAATTTTGATATAAAAAATGTATTGCTCACATAATATCACTTATATCTCTTCAAATCAATCCCTCCAAATTCTTTTATATCCCGAAATTCCCTGATATCCTCCCTAACCCCCGATCTCTTATATCTAATCTCACGGTATCCCACCAATCCCTTTGATATCTTTTATAATATCTAGGTAACTCTTCAAATCCTCTCATATCCAATCAAATCCACAGATCTCTACCTTAACCTCTTAATCCTTCGATATCACGCCCTGATCCCCTGATATTCCCTTTCCCCAAATCTCCAGATTTGTGTTGATCAGGATGGTAAGTGTTCAAGTTTGACCCCCCCCCCCCTTAAAGCTAAATTTAGTGTCTAACAATTCCCCCTCCTAAATAACAAAAAATTTCTTTCTTTCCCTCACCGCCAATGCTTTCTTCACCAATCGTTGTTCACGTTCAGCAACACCCTCATTAAATAAAGCTTCCCGTTTTTGACGTGTATCTTCTGCTTCAGCCAATCTTGTTGTTGTTTCCTTTTCTAATTGAGTAAAAGGATCTTCTTCTTCAAATTTGTTTTGGGGCAAATTGCGTTTTCGATAATTTTCGTAATGAACACATTTTGTTACCTTTGAAAAGGAGAGGAGATATTGGAATAAGATAGATAAGAGAAAAATATTTTTTTAAAGGTTGGAACTCTCTATTTAACGTACATACAAGTAGGAAATTTTTGTGTAAATAGGTCAGTTCCAGGACCTCTAGGCTTGTGTCAGTTCCACTTCAACTGTTCCCCAAGGGTATACTCTAACCAGGGTTGTGTTCAGTTTCACCTTTCGTATTTCGCGAATTTCCCCTTTTTTGTTCTTTCGATTTAGTCTTTCGCTTTTTAAAAATCATATTCGGTATGCCCCTGGTACCCTATTGATCTTTTTGTTCCCATTTCTGTGCTAAGCATAACGTTTGCACATTAAATAAAGGCCTATCGACATTACATTTGCGGACTGACATTTGCGAACAAAACTGAGGCCTATTGAAAATGGAAACAAATTGATTGTCAATCTAATCAACAGGTCAGCCCAGTACATTACCACGTATATGATACGTTGTATTAGTGGGATACTGTAAAAAACGGTGATGCGACTTTTGCGGCCCGTACAAGCCTAAATGTTCGCAAATGTCTCTGTTCGCAAATGCCACTCTAGTTCAAAAAACTACCAACATCAATCAAGTCAATCAAATTATTCTTGATTATCATATCCCTCAAAGCCATAAAATCATTGTGTGCCAAATTGTCCACTTCAACTGTTCCCCAAGGGTATTCTCTAACCCTAACTCTGTGTTTAGTAGCACGTTGTTCCCCTCCAACCAAAATTTCTTTTATATGGGTTGAACCAACAATAGCAAAAGGAAGTCGTTTAGACAGGTCTGAGGGGGCAGAATTATTGTTGCCATTCTGGTGAGGTTTTCCATTAGTTAAAAAATCGTTGGTCGTTGTTCCGTTTATAAGAGGCTGTTGCTGAGAAGGTTGTTGAGGTGGTTGGGGTGGCTGTTGTTGTTCCATATTTTCAGGAAATTTATAGAGTGAAATGTTGTTTTTTCTCATATCATCCATTATCTAAAAAAATTTTTTTCCTCTCAATATTTAAGTTAAAAAATAAAAAATTGGACCAGGGATGGACTGGGTTAAAAATATTTATGTCGGAACGGATTTTCAAAATTTTCTTTGGATCAGATTTCAGATCCAAAGGTTCAGATTTTGTTAACGCCTTGATATCGTTGACTAACCCTTCCAGTCCGTTCTCTAGTATTTATGAATTTTCTGTACTGCGTAGGGAACATTTTTGGTAGAGTGAAGGGAACATGCTTTAATAGGTGAAACCCCTCAATGATAAAAATTTTTGGCTACAAGGATAAAGGGAGGTCCAATGTAGCTATTAAAAACTTTAAAATGTCAAACTAACATTCTGTTTAAAACGTCCAAGTTCTGAAGGTAAAAGAGTATCGGCTTTTGCAATAACTGGAATAATATTTACACGTTCTTGTAATGCTTGCATAAATGCAATATCCAATTGTTTAAGACTAAAAAATATTAAAAAAAAAATTTTTGTAATAGAGAATTAAAATAAAAAATTTAATTGAGTAAATATAAGGGAAAAAAGAAAATAGTAAAATATTTATACCCGGAGAGGGATCGAACCTCCGTGAAAAAAAGGTGAAAATTGGTAGCGTTCCCACTACACCAAAAAATTTTTTTTCGAAATTTTAGCAAGCTACGAATTCCTCTTTACTTTAAAAATTTAATAAAAGGAAAAAATAATGTTTGACCCTGGAGAGGGGTCGAACCTCGGTCGAAAAAAATGAAAAATTAGGAGCGGTCCCACTACACCACAAGATCCCAAAATTTTTTTGTCAAGATTACAAATGCCCTACAATGTATAGATTCGAAGAAAAAATAAATTGATAACCCGAAGAGGGTTTGAACCTCCGTCGAAAAAAAGGGCCAAAGTTGGGACCGGTCCCACTACACCACAAGAATAAAAATTAAAAAAATTTTAAATACCCATGTCCAGTAGGCGGAATAAAATAAACACACAAATGAACGCGTTTGTCTTCAATTTGTGGCGATCTATCAATTTTTGTTTCTTCTGCCAAATAATCGGCAAAACGGTCATCGATATATTTAACTATTGGTTCCCAACTTGAAAAATAAATTTTTTAAATAATTAACTAAAAAACCATTTCGAATTGTCCACAAAATCGCCAAAGCCAGGCGTATCAACAACGGTTAACTTAAAAAATTTTTTTAATTTAGGGGCTGTTTTTGGCCGATTTTTAACCAGGGAAAGGGAAAATAAGCGAAATATGGGGAAAAGTCAAATAAAAAGTCCGCAAAATTTGTCCGCAAAAACTTTGGAATTTTTTTAAATAAATTTAAGAGCCCTCCTTTATTTCTTGTTGAAAATAGAAGAAAATAGGAAGCAGGCTTTGTTTAGAAATGTCGAATCCAGGACGCCTTGGTATGGCTCGATGCGCCTTGACGAGCTAAATCGAACCATACCAGATCGTTCTGGATTCGACCATTTTAAAAGAAGTTATAGCTTTGCGGTAAGCACCCAAGAAAATAAATTTTCTGAAAATTCCCCAAAAATTTAAAAAATAAACCTTTAACCGAACATCATTCTCTGCAAGCTTAAATGTTTTGCTTTCAATTTTCACTGTAGATTTGGTTTCAATAGGCTTATCTTTCTTCAAATTGTGCAACTCGGCCATAAAAAGTGTGTTCAAGAAAGTGGACTTGCCTAAACCTGATTGGCCTAAAATTTTAAATTTTTTAAATTTGCAGATTTTATTTGCGGACAGAATTTAATTGCAGAAAATCACCAAAGTTCTACAAGTTATCCGCAAATTTTAGTTTGTCCGCAAATTCAGAAAAATTTTGCGGACAGTTGTCCGCAACCTTATTTTTGCGGATAAGGGAAAAAGTCCGATAAAAAGTCCGCAAAAATATTCGCAAAATTTTAAAATTTATCCTGAAATTTTTATTTATCCGCAAATTCAAAAAAATTTTCGGAAAGTTGTCCGCAACCTTATTTGCGGATAATTAAGAATACTCCCAAAATTTTTAAAAATTATCCGCAAATTTAAATTTGTCCGCAAATTTAACATTTATCCGCAAATAATGTCCGCAAAATTCTGACGGAAAAAACAAATCAATTAGCGCCTACAAACCTCTCAGAAAAATTAATTTAAAAAATTAAAATTTCCCAACTAACCAACAACCATTAAAGTAAATTCAAATCCATTTTTAATGCATCGTCGAAACACTTGATTTGGGAAATTGGCAAAACCAACATAATCAACATTACGAGAAATTCCAGTTTTTGTTGTTCTAGTAATTTCTGTTATTGTTGACATTTTATTTTAAAAATTTTTTTTCTTAAATTCCTGAAAAAAATTTTAAAAAATTATTAAAAAAATATTTTTAAAGGCAAAAAACCTTTAACAAAAAAGATGACTAAAAACGAACAAAAAATGATTAAAGTAAACACTTCTTTATTTTTAAAACACGACAAGAATTCAAAAATCGTGAAGACATAAAAAATGGAAGAAGAGGGGACAGTTGGGCGTTGACTTAAAAATAATTTTGAGGAATTAAAAAAAATTTTGGGGGAGGAGCAATTTTTGCGGACAAAATATTTGCGGACAAAATTTTTGCGGACAAAATTTTTACGCACAAAATATTTGCGGACAAAATTTGCGGACAAAATTTGCGGACAAAATTTTTGCGGACAAAACCGAAGCCTAGTGAAAATGGGAAGACTAATAGACTGGAGTATTTCCAATAAATATTTTTCTGATATTTTAAATCAGAAAAAAATCAGAAAACCAGAATTTAGAAAAAAATTTTTAAAAAATCCGCAAGTTTTGTCCGCAAATGTCTCTTCCGACCAAAAATTGTTTTTTATTAAACCCAAGCTTTTCCTTAAGTATAGATTATTTTCTTCCTGTCCCTATTCCCAAAGATCTTAATTTTTGATGTGTAATATAAAAATTAAAAGAGTAATAAAGGAGAAAGACATATATTTTTAAGTATGCCTCACCCACTTTATATGGAGGGGTTGTTGGGGCGCGAGGAAGTTACGGCGCGGAGTTATAAAAATGGGCAAAAATGAGAGCCTAAAGGTCCGAAAAATTTATTAAAGGTGGTTTTTTACTGTCTAAAAATTTTTAAAATTTTATAAAAAAATTTTGAAAATTTTCAAAAAAAATTTTCAAAAATTTTTCAAAAAAATTTTTGAGGCCAAAATTTTAATTTTTGAGCATTTTTAAAATTTAAAACAAAAATTAAAATTTAAAAAAATGTTCCAACTATTGATAAAAAAATAATTTATAACGGCAAAAATATTTTAAATTAAATTTTTTAGCCTTCAGTTTTTTCAAATTTGTCAGAAAATCTTGACGGAATACCTTCTGCGTCGAAGAATTTGTGAATCTAAAAATAACATGTTTTTGAATAAATCAGAAATGTTTTTAAAAATCAGAAAAACATTTAAAAATCAGAACAACGTTTTAATAAATGTTTTTAATGGGAGAAACATGTTTCTAAAAATCAGAATATTTAAAAAGTGAAACAAGTTTTAAAAATAAACTTGAATAAAAAATCAGAAAAATGTTTTAATGTTTTTAATGTGAGAAACATGTTTTTAAAAATCAGAATGTTTTTATAAATGTTTTTAAAAGGAGAAACATGTTTTTAAAAATCAGAATGTTTTTTTAAAAATCAGAATAATGTTTCTAAAAACCAGAATGATTTCAAGAACCAGAAAAAGTTTTTAAAAATCAGAACGATGTTTTAATGAATGTTTTTAAGGGGAGAAACATGTTTTTGAAAATCAGAATGTTTTTTAAAAAATCAGAACGATGTTTCTAAAAGATGTTTATAAAAATCAGAACGAAACATGTTTTTCGAAATCAGAATAATGTTTTTAAAAATCAGAATGTTCATAAAAATCAGAACATGTATTTAAAAATCAGAACCATGTTTTTAGAAATCAGAACATGTTTTTGGAAATCAAAACATGTTCATAAAAATCAGAATAATGTTTTTAAAAATCAGAAACATGTTTCTAACATTTGTCATTAAAATGTTTAAATCAACAAAAAACTCCTTTACCTCGCCATCTTTGTGCATTTGCATAAAAATATCAGCTCCCCCAACAAATTTCCCGTTTACATAAACTTGAGGAATTGTCTGAATTTTATTTTTTAAATTTTAATAAAAATTAAAGATTTATTATTACCGGCCAATCACTAAATTCTTTAATTCCTTCACGTATTTTCTCATCCTCCAAAACATTAAAGTCCTTGAATGGGATACGATGTAAATCGAGAATCTGAATGGAATAGAAATTTTGTTTTAAAATTGTTGTTGATTTTAAAAATATTTTTAGAAAGAATTCTAGTAACAAAAACATTTTTTATAAAAATCAGAAAATGTTTTTATAAATGTTTTGGTAAATCATGTTTTTCTGGTTATAAATAAGAAATGTTTATGTTAAGGTCAAAAATGTTTTGTTTAAATTCTGAAATATTTAGAAAAACAAAAACATGTTTTTATAAAATTCTGAAAAATCAGAAGATGTTTTTAAAAAATTCTGAATGTTTTTAACGTTGGAAACATGTTTTTATAAAATCAGAAAAACATGTTTTTGTAAAATTCTGAAACGTTACTTAAACAATTTTTAAATGTTTTTGTAAAATCAGAACGATGTTTTTAAAAAATTCTGAATGTTTTTAACGTTGGAAACATGTTTTTATAAAATCAGAAAAACATGTTTTTGTAAAATTCTGAAACGTTACTTAAACAATTTTTAAATGTTTTTGTAAAATCAGAACGATGTTTTTAAAAAATTCTGAATGTTTTTAACGTTGGAAACATGTTTTTATAAAATCAGAAAAACATGTTTTTGTAAAATTCTGAAACGTTACTTAAACAATTTTTAAATGTTTTTGTAAAATCAGAACGATGTTTTTGTAAAAAATTCTGAATGTTTTTAAAACAACAAACATTTCTAAACAATCAGAAAAACATGTTTTTATAAAATTCTGAAAAAATTAAAAACATTCTCTAACCAATTTAACATTCCGACTAAACCCGCACATTGGCTCTGTTTGTGTTCCTTTCATAAAAACTGTTACGGGTGCGGATTTGACCTTAAAAATTAAAAAAAAATTTTTTTTAATATTTTTAAAAAAATTTACAAAATTTTCAATTCGTTCTTTAAGAACATCTTCCAGCAATAAACGTCCAGAACAATGAAAAAAATTAAAATTTGATTTTTTGTGTGTAATTGAAGCAATAAATGATGAAGAAAAAAGCTTGGATTTCAACATATTGAAAGAGAATTAAAATAAATTTTCTAAAAGGTCTAAAAATAAATTAAAAAATTAACTTTAAAATATTTTTCAAATTATTAAAAAATATTAAAAAAAATTTTTTTATTTTTAAATTCTGAAAGTTGCGGACACAAAAAAAATTTGCGGACTCAATTTGCGGACAATCCCGAAACATATTAAAAATGAAAAAGGGCCAAAGGTTAAAGTTCAGAAAATATTTTTAAACATTAAAAGCCCTTTATAAAATCATAATTTTATTTAAAAATATTCCCTTTGTCCGCAAAAATATTTGCGGACAGTTTTTTTGTCCGCAAAAAGATTTGCGGACAAAAAATTTTTTTAATTTCTTAAAAAAATATCAGTAAACACAGCTCCACCAAACCTTAAATAATTTAAATCAGAAAATAATTTTAAAAAAATAAAAAATTAAAGATAGTTCTATTAAAATACTAAAATTAATTTAAAAAATAAGGAAAACAACAATAAATTTCCCATCTTTATTAAAACAAAAAAAAACATCAAATGAGCAATAAATTTAATTTTTAGGGATTTTTAAATTAATTAATTTGAAACAAAAAATCCCCGAAAATGCTTACACAGTATAACGTTAAAAAATAAATGATACTCAATTTTTGTCCGCAAAAATTTTGCGGACAAAAATTTTTTGTCCGCAAAAATATTTGCGAACATCCGTTAAATTTTTGCGGACAAATTTTTTGTGTCCGCAAAAATATTGCTGACAAGAACTTTTTAATTTTTTCTAATAAGATGAAATTTGTCCGCAAAAATTTTGCGGACAAATTTTTTTGTCCGCAAATATTTTTTGCGGACAAAAAATTTTTTAATTTTTAATAGGATGAATTGTGTCATCTATATTTTTAAAGAATAAATTTAAATTTAGAGCTGAAAAAAAATCTCAAATTAATGTAAACGAGATGATGATATTCCCAAAATAATTAATTAAAAAACAAAAACTTGAAGAATTCTAATAATTCAGAGAAAATAGTCTGGTTGAGGCTTTTTGGCTGGAGCACCACGATTATCCTGAAAAATAAATTTTTTATTATGAATAAATCATTAGTATAATTAGAAATTTAAAAGTAATTTTTTAGTTAAAAAATCCAAAAAAATTTTTTTGTCCGCAAAATTTTTGCGGACAGATTTTTTTTGTCCGCAAAAAATTTGCGGACAAAAAAAATCTGTCCGCAAAAATTTTTCGTTAAATTTCGAACTAAAAAGTGATTAAAATAAATTTTTAACAATTATTTTTGTCCGCAAAATTTTTGCGGACAAATTTTTTTTTAAATCCCCAAAAAATTTTTCCCTCTCTCATAGCAAACCTGTGGAGCAGCTTCAAAAATAGTAAAGTCTTTATTTAATTGCTCATCCAATTCTAATATAGCTGCCACATTTCCACAACGATAACAATAATTTGGGGCTGACCAAACTGTGAGTACCTTTAGAGAAAATCTTTTTTGGAAATTTTTTAAACAAAAATAAACCGTTTCATTAAAATGCCATTTATATCCTTCCATTACTAATTGATGTGCTCTAGCAATCATGTCAATATTATTCGTCTCACAAAAATTTTTTACAACGTCAGAGCCTTTAAAATAAAATTTGTATCTCACTATAAGACAGGGGATGTCACAGGCTAGTAAGTCGGGGCGGATTTCAAGTCGAAAAAAGAAAAAGGTTTCAGTTACATGTGAGTGACATCCTGACATCCCTGTTATAAGATGAAACTTTGGGGAAAGAAACTATCGGTATGATCTTGTAATACCTAAAGCTTGAAATACCTAAGCTCGAAATACATAAAGCTTGAAATACCTAAACCCCAAAAACGCTTGAAATACCTAATTGTGGAAAAAAGCTTGTAATACCTAAGCCCGAAAAATTTTTGAAATACCTAACCTTAAAAAAAGTTTGAATTACCAAATAAATACCAAGCTACAAATTCTTCTGGTTATTTATCAATGTACACTCTTAACAAAAATGGGTTTTATCCCAACAATAGGAGATATGTCCCAACTGAATCTTCGCTGAAAAAAAGTTGTTCCCGTCATTGGAACGTCATCACCGTTGAAGGAACAACATCCCCCGTTCACGGGACAACTTCCTCCGTTCACGGAACAACCTTCCCCGTCACTGAATCAACATCCCCCATTGTTAGGTCAACATTTTGGTATTTCAAGTTCTTACAGGTGTTTGGTATTTCAAGCTTTTTTCCACAATTAGGTATTTCAAGGGCTTTTGGGGGTTAGGTATTTCAAGCTTTAGGTATTATAAGACGTTCCGGAAACTATCTTAAAGTGGAGGTATTCCAATTCCAACTTCCAGTAGTCAACCAAATTTAAATCTTAAGGTTTCTGACACTGTCCGCAAACTTAATGGAACAAAAAATATTTAAAAATTTCTATAGTTTCCTGAGATAGAAAGACTCCCCCAAATTCAATAAAAAAATTTATTAAAAATTCCAAACCAAATAAATATCCAGCACCACGAGGACTTACACCAAAACCAACAGAATCCTTAAAATAAATTAAAATTTCAAAAATAAAATAAAGAAAGAAAAACCTCTGGATCAGACCATAACAAGTCACACATTGGACCCAAAATAAAAAAAAACATTTAAAAATTTTTTTTGAAAAAAAATTTAAAAATATTACCATCATGTGGAACCTGAAAAAATATAAAAATAATTAATGGAAAAATATTAAAAAAAATTTTCCTTAAAATTTTAGTCATCCCAAAAATTATTTATAGAATAAATTGAAAATTTAGCAAGTAAGAAAAAAAACACAATTTTTACGAGAAAAGAAAAATTTGGCCATGTTATCAAACCAACTCAATCTGCGGACAGAATAAAAGGACAAAAAAAAGAATGGTCCAAGGCAAAAATAAAAATTTTTGTTTCCATCCCCTCCCCGACCTTAAGGACCAGAACATAAAAATAAATCATTTCATTCTAAAAAATCTTCAAAATTTCCAAAAACCTCTTGTTTTCTATCAATTGTACGAATTTGGTCAATTGTTTGAATACTTGGTGATAATCCACCGTGAACGCAAAAGATTCTTCCATTTATTACAGCTGATAAACTTAAACAGTCAAATACTTCTGTACAACAACGCCTGCAAAAAAAATTTTTTTGCGACAGAAAATTGCGGATCCAAAAGTCCGCAAATTTTTATCCGCATGTCAAATAACGTAAATGTCTAATTAGAGCCCTAACTCATATAATATTAAACTCTTTTATTTCCCGATGGGTCTACTTGGGTATTTATGGGTTCCTAAAACAGACTAGACTTTAATTAGAGAATATTATACTTTTTTGCGGAGTCCACAAAAATACTTGCAGAGTCCGCAAAATAAATAAAAATTGCTAACAAAAATTTGCGCAGACTTCAAAAATAAAAAATATTTATTACCAAACAACAGCTGAACCATATTTTCGAAGACACTCATCATAAAATCCATAAACTTGAGTAATTTGTCTAGACTCATGATTTCCTCTAATTAGCATCATTCTATCAGGATAACGAATTTTTAAAGCCAAAAGGAGCAAAAACGTCTCAACAGAGTAAAATCCACGATCCACAAAATCTCCAAGAAAAAGATAATTTGTTTCAGGGACTTGGCCACCAACACGGAAAAGTTCCATTAAATCGTGAAATTGGCCGTGGACGTCGCCACAAATCTTTGGGAAAAAATTTTAAAAATTTTTAAAATTAAAATAAACTGTGACGGGCGCATCTATCCGTTGAACATTCCCTTCTTGCATGAGGATTTCACGAGCTTTAGCACAGAGAACCTTGACTTCTTGTTCGCTCAGACATTCACAACGCATTAAGGTTTCAATTTGTCTTATAAGGAAAAATTATAAAAGTCCGCAAAAATTGCCGCAGAATATTTACGGATGTTAGTGGGTAACACTTGGGTGTCCGTAGCAACCACAAGTGTTACTGACAAAAAGAAGTCTTAAAGAAAAGGAACAAGAGGAAAACGACGTATTGATGATAAACCTATCAAATTCCATATCAATTAAAGTCACCTCAATTAAAAACAGAATCAAATTTTTAATCGTGGTGGAAAGGATAGAACATAATTATGCTAGTGTATGGCAGCAAATACCACCCACTTAAAATTGATCTTAAAAAATTGATGTGAGTAAGACACAACTCCCGGAGCCTATCATTCTAAACCGAATCAAAAAACCAGTGATCAGAAATTAACAATAGCCGAAAATCAGGATAAGGATAACAAAGGGTGCCCAATCTAAAAACACTGAAAAAACCCATGTCCCAAACTTTATACTCAAAAACTTTGGAAATCAAACCATCCCTTTCAGAACCCATCCCATCTAAATTTAAAAAATTATCAAAAAAACCTGTCCAAATCAGCCGTTCTCGTTCCACTATTAATAACAGCAGAAGAAACATCAGAAGTTGAAGTTGTACTAGTTGTTGTTGTAGTTGATGTAGATGTTGTTGTTTGTGTTGAGGAAGTCGTGCCCCCTTCCTCTACTTCATTATTGTCATCAATTCTTCGTACTAATACAGAAGGACGAGTTTCTTCCAACTTTTCTGATGATGTTGAGGAAGTTGAAACACTGCTACTGTCTGCTTTCATTATTTAATAGTACAATTTTGCTTAAAAAACTGAAATAAAGAAAAGTCCGCAAATTTTTTGCGGACATCCGCAAGTAACTTGCGGACATCCGCAATTTAAACAATAACGAATTAATGAATCAAATGTTAAATACGGATGAGAGAAAACTCTGTCCGCAAATTTCTTGCGGACATCCGTAAGTCATTTGCGGACGTCCGCAATTTTAAGTATTAGATTTTTTGGAAAAACATTAAGAATATGTATGAGGTAAATAACTTATAAAATTAAGATAGTTGTGGCGTTAAAAATAGAAACTAGAAAAAAAATTAGAAAAATATTGAGTTAAAATTGCATAATACAATTAAATAAAAACAGAGCAAAAATCAACATAAAAATCAAATTTTTATTCGCAAAAAAAAGAAATAAAGGAAGAAAATATACGTTACTACAGGGTGCGGCAAAAGTTCCCGTACTTTTATTAAGCGTGAAATTTTTTTCAAATATTTTCTTAAATTTTATAAAATCTATAAAAAAGTGTTTATTAGATTCTAATTAAAAGATAAATTATAACAAATGTCCAAAATGTCCTCACTCCGCCAAGATATACGCATCCAAACGCTTTCTGAATTTGCCCACTATGGTCGCGCACGCATCTACAATAATTGAATCCCAGGCCAGTTGCATCACCGTCTTTCACAACAGACAAAATCATAGGCAATTGCTTCCAAGGTAAGGCCTTGCTTCCAAAATAGTTAAACAAAAGCCTCTATCCTCAATCTGTAATGGTTTGGGCCGGGATTTGGGCACTATCTGAAATAAGGTCGGTAATTGTTTTTTTTCATTACTTTTTCCATTACTTTTTTCCTTCCTTGATATGACAGAATGGTCAGCATTTTCTTCCTTGTTCGACTCCAATAAATTTGCCTGTGGCATAATCAAATGAGAGGACAGAAAAATACACACCAAGACACTGACAGGCAAAACACGGACGAACACGGACAGACAAAACAAGGACGAGCACGGACGAACACTGACGAGCACGGCCGAACACGGACAGACAAAAGACGAAGAAGGACAGACAAAACACGGACGAAGAGGAAAAAGTATTTAAAAATTAATCCTTTTCTTTATCATTACTCTTTTGATTATGCCACAGGGAATATAATGGAATAGAACAAGGAGGAAAATGCTGACCATTCTGTCATATCAAGGAAGGAAAAAAGTAATGGAAAAAAGTACTAATGAAAAAAACGATTACCGACCTTATTTCAGATAGTGCCGGGATTTGTGCCACTTGATCCCTGGGCACAGAAACACCGGATCCCTGGGCACAGCAACAACGGTGTTGGCAGGGATTTGTGCCATTGCATCACTGGTCATAGCAACACTTCGGTAAAACCAGATTTATGTTGCAGCAAAATTGGACCCCTTCACATTGAGCAAAAACAATGATTGACCTCTGCGAAAAGTTGTTTCCAGGATTTTGGGGCAAAGCCATGCAGCCAAGTAACTCCCCAGATCTGAATTCTATGGACTAGTAATTTGGTAATTATTGGAGAGGAGACTTCCAAGGATACGATTTATATCAAAAAATGCAATTAAAAGGGATTGCAACTGGGCTGGGATTCAATTATTGTGGATGAGTTGCGCGACCATAGTGGGCAAATTCAGTTAGCGTTTAGACGTGTATATTTTAGCGGAGGGAAGAAATTTTGGAAATTTGTTATAATTTTTCATTTCTTTAGATAGTAATGAATACTTTTTCATAGATTTTATAAAATTAAAAAAAATATTTGAAATAAATTTTATGCTTAATAAAAGTACGGGAACTTTTGCCGCACCCTGTATAGGAGGAAAAAATCCGTAAATAATTCAAAAAATTTTTCCCAAAAATTTCGCAGAAAAAAATTTTCAAAAAAATTCTTTTTCAAAAAATTTTTAAAAATTCGTGTCAAAATGTTAAAAAAACATTTAATCAAAAAATTTAAAAATTTTGGACAAAAAAAATAAAATTAAAAAAAACTTGAAATAAATTTAACGACGATAATCATGAAAATCATCGTCATCATCCCGCCTCCGTCGACGACGATCTCTATCTCCACGGTCTCTGTCACCTCGATCTCTATCGCTACGGTCTCTTAAAAAATTTTTTTTATTTATAAAATTAATTTTAAAAGTTGAGAGGGGCTTCAAATAATTTTTTCCGGATGTCCGCAAATTTTTTGCAGATGTCCGCAAAAATTTTTGCGGACTTTTTTTCCTTTTGCGGACAAACATTGCAGACTTTTTATTTTCTGCGGACTTGTTATAAGAAATAATTTGTCCGCAATTTTTTTGCGGACATCCGCAAAAAAATTTCTAGTCAAAAAAAATTTCCTAAAAATAAATCGAACCTATCACGACGGTCATCATATCCATCATCAGCATAAAAACCTTTAAAAATAAAATAATAAATTTTACAAAAAATAAAACAAACGATCATGTCGCCGTCCACTCCTATATCTAGCACCTTTGCCTCCATAACAACGTTCATAACTGATAAAAAATTTTTTCAAATTTTTTTGGTGCCTCCCGAAAAGATTTTCAATCAAAAATATTTTTTGAGAAAATAAAAAATATTGTCCCTGAAGGGGATTCGAACCATCGACCCCTAAATAGTAAAAACTAAAGATTATCCCACTATACCAAAAAGATAATTTTTTTTGAAAATTTAAAAAACAAAATTTTCAAGTACATACACATCATCAGACACATCCTTCAAATGCATAAAATTGCAAAATCCTCCTTTTACGCAAGTACTGATTTCGTGTTGACGACAACGTGCCTCACGAAAATCGGATACTGGTGAAAGTTCAGCATAAATTGGGTGGCCGTTAAACCTTAAAAATTGACAAGTTAAAGTTTTTAATACAAAAATTTTTTTTAGAATTAAGACAGGGAAAAAATTTAAAGAATGCTGAAAAGCGATCCAATTATGGCTGAGTCCAAGAAAAATCAAGATAAACGCCAAGAGTATGACGTACAACCCAGTATGTACTATATTAGAGATCGAGATTTTTGAAAAGCCTGGGTCGGTTCCTGGGTTTGATTTATTGACCTGGCCGGATCCTGAGCCCAAGAAAAAGCCAGGCCCATAAAAAACCCAGGAAGATCAAAAAATGCCTGGGCCTGGACTCTGGGTTCAGGAAAAACCTGGGCCTTGGTCCAGGCCTAGCTCGCTCTCTAGTATTTATATCCACATAAAAAGTCCGACTCATGGTTACATCCTTAATGTAGAGATAAAGAGCTGGGCAAATCTCAAATTCGAATCGAGTGTGGCCAACTTAAAAAATAATTTAAAGATACAGTCGAGTACCACTATAAAATACCCCCAGAATTAGATATCTCTTCAGTTAGGGATAGTTTTTGGCCCGTGGGTGTGGGAAACAACACAGACTAATTTCTGGGGTAAGATTGCCCACAAGATATTTTTGGCAAAATATTTTAGCAAAATAAAATTTAAAAAAAACCATCTATTTTCCAATCCTTGAACTGCTTTTTCTGCATCTTTTTCATAAACAAATTTTACATAAACATTGCCAACCTACAAAATAAAAATAATTGATTAAAAAATACAAAAAATTCAAACCATATGCTCGCCAATATTTTCACAAATCTTTAAATAAATCGTTTTTATTAATTCAAAACAAAAAGACTTTACATTTAATTCTTCAACAGGCCCATATTTCCTCTCCATTTCAGTAAAAACTTCTTCATAAAATTCATCAAAATGTTGTTGATCCAAATTATCGGTCTTGCCGAGTTCTGAAAAAATTTTAATTTTCCGCACCAACGTGTAGAGCATGGTCAATAATCTATTGCCGATTTCCGGCTTTTTCCCCCTGACCCCCCAAATCGAAAAATTATTAGGCTTCAAAGTTTTCGACTTTTTGAGCGGCTGAGTCCTTCATCTTTCATAATAATTTAGAAAATGACTCATTTTTTCCTTTCCTCTCTTTCTCCAATCTTTGTAAAAGGAGAAATAGAAAACCAAGCCCGTAGCCTTTAACCAGCCCCTTAGCAACGTAAAAATTTTTGCTGGCTACGGGCCTACCTTAACCATATCAATTACCCAAAAATTAACCACTCTCCTACAAATGTAAGCCCAATAAGCCCAGACCGTAAATTATAAAAATAAAAACAAACTCAAATTATCATAAGCATCAGGTTGTGCAAGTGCTGGACTATGATAAAAATTTTTGAGTAAAACGGTGTTGGAGAACGTTGGTCTGTGATGAGCACGCAAACATTTATCGCCGTGTCGACAAGCGCCAATCTTGAAAAGAAAAAAGAAAAATGAGCAAATTTAAAAGAAACCTTGAAAAAGAAGGAACAATTGACTTTATCCTTTTCTGTTCCATATATGCTAGCCAAATACTCAGCTCCAGATAGTTCTTCAGTTGCATCATAACGAGAAGACATTATGAAAAAAATAAGAAAAACCTAAAAAATATATAAAAATAAATAGTAGGGATAAAGCTTGGTACAAGCTAAAGGTCTAGGACAAGATGAGGTCCGAGACGGGATCAGCTCCAGGATAAAATCCAGGCCAATGTTCATCCTAGACTTCTTGATCAAGTAAATAGACGGTTGAACAATACGAAGGATGGAATAAACAAAAAAATAGGTAGTAGAGACAGAGTTGGGTTTAAGCCAAAGATCGACACAGGAGGGATCCAGGGCAGGATTTTACTGGATCCCTTCCCGGAATCCCGGGTTTTAATAGACAAACGGGATTACCGGGACTCTGAGATTAATGGGAGTAATCCCGAGAATCCCTCCCGTTCGATCTTATCAAACCCAATCCAGTTACAGGATCCCGGAAATGCCGATCTCTAGTTTGAGCCACGGCATAGGTTTTTCCTGTACCGAGCCAAGATCCAGCCCTTGATCGAAGTCCATGCTTATTGTTAGGATCAAATCTCTACTCAAGAAATCGAGTAAAGTAACAATGGGATAAAAAAGCGGAACAAAAGATTAACAAAAATCACACGCAGACCCCTAAAAATCGAAAATCGTTAGGCAGAAATGAATTCGATAAAAAAAACTCTAACTCTATAATTTAATTTTTCTTCTTTTCTCCTTCTCTAATTTTCTTCAATTTTAAACAAATTTGTGTGTGTCTAACCTTTCTTTTCCAAAAATGTAAACTTGAATAGAATATTTCAAAATATCTACACAACGTAGTTTTCAAAATGTCCAATAGAAGAAAAAATAAAAATTGTCTAGCTTTCTCTATTTCTCTCTTTTAAACCTTTACTATTTCTTCACTTTCTTTAAAATGTCAAAAAGCAGTTGAGTATTTCAAAATACCTAAAACCTATAGCAGTTAAAAATGTTCAGTAATGGAAAAAATTTAAATAATGTCTCTTTTGATTCGAATTTTTTTCTTCTTGGGACACACCTAGGCGCAAGGCCAAGTAGGCGCAAGGCCATAATATCCTGAAATTTTTCTGACCCTTATCAATTTTGGTATCAATCTCTTTAACTCGATGAGAGGAATCGTTTAATACTAAATTTTGAAAGATTCGAAAATCTTGAAGCAAGTTATGACTTTGCGCCGTTATGGCCGCACGCCTACTTGGGCTGTACCCTTCCTTAATTTAAAATTTAAAAAATTATTTTAATTTTTTATTTATTTTATTTAGGGTTTATTTCAAATTTTACTCATTTTTTTCGAAGATTTCAAGCCAAATTTTACTTCAATTTTTAATGTCTACAAGCGCCTCTTCTTCTAAAATTGTCCGTCATGTATCAAAGGTTTTCTTTTAACTTTTTTTTATTATTTAATTTAAAAAAATTTTTTTCCCCAAAAAGGTTTGTCATGTAGACGAACAACAACTTTATTTGAGTGAACGTGTATGGGCGTGTGCTTGGCATTTTGGTGGGAAATTAATTGCTTCGGCTGGGGAGGATAAAACAATCAAGGTTTTTTTGAAGAGAATTTTATTTTAAATTAAAAAAAGGCAATCCCGGAGAATTGGGGTCCCTGCGAAAAAAAAGTTTAAAAATAAGAAAAAGGATTTTTCTAGGGTAAAAAAATATGCTAATTACGAATCCGAGCTCAGATTTTGAAAAAGTCGAATCCCGAACCCGAATTCGGACTTTTGATCCCGAACATGACTTTTGACCCCGAACATTATCAGACATATTGTACAAAATGGCCAGTCTTTCAACAGAATCATAGAACTCATCGAGCTGAGTCGAATGACACCAAAATCAATGAAATCCGACCGGATTGAACCGAGATACAGACCCCTAAATATTGAAAAAACACATGGGTGATTTTTTGGAGTAAAAAAAGTTTTTTCAAATGATAGCTCATTCGAAAGAGCTCGTCGAGCTGAATCGAATGACACCAAAATTACAGTGATTGATCAAGTTTAGACAAAGTTATGACATAAGTCGCCGATTCTTACAGTACTCCCAGAGGTTTACTTTATGTCATAATTTTGTCGAAACAGGTCCGATCGCGTTGATTTTGGTGTCATTCGATGCAGCTCGACGAGCTCTTTCGAATGAGCTATCATTTGCGTATTCGAAATTCGGGTTCAGGGTTCGAAATTTGGTTCGGGTTCGGGATTCGACTTTTTCAAAATCTGAGCTCGGATTCGTAATCAGCATATTTTTTTACCCTAGAAAAATCCTTTTTCTTATTTTTAAGATTTTTTTCCGCAGGGACCCCAATTCTCCGGGATTGCCTAAAAAAAAAGATTTGGAAGTATGAAGAGGAGGAAAATAAACAAAATAATGGAGAAGTTGAAGCAACTTCTGAAGGTTTAATTTTCTGATTTTTTCAAAAAAAATTTTTCAAAATTTTTTTTCAAGCTTCCCCCCTCTCCATAAGCAAAATTGGGACAATTCGAGGCGATCAGACCCGTTCAATTCGTTGGGTATGCTTTTCCCCTTGTGGAAGATTCCTTGCTGCTGCCAGTTTTGATGCTACAATAATTATTTATGAGAGAAATAAGTTTGTTTAAATTTTTTTATTTTTATTGGGAAATTTTTGGGGGAGTCCTTTATATTTTCAATAATTTATGAAAATAATTTTTAACAAATTTATGGGTAATTTCGTTGCAAAATTTGTTTTTTTCGGACAACGAAATTTTTAAGGTTATTTTTTTATGTGGGCGAATACTCACATTGGTTAAATAATTCTATGAGATATTTCAATTTAAGCAAAAACTAACGCAGAATTAATTTTTTTTAATTTTCTTAACGTCAAATTTAAGTTTAAAATCTATTTTTTTAAGAAGCTCCAATGAATTTGAAGAACTCCATAAGCTAGAAGGACATGAGTGTGAGGTTTATTTTTTGAATTTAATTTTAATTTATTTTTGAACAAAAAATTTTTTCTAGGTAAAATGCTGCAGTTTTTCAATAAGTGGACACTATCTTGCAACTTGCTCTAGAGATAAAACTGTTTGGATTTGGAAAGGTTTAATTCAGTTAACTTAAATTTTGAAATTTAATTCGCTTCCACATGTGCCGCTATAGCCGGATAGAGCGTGGTTCTAATAACTCATAGCCAGCCCAAGGTCGCAAGTTCGATCCTTGCTAGCGGCATATAACTTTTTTCATTAAGAAATAAATTTTCTTAGAAATTTTATTGATTTTGGAATTTAAAAATAATTTTTTGATATGATTTTTCACTGAAAAAATTTTTTTCGTGAATTAGATTACTTAATTAAAGACTATCGCGACACTAAACCTTTAACTAATTTTCACCATAAAAATTTTTTTTTCATTTAAAAATCTTTTTTTTAATTAAAAAATTTTTTTCTAGTTCCTTTTGAAAACGATGACGAAGATTACGAAGTTCTCTCTATCCTTCAACAACACACTGCTGATGTTAAATTTGTTGTTTGGCATCCTAGAGAAGACGTAAAAATTTTAATTAAATTTTGGGTTAAAATATGTGGGGAAATAAAAAAATATTTTTAGGGCTGAGAAAAAAAATTAAAAAATATTTTTTTAAAGGGCGAAAGAATTTTTATAATTTTTAAATAATTATTTTTACATGAAAAAACTATATGCCGCTAGCAGGGATCGAACCTGCGACCTTGGGCTTATTAGACCCACGCTCTAACCGGCTGAGCTATAGCGGCACATGTAAGCGAAAATTAAATAAGTTGTTAAGTACTAGATTGAAAAATGATTAAATTTATTTGTTTACAGAGTTCTGATCTGAAAATGTTTAATTAAAATTCTGATTATTCCGAAGAATGTTTTATTAAAATTCTGGTCATCTAGAAAATGTTTTAATAAAATTCTGATTTTTTCTGGGAATGTTTTTTTCAAAATTCTGATTTTTCAAGGGAATGTTTTTTTTAATTCTGATTATTCCGAAGAATGTTTTATTTAAATTCTGGTCACCGAAAAATGTTTTAATAAAATTCTGATTTTTTCTGGTAATGTTTTATTGGGATTCTGTTGTTTTCTGGAAATGTTTTTTCAAAATTCTGATTATTCCGGAATATGTTTTATTAAAATTCTGATTTTAATTGTAAATTAAATAGAATATAGCCATGTTTTATTTTAATTTTTAGATACTAGTTTCCGGTGGCTATGATTGTTCAATTCGTTTCTATATTTTTGATGGAGATGAATGGGTTACTGCACAAGCAATACCTGATGCACATTCCGAAACTGTTTGGTTATTTTTTATAGAAAATTAATTTTTAATTTTTCTGAAAATATTTTTTTTAGGTCCGCCGCATTTGTTAATTTAACCGGTCAACACTTAGCAACCGTTGGTGGCGATAAAACAATAAAAATTTGGAGTAAAGAGAAGAGACCGGAAGAAGGACAAAGTTGGTAAGAAGGAAATTTAAATTTTTTAAGAAAAAAAATAAAAATAGGTGCTCTTGGAAAATAACAGTGAATCTGCCTATTTTGGAGACTAGATGGCCTCTTTACGCGGTTGTTTGGAATTGTGATGGTATAATTGCTGTTGGAGGCGGTGACTGTCTTGTAAGGTGAATAGAATCAGAAATTAATTAAAACTTGAATTTAAAAATCAGAATTTATTTTTAAGGTTATTTATTTTTGATGTGGAAAATTCAGCACTCTCACTTCTCTCTTCAATACGACTACCAAGCGAAGTGAGTTTTTCCAACAATTTTATTTATGTTTGTTTGAAATTCTGATTGTTTCCGGAAAATGTTTAATTAAAATTCTGATTTTTTGTAATTGTTTGTTTGAAATTCTGATTGTTTCCGGAAAATGTTTAATTAAAATTCTGATTTTTTGTAATTGTTTGTTTGAAATTTTGATTGTTTCCGGAAAATGTTTAATTAAAATTCTGATTTTTTGTAATTGTTTTAATGAAATTCTGATTTTTTCCGGAAAATGTTTAATTAAAATTCTAATTTTTTGTAGTTGTTTTAATGATATTCTGATTTTTTTCGCGAATGTTTATTTAAAATTCTGATTTTTTGTAATTGTTTTAATGAAATTCTGATTGTTTCCGGAAAATGTTTATTTAAAATTCTGATTTTTTGTAATTGTTTGTTTGAAATTTTGATTGTTTCCGGAAAATGTTTAATTAAAATTCTGATTTTTTGTAATTGTTTGTTTGAAATTCTGATTGTTTACGGAAGATGTTTAATTAAAATTCTGATTTTTTGTAATTGTTTTAATGAAATTCTGATTTTTTCCGGAAAATGTTTAATTAAAATTCTAATTTTTTGTAGTTGTTTTAATGATATTCTGATTTTTTTCGCGAATGTTTATTTAAAATTCTGATTTTTTGTAATTGTTTTAATGAAATTCTGATTGTTTCCGGAAAATGTTTATTTAAAATTCTGATTTTTTATAATTGTTTTGATGAAATTCTGATTTTTCTAGGGAATGTTTATTTAAGATTCTGATTTTTTGTAATTGTTTTAATGAAATTCTGATTTTTCCCGAGAATGTTTATTTAAAATTCTGATATTTTGTGTTTATTTTAGTATTCTGATTTTTGTCTATTTTTGTAAATGTTTATGCAGAATCTTTTAATAAAATTATGATTTTTCCTTAATTCAGCTAATATTTTTAAGATAAACTGCCTAGCTTGGAGGCCAAAACAACAATCAGAACAAACAACAAATTATTTGGCTGTAGCTTCGGATGATGGCCATTTGCACTTTCTACAAATTGATAGCCAATATATTAATAATTTTGGTGCTATAAATGGACAAATTGGTGATTAAAAATTGTTTTAATTTTTATACGTTTTGTTTTTAACTTAAAATTTTAAAAGGAAATATTTTTATAAAATTTATTTAAATACAAATTTGAATCGTTAGATTGTTCAGAGTATTTTTTATTTGAAATTCTGATTATTCCGGAAAATGTTTTGACATTTTAATTTGATGTTTGTTTTAAATTCTGATTATTCCGGAAAATGTTTTTGATATTTTAATTTGATGTTTGTCTAAAATTCTGATTATTCCGGAAAATGTTTTTGATATTTTCTTTAGATGTTTGTTTAAAATTCTGATTGTTCCGGAAAATGCTTTTGATATTTGTTTAGATGTTTATTTAAAATTCTGATTGTCTCGGAGAATGTTTTTGATATTTTAATTTGATGTTTGTTTAAAATTCTGATTGTTCCGGAAAATGCTTTTGATATTTGTTTAGATGTTTATTTAAAATTCTGATTGTCCCGGAGAATGTTTTTGATATTTTAATTTGATGTTTGTTTAAAATTCTGATTGTTCCGGAAAATGTTTTTGATATTTGTTTAGATATTTGTTTAAAATTCTGATTATTCTGGAAAATGTTTTTGATATTTTAATTTGATGTTTGTCTAAAATTCTGATTATTCCGGAAAATGTTTTTGATATTTTCTTTAGATGTTTGTTTAAAATTCTGATTGTTCCGGAAAATGCTTTTGATATTTGTTTAGATGTTTATTTAAAATTCTGATTTTTCCGGAAAATGTTTTGACATTTTAATTTGATGTTTGTTTAAAATTCTGATTTCGAACGCTTAATAAAAAGTTTCTTAAACAAGAAGCTCAACATTTCATTTTCCATGCATGTCTTGAGGCATTTCTTTCCCTTGTTAGCGCTCCTTGTTAAGCATGCGAATGAGAGTTTTATTTAATGTGTGAATGAGTGTGAGTTTTAAAAAATAAAAAGGAAAGGAAGTGGCGGATGAAGCTGTGAGAAATAAATAAAAATATATTTATAGAAGCAATGGCCATTGAGGGGGATAACAAGAATGAGGCGGATGAAGAAGCTGAGTTAGTATTATATAAGGAAGGGGAAGGGTTGAGCGGAAAGAAGGGAGAAAAAAAAACTCAGAACAGGATGGATAAGTCGCCAAATTGATTGGAGTTGTTACTTGCTTTTGCTAACAAGCACAGAGACCCTTCCCCTCCCTCATCATCTTTTACTTGCCCTATGGCGTTTTTTCACCTCTTTTTTTCAAATGGCACTTGACTGGTTAAGAAAGTTGAGAAAACATAAGTTTAGCTTTTTTTATATTTTTATTCTTTGAATTCTAACTTTTCTTGCCAAATATGTCCTAGTTATACTTATGCTAAGTTTCTGGAAACATGAAATGAACATTTTAATTATGAAACAGCAAAACTATTAAATAAACATTTTCTGGAAATCAAACAAATAATGAAATAAACATTTTCCGGAAAAAATTGAATGATAAAATATGTACCTAAACATGTTTCCGGAAATATCAGAATTATAAAATAAACATTTTCCGGAAAAAGCAGAATTATGAAATAAACATTTTCCGGAAAAAATTGAATTATAAAATAAACATGTTTCCGGAAAAAAATTATGTAACAAACATCTTCCGGAAATATCAAAATTATTAAATAAACATTTTCCGGAAAAAACAGAATTATGGAATAAACATGTTTACGGAAATAAAATGAGGATGAAACAAACATCTTACGGAAATTAAATTATCAGACAAACATCCACCGGAAATAACAGAATGCGAAATAAACATGTTCAGCTAGAGATGTTTTATGAATCAGATTTTAAGCTTCTTTCGCGCGTTCTTATCTTTTCACTCTTTAAATTTATATTTCCTAGATTTTATATGAAAAATTTACTAATTTTTTAATTTCTAACCCAAAAAAATTATATTAAGAAATGCCTTAGGAATTAAATTTTTCAGAGGGGAGAGGGAAGGAATTTACAACTCAATAAAAATGCAACAACTGTAGGTACACCAATTAAATATAGAAATGGAAGGCGGCTTTTCCTTTTCTTTTATTACTTAATATAAAACTAAGGACTATTTTATAGAAGATTATCCATTAAAAATTGTCTAGGAATTATTTAATGGATGGATAATATTTATAAATTTAATCAATTAGTTTGTTTCAACTATTTCCGGAAGTGTTTTGTTTGTTTTCTGATTTTTACAGAACATTGTTTAATAACCCTTTAAAACATGTTTTTAATTTTTGTTTTTCCGGAAAGTTTTTATTATATTCTGTTTTAATTAAATTCTGACTTTTCCGGAACATGTTTTTATTATATTCTGTTTTAATTAAATTCTGACTTTTCCGGAACATGTTTTTATTATATTCTGTTTTAATTAAATTCTGACTTTTCCGGAACATGTTTTTATTATATTCTGTTTTAATTAAATTCTGACTTTTCCGGAACATGTTTTTATTATATTCTGTTTTAATTAAATTCTGACTTTTCCGGAACATGTTTTTATTATATTCTGTTTTAATTAAATTCTGACTTTTCCGGAACATGTTTTTATTATATTCTGTTTTAATTAAATTCTGACTTTTCCGGAACATGTTTTTATTATATTCTGTTTTAATTAAATTCTGACTTTTCCGGAACATGTTTTTATTATATTCTGTTTTAATTAAATTCTGATTTTTCCGGAACATGTTTTTATTATATTCTGTTTTTTCATTTTAATTAAATTCTTACTTTTCCGGAACTTGTTTTTATGTTTACTTGTTCATTTAAAATGTTTTCCGGAAAATGTTTTATTCATTTACTGCATCTTTAATGTTTTTATTTATAGGATTTTCCGGAATATGTTTTTTTGAAATTCTGATTTATTAAAATAATTTTGGTATAATCGATTTTCTCCCTAAACTTAAATTCTGATTTCTAATTTATTTTAACAACAATTCTATTTAACAACAAATAAATAATTTATAAAATGGGCCGTTGCACTTCCAAATATCAAAAAGACCAGAAGAAACAAACAAGAAAAATTGATGAACAGTTGAGGAAGGAGGTAGCTGTTTTTAGAGAAAATAGAAAAAATTTCTTTTAATTTATTCCTTTAGCACTCAATGGATATGCGCATTATAAAGCTATTATTACTTGGTTATTAAATTAATATTTTCTAAAATTTATTTATGTAGGTGCTGGAGAAAGCGGGAAAAGCACAATTTTAAAGCAAATGAGGTTGAAATTAATTTTTAAATTTAAATCTTTTGCTTTCAAAGAATTCTACACAAAGATGGCTTCTCAAGACAAGATTTGGAATTAATTAAACCTGTTGTTATTTGGTGGGTAAAAAGATAAAAAGCAGAATTTTACTTTTGAATATTCAAGGGTTTCCGGAATAATATTTTAGTTAAAAATTTGATGTTTTTGAAGCATGTTCAAATAAAATTCTGATTTTCGAAAATGTTTTATTCTCTATGTTTATTTAAAATTCTGGTTTTAAAAAATGCAATTATTTCCGGAACATCCTTCCGGAAAAGATAATAGAAATTAGTTGTTTCTTAAACATGTTCGAATAAAATTCTGATTTTATATGAACATGTTTTATTTCCATCGCTGTTTGTCAAATATGTTTTTCTAAAATTCTGATTTTTAAAAGAATGTTTATAAATAGACTTGTTCAAATAAAATTCTGATTTTCCGGAAAATGTTCATTTAATATTCTGTTTTCCTATAATTGTTTTTACTTCAAAACTATTTCCCCCGAACTTTTTTAGCAACACTATTCATTCAATGCTTGCTATTCTTCGAGCAATGTTTCACCTCCATATAGACTATGGCGACCCCGAACGATTGGTAAAAAATTTAAAAAATATTTAAATTTTTTAATAGTGTAGAAAGATAGTCAACTTGTTTTTGCTACAATTCATGCCAACAGGGAAGAATTAACCGACGAATTAGTTGACGCCATGCAAAGGCTATGGAAGGACGAAGGCGTCCAAGAATGTAAAAAAAAATAAATTAATTTTTTAAATAAAATTATTTTTAGGCTTCAGACGGTCTAATGAATATCAGGTTGAGAAAATATTTTTAAACCCAAAAATATTTTTTTATTAAAGATAGATGACTCCGCCAAGTATTTCTTGGACAATCTAGCAAGGCTAGGCGCCCACAACTATTTGCCTACAGAACAAGATTTGCTTAGAACGAGGATAAAAGTGGGAGAAACTTGTTAAACTAAAAAATAATTTTTATTAAGACAAGTGGAATTACTGAAGTGCTCTTTGAACTTAAAGGCCTTACCTTTAGGTAAAATATAAAATACTAAAAATTTTAAACTTAAAACATCATTTAGAGTAATTGATGTTGGTGGACAACGGTCTGAACGGAAAAAGGTATAAAACAGCTTTGGACTAAAAATTTCCGGATAAACATTAAAACAAAAACAAACGTTAAAAACATAAACACATCGGAAAACATTAAAAACACATTTAAATATAACATATCCGGAAAAACATGTAAAACATTTTCAGAAAAACATGCAAATATAAAAAACAAAGAGGAGAAACATTCCGGAAAAACATCTAAATATACCAGAAAAACATTTTCAGAAAAACATTTACACTTAAAAACATTTCCGGAAAAACATGTAAAACATTTTCAGAAAAACATGCAAATATAAAAACAATCGGGAGAAACATTCCGGAAAACAATTAAATATAGGGAAATTTCCGGAAAAACATCTAAATATATATACATTAACAAAATAAATGTTTCAATGTTTTTAGTGGATACACTGTTTTGTAGACAACGTCAACTCAATTATATTTATTTCTTCACTTTCTGAATACGATCAAACATTAAGGGAAGATAATTGCACTAATAGAATGCTTGAATCACTTAAATTATTCGATTCCATTTGTAATAGTCCTTGGTTTTCAGAGATTCACTTTATTTGTAAGTGAATTAAAAGCCCCTACCTATCTGGCATACCAAAGACCTACCTATCTGGAATGCCAGACTTGCCCCCTAAAATCTAGTTGGATACAGTCGGATATCAATTCTACACAGACCCTTAGAGCTGAAAAATTATATCTCAATGAAAAATTATCCGGAATACAAAGGCTTCCGGAATACAACTATGTATGGCGTATCATTATAAGGGGGGGGGGGGGGGGTAACATTAGTATCATAAAATCCAGTCCACGCTTGTCGTACGTAAACTCGAGATATAAAAGTATACAAAAATTATACCCGGTTACCTACCCTTCCTCAATGTCACCTATCTACTATTGACTGTTCACTACGTAGTGGTATAACTGGAGTGACACTGATTTGTCACTGATCCGTGACGTCATAAATTTACAGTATTTTTCAAAATTTACAGTATTCCTCAACAAAAAGGACATTTTTGCCGAAAAAATAGCCCATTCCCCACTCAACGTTTGCTTTCCGGAATACAAAGGCCTTCAAAACCAAACAGAATGTACAAATTATATTCAATGGAAATTTGAACAAGTAAATAGATCTAATCAAAGGGAAATTTATTGTAAGGAATTTTTAGAATAAAAATAGTAAAAAAATATTTTTTTAAAGGCCACCACACTTGTGCAACCGATACAAATGTAAAAATTAATTTTTTTAGTTAGAGGGGGGGGGGGTGGTTGACAGAATCCTCAGATATTCGGGTCCGCTAACTCTATTGGGACTGGACTAGGCCCCGCCTCCCAGCCTCTTCCCGGCCTTTTTATGAGATTCCAGGGTGAAATCGGCATCGGGTATTACGTATTTTAGGACAGGTCTCACGATCGTTTCCCAGTCCTTTCCCTTTGGAGATCCAAAGACGATCTCGTTTTTACAATCCACCTCTCTCGATCGTGTCGCTTCGGTCTTCTAGTTCTATCTTCCTTTTCTCAGTCACAATACTTAAAATTTTAAATTTAAGAATGTTCAATTTGTATTGGATGCTTGTCTAGACATGATAATTGCAAAAGTGGGTTTCTCATATAAAAAAGGGTTTCGGAAAATATCCGGAAAACACTAATCATTTAAAATAATTTTGGGCTTATAAACAAAGCTAAAAATTCTAAAAAGTGTATTAATAAAATTTTAGAATTTAAAATCAATGGGGCTGTGCTGACAAAACAAAAAAAAACGCCAAAAAAAAAGATGTTTTTTATTAACTCCACAAAATGCAAGGCAAAAATGTTGATCGGTCTCGAAAATTAAGAAAACAACGAGAGACGGGATAAATAAATACAAAAATAATTTAAATGTGATTTTTGAAATAGTACACACAAAGATTAATTTTAAAAAAAGAATAATTTATAAAATAAATATTTATTTTACAAAAATAACAAAAATTTTTAATTAATGATAACAAAAAAGATTTTTGCGAAAAAAAATAATTCTTTTTTGATAAATGAATATTTTGAAAAAATAAATTTAATACCCTTATAACAATTACATAAAGAAAATTGGTACTTGTCCCGTTATACCCCCACAGATTGGGTGCCGGCCAACTTTGATCGACCATAACTTTTTAATGCCTAAATCAATACGAATGGATTTTATATCGTTCGAAAGCTCTTGATAAGCGGTATATTTTTTCCAATTTGATGGATCAGGTCTGATCAATTGTTAAAAAGTTAGAACTCGATAAATGTGAAAAACACCAAATAACCGGACTTATCAGATTATAACTTTTTAACACATGATCAGACCAAATTCATCCAGTTGTAAGAAAGGTAGCGCTCATCGAGGGCTTTCGAATGATATTAAAATTCATTCGTATTGATTCAAGTATTAAAAAGTTATGGCCGTTCAAAGTCAACCGGCACTCAATTCGAGAGGGTCTAACGGAAAAGTAACAAAAAGCTTAACCCAGGAAATTAAAAAATTTAAAATGGAAAAATAAGGCCCTAATGATGATAATGGCCAACAAAACACAATTTTATAGTCAATAAATATATTTTACCCCTCCAATTTTTTATTTATTCACTCCATTTTTGTTAATTTTGTGCTTATCATAGTAGTGGTAAGGGTAATAATTTCTGTCTTGTAAATGTCGATTTCCGTTGTGATTGGAAGAATTATTATTATTTTTACTTTGTTGTTGAGGGGAAGTAGTAGTATGCTTCCTAAAAATTTAATTTAATAATCATTTCAATCCAGCTATTTTTCAACCCCAAAATTTATTCGAAGGAGCACTAAAGCCCCACAAACTTCCAAAATTTTGGGTACTTCCCTGACGCGACTATCTAGTCAACGAAGGGAAGAAAAGTGTAAAAAACAAGGAAATGGGCGGCAGCTAGAAATAACAACAACATCAAACTTTGCAGCAGGTGGGTAGTTGTATGGCCGAACAGATTAGGCCGCAGTTTGGAGAGAAGAGGCCCTGGATCCCACCCAAATTTTCACCCCTAAAAAAATTTCCCAAAAATTTTTTTCAAAAAATTTTTTTCTCAAATTAAAATTATTATTTTAATATTTCTTTACCACACACCTTTTAGTCCCTCGATAATATTCTTCTTTATTTTGCTTTTCTAAATTTTGTCCATTTTTGTCATTATTTAGCTTCTCAATATTTGTTGTCGCCCCCATTTTTGATTTTCCATCACCATCATCAGAATCCGAAGAGGAATCATAAGAAGAAGAGGATGAACTTGATGAATCACATCTTGAAAAAAAATAATTTTTAAATTTTTTGCGGACGTCCGCAAAAATTGTCCGCAAAATGCGAGGAATAAACAACAAGGACTAAAAATCCAAAATCTTTTTTTTTGCGGACAAAATTTGCGGACATTTAAATTTTCTTTAAAAAAATTAATTGAAAAAATAGTTTTACGGCTCGCTAATATCCAATGAAGCAATTCCATTTAATTTATTAATCTCATCAATTTTTTCAATTAGTTCAGGTCTAGATTTATTTACTACTTTTAACCAATGTAGTGCAAGTTGAGGACGTCTGAAAAAAAATTAAAAAAAATTTTTGAAGGAATTTTAAAATTAAAATCCAAAAAAAGAAAATTCCGTAAATTGAAAAAATCGCAAAAATAAAAAAAGTCCGCAAGTTGACAAAAAAGTCCGCAAATTTTAAAAAAGTCCGCAAATTGACAAAAAAGTCCGCAAAAATTAAAAAAGTCCGCAAAAATTTATCCAACTTAATAATTTGTTAAAATTCCCAAGGAGATTTTTTCCTTTGATGAGGATCCAAAAAACTCGCTCTTTAAATTTAGAGACTGGCAAATATTCAAAAAATAAAAAAAAAACTTTTTTTTGCGGACAGAATTTGTGGATTTTTTTTAATTTGTGGATTTTTGAGAATAAAAAATAAATTTAAATTCCTTATATTAATTAAAAAAAATCACCAAACTGTTTAATTAATTTAGGCCAAACATTAGGTAAATTAACCACAGAACAAAAATTTTGTGTAACAGCAATAGTCGTCTCCAAATTCATTACAACATGCCACCAACCGGAAGGAACGAACATTAACTTGAATAATTAAATTGATAATTTTTAGAGGGGAAAATCAGAATCTAAATGAGAATATTAAAACCAGAATTTGTAAAAACCAGAATTTTTAAAAATCAGAATTGTTAAAAATCAGAATTTAGAAAAATCAAAATTTTTCAGAATTAAAAAAATCAGAATTAAAAAAATCAGAATTTAGAAAAATCAGAATTTAGAAAAATCAGAATTTAAAAAATCAGAATTTTTCAGAATTAAAAAAATCAGAATTTAAAAAATCAGAATTTAGAAAAATCAGAATTTAGAAAAATCAAAATTTTTCAGAATTAAAAAAATCAGAATTTAAAAAATCAGAATTTAGAAAAATTAGAATTTCGAAAAATCAGAATTTCTAAAAATCAGAATTTTTAAAAATCAGAACTTTGAAAATCAGAATTCGAAAAATCAGAATTAAAAAATCAGAATTTTTAAAAACCAGAATTTGTAAAAACCAGAAATAAAAATCAGAATTTCAAAAAATCAGAATTTTAAAAATCAGAATTGAAAAAACCAGAATTTTCAAAAATCATAAATCTTAATTAATTAAATCAGAAATTAATTAAAAATCAGAATTAAAATAAAAACCTCTCCCGGCCTCTGAATTGCATGAATAACAGGAAAACGTTCATTATTCCATTGAGGACTAAAAACTCGAGGGAAAACAGTTCCAAACCAAGTAATTGCTTCATCTGGATGTACAAGATTTTTAGTTTCCTCAGTTTTTGGTTTAATTAATTGTTTGGGTGTAGAAGGGTGAATTAGGCACCATCTAAAAATAAAAAAAATTTTTATTTTAAATGTCAAAAATATAAAATTGCTCAGTTTTTTATTTTTGCGGACAACTTTTGCGGATTTTTCCTACATTTTTGTCAATTTAATATTTATTTACTATTTTAAATTTTGGGCAAATTAAATTTAAAAAATGACCGAAATAAAAAATTTTTAATAAAAATCCGCAAAAAAAAGTCCGCAGAAAATTGTCCGCAAAAAATAGTCTGCAAAAAAAATTTCCGCAAAAATAAAAGTCCGAAAAAAAATTGTCCGCAAAAAATTGGCAGACAATTAAAAAAATGCCAAAGATAGAAAAAAGAGGGAAAATGACCCCTCCAAAAATAATTTTTTTAAAGATTTTTTTTCTCAAAAATTCCCCCTACAAAATTATTTCTATTAATTACGGCCTATTAATTTTTATTTTTTATTTAATTACATTCAGTTTCAAAGTGCATTTATTTGTTGCTGCAACTGGAAATTGAGAGAATTTTTGGAAATTAAAAAAAATTTTTCTTAAAAATTTTTTCTAACGGTTTTAAGAAATTTTTTTCTTACTTTTTATGACCAGAAATTAGAGCATTCCAAGCTGATGTTCCAATTGGGTCAATGTGAATGGCTGTGCCTGATCTGGTTGGACCCATGACAAACCACCTAAAAATGAAAAAAATATTTTAAAAGAAATTTTGCTGTTGTCCGCAAAAGTTTATTGTCCGCAAATATCTGTCCGCAATGAAAATTTTCCAAGAAATTTTTACTGAAGCCAAAATTTTAATAAAATTTTTGAAAGAAAACTTCCAAAAATTTTCTGCGAACAAAATTAGAATAAAAACCAGTCAATTAGAACAAATTGGCATGAAACGGAATCAAAAAATGATTTAAAAAAAAGAAAACCTATAGGGAGGTCTTCTCTTTTCAGCAGCATAACGAAACAAGTCGTCCTTGAAAAAATCTGGAACTTCGTAATCATCCAAAATTTTTGAAGTTTTTTGACGCTAAAAATTAACAAGTCGGACCTCGAATTATAGACACTTTTGGTAATGGAAAAATAAAGCAAAAGTGTATTTCGAGCCAGATTTCAGGGGAGGAGAGGTGTGAGTAATCTTGGAATTATTTCACACAAAAAGCTCCCTCTCCCCTAACTGAAAAAAATTATTCATCAAATAAAGAGAAAATTTGGGGGTACCCAAAAAGTGAGTAGATATGCCGAAACAAATTTTAAAAAGCGAAAGAGGTCGTTCGCCGACAACGACGTTAACGAAAAAAATCGAGAGAAAAAAAGGCGAAAATAGGTGAAAAAACGAAACCAGCAAATCCCAGCTATATAAATTCAATGTCCGACTATATCCAAAAATAAAAAATAACAAAAAAACCTCTCCAAAACCCGAATCAAAAATATAAAGAGGCGAATCATCACAATTTGCAGTCATATAATGTAAATAATATTTCATTTTTAATTTTACAGAGTAGCCATCGTCGTCTTCTCCACATTTAAATTTTTGGTTTCGATAAGCTCGGTGAAGGGTCTAAAAAATTATTTTTAAATTGAAAGAGGAATTGAAGGGAAATAAAGGTCCAAAAAACTCCGAAGTACCATTCAAAGAAATCAAGCGTGGCCCTAATTGATTCCCTTTCCCGAGCCTAGATTTAGTTGGATTTTAGGACAAGTTATTCTAACAATAAGCCTAGTCTTTCTAAAAATGATCTTGCTAAAAAATTCGGCGCAGAAAAATTTTCCCTCCGTTGTCCCATGAAAAAATTCTGACTACGGGTCTGAAGGAGTTAAAAAAATAAAAAAAAAGCGTTCTATAGGAGAAGACTAGAATTTCCCAAAATTATCGAAAAAAACCTGCAAAGTCCACCGCTCATTAGCCTTCCATTCATCCATCAAACCCAACAAAATCACAGGTTTATTCAACTTTTCATAGCGTTCAGCAAATTCTTGACAAGTCATTTTGGAGGCATCCACACGTTCTATAGTATCGGGTCCCATAGCCATTTGAGAAAGAAATTGATCAGAATTTAGAGAATAACCTTCGCAGTACCATTCATTCTTTTTAAGTTCTGAAAAAATTTTTTGTTGAGAAGTTTGGAGCAGGGGTTGGTATTTGTGTAGTTTACCCCCCATAAGCCTTTTGTTCTTCCCTTTTCTTATAAAGCTAGTTAGCCAAATATTTTTTGTTTATTTCAGAAATAAGCTCATAAGGAAGGAAGAGAAAAAATGGGCGTGGCTTAAGGGGGGTAAACTACACAAATACCCAGGGGTTAGCATGAAACACAATATCCGGGCTTCATGGACTCGAAATCTGACACAAATAAAATTTTGAAAACTCGACACCGCTGTTGCTTTCTCAACACGTTATAACCCTCGTATGGAAGCAATGAAGTCTAGAAGGATTATTTGGGAAAAATTTTTAGAGGGCATTTTATGCAATTTTTTGGGAAAAGGGGTGTTACGGGCTAACAGAAACCCGGGCTTTTTCCGCTCGAAATCAGAGCCCAAAACCCAACCCCAAAACCTTAGAGAGCAAATGATCGGACTAGTCCTAGTAGGCTTGTAAAGAAATGCCGGCTATAGTTACATTTAATAAAACAATCTTTCTCCACAAATGTTCGACTTAACAAGCCGTAAATTCCAAAATTATCAAGACTACAAGGGAAGTCGAGCCCAGCGATTTTTGGAGGGAATTTAAAAAAAAACTTCGATTCCTAAAAGATTTTTAGGGTAAAAATTCCTTAAAAAAACAAAAAAATATACCAGATCTCGCCTTTCGTTTAGCAGCATCAACCACCTTTGCAGTCCTTTTGTGGTAAAAAACATGCCGTCTATCTCCCAGTAATTTATCAGAAGGCGATTTATTTGAGCCGTTTGAATTATTTTTGTTAAATTTAAGTGTATTTAAAGTTCCGTTTTCGACATATGAAGAAATTCTAAGGTCGTTTTCCATTTTTAATTGACTAAAAAAAGAAAAGAAATTTTGAGAAAAATGAGAGCAATTTCTAAAAAAATAAGTCCAGAAGGTTCGAGGGATATCAGAAAAGTTATCCTGCTCAAGACTCTAACAAACCTTTTCGTTAGAGTATTCAAAAAATAAAAAAGTTTGGCAAAATGTTTAGCGACATTTTGTCCATTTATTGCCAAATTCTTCAATTAGGAATAGTGGCCGGCGCGGGACAGATCCCGCGCGGGATTCTGCGGGAATGCGGGATTTTGCGAGATTATTCCCGCGGGAGTTACACCCGCAGACATTTTTAAAAGTTACTCCCGCATGCGGGATCCCGCAAATACTGTTATGTACTACGGTAGCGGTCTTACCTAGTGACAAACAGAATAACACAAGAATAGAATATGACGTTTATCCGAATACTAAATACAATAATAGCGAAGGTGGGAAAAGGCAAGAATGAATAAGGACATGCGGCGATGGTCGACCCAGGTGTCGACCGAGACTGATCGATAACGACTCCTTTTATACTAGACCCACACATACCTAACAAATACGATTTTGCCGGTTACTATTAGGAATTGACCATTTTTTCTGATTATTCTTTCAATTTTGATTTTATTTAAATATTTTTTTTTATATTTTGAGTTATGTTTATTAAAAACAATTTTCCAATTTTGCACTCTAAAAGTTTAAATTGTCTGATTTTGAAATAAGAAATTTAGCGAGTCTGTATTTTTGTATCCTTTTTTAAGTTTTGCCGAAAAATTATTTTTGTTTTTATAAGAAAAGGGCATTTTTCCTTTCACCTCTAATAACGCTATCGCCTTATAAGAAAAGGGCATATTTTCAAAACGCTTGCTTTCGATTAAATAAAAAAATTTAAAGCCCTTCGATGGAAAACCCGCCTAATCAATGGAAAAGCTGACGCCCACGTGAAATCTATACAGAGTTGCGCATTCTTATTTTTGAATCTATTTATGGGCAAGTCATTTTACTTCATATATAAAAAAATATTTAAAAATTTAATTTTAAAAGAGAAATTAAAAAATTATTTTATTATTTATTTTTCGTTTAGATGAAGCGTCAACTATTAAAATACACCTTCTCAAAAATTAATTTAGTCATTCTACCTTCTATATTTCTATTTATTCTAATTTCTTCAATTTCCTGTAATTATCCTATATCTGTACAAATATCAGGAACTTGGACAAAACTTCGAGAATTTCAATGGCTCGTGCCTGTGGATGCAGAAAAACGTTTTAATTGCTTTGTTTTTAGTGAAAGCTCAGGGAAATATGAAGGAAAATTAGCTGCAATAAATAAAGAAAATGACATGACATTCTATTTTATGATAAATTCAAATGAGAAAGACAAGCTAAAAAGACTATGGGGTATTGAATGCATTGTTTGTATGCCTGTATTTATTCAAAATTTATTGAAGAATTTGGATTTTCAAGTCAGTAAATAGTGAACTATAATTTTAATAATAAAATCTGTTAAACAATAAATTAATATCATTATCATTTCAGCGCATCAGACGTTTCATTAGTATCAATGAATTGAAATTAGACAAGCCCATCAACGTTTCTTTTGAAAATACAATTGCCGAGCATGGAAACATTGCTGACAAGCTAACAGATGATCGTCCCATGTATCAACATTTAAGTGATCTTCAATACGAGCTCAGATCGATGCGAATGATTTCACAATTTGAAAAACTTATAATGGATGAACAAAAGCAGTCTTGGAGGGAATACAAATATGGCCTTATATATTTGCAAATGTATAATATGGTGTTAATAAAGGACCTAATTTTCAAATACCCATTAAACAGTGTGGGTAGAGAAAAGTATGAAAGATTACTGGATAATTGTTATGATAAGATGATTGAATTTGCCTCAGAGTTGGAAAATGATGATGACAAAGGTAAAACGATGTTTTATTAGACTTATTTTTAATATTTTTTCATAAAGAAAAATTTACGCAACAAAAACAAGAGAAATTACCATTGAATATGTTATACTCTGCTATTTCATCAATAAAAGACAATCTACAATCTCCTATTGCGGATAAGTCTGCGATAGCTACAAAATTACCAACAATATTTTCAGGTAACTTAATATTTGAGGTGCACAAGATGACCTTATATCTATTATTGAATTGAGGCCGAATGACTTTTTGCAATAGCTGTAGGTGTGAAATAGCTTAAATTTAAATTTTGAAGGCCAACCGGTAGATATTTTAACTAAACTCAACGCTGAGATTATAACACAACAAGTTCAAAATATTCAGCCAATTCAAACAATTATAAATGCTAAAGATGATATGAATGAACCATTGCATATTCAAGAACAAGAAGCTCAGCGCTATCAAACATTTGCTAGTTCAGGTAGAATTAAGGCAAGAATAGTAATTTATGCTTGACACTAATTTTAGGAATGTTTCAACCAATTAGCATACCCAAAACATCGGTACATCAGACATCTGTTCCTTTATCTATACAACATACGGCTCCGCAGATTAAACCACAGACTTCAGTCCATCAGACAACAGCTTTTCCTATAGAACACACAATGCCTTCAGTTAGTTCACAAGCAAGGACCCAGCAGATTAGGTCGCAAGCAATCCTACCTCCGGTTCCTACGTCTATACAGCAAATGACTCCTCCAGTTACATCACATACAGCAACTCGTAAAATTAGTCCACAAGCAACGGTACATAAGACTATGGTTCCTCCGTTAATACACCATACAATTACTCAGATTGGATCGCAAACAGCATCTCCCCAAATTAGCCCACAAGCAACAGTTCAACAGACTAGACCAAAGGCCACGGTCCACCAGACGCTTCCTCCGTTTGTACACGAAACACTTCCTCAGGGTAGTTCACAAGCAACGGTTCAGCAAACGTTCCCTCCAAGCATACCACAAACAGCAACTTCCCAAATTGGACCACAAGCAACGATTCCTTCAACTAAATTACATTATCTAAAGAGCGGCATACTCAATATACACAATATTTTTAACAACATGGCAAGGATAGTAAAAACGTTCATAGACAATCCATCTGAATTTAATTTCGACATTAGCCCATGTAAATTGGAGGAATTTGTTAAACAACTAGATGAGCAATCTGAGAGATTTGACACAGAAAAAAATAAAATTTTTGACACCACAGAGAAAGGATTATTAACACTTTTGGGACAACAAGTAACAAATTTAGTCAATGGAACAAAGGATATAATTATTTTATTGAGATTGTTTGCACGAGAGACTAGCCAAAAAGAAAAGTTAAGAACCAGAGAAGACATACAATTTTTATATACAAAAATGTTGACTGAAAATGAGTTAATTAAGCAGAGACAGACAAATTTTATAAGGCAAAGTAATGAACAAACAAGGCGAAGACGGAGTCAAGGTAGTTATTCTATGTTAGAACGGGCCATTATATACTACCATATTAATTTGCAATAGAGAGAATGACCGCCTTCATTTGAATGGTCCCCTCAAATAGAATGACCCTAAGGAGGATGATTAAAAAATAGAATGCCGGCCATTATATTATCTTGTATGTGTTATCGAAGCAAACTAGCAGGATTTAACATGTCGTTACAGAGCGTGTTTGAATTTTCGCTGACAGGCGTCGAGATTCGGTAGAAAGTATTGTTGAATCAGTCAGCTCGTCGCGTTACATCAAACCTTACCAGTCACGGATTAGTAAATTTTAACCAAAGTTACATCCCTCGACGGAATAAATTATTTATAAAATAAATTATTTATTAGTAACTCAAAATCAAGGCCTGGTCAGCAACCCATCAATGGAACAAATAGCTTATTCAGAGGAAGAAAACAAGGCACAACATTTAATAGAAAAACAAATCCAAAAAAGCATCTCGGAAACTTCTAATGACGATAACACTATTCCAATAAATGAGGATACTATTAATAGTAGAATTGAGCCAAAAGAACAAGATGAATTGAGGAAAATTAAAGGAAAATCTGTTGTGAACGAAGAACAAGGTGAAGAAATGGATGAAAAAATAGTTGAAACGAATTTTAACGATCATTTGGAAGATATTGAAGAATTAGACCAAATGGCATTGAATTTTGGAATTGCAGCTTCTAGTGAACATTACATAAAAAATTTGGAACTTGTAGGAATTCGTTTTAAAATTACTAATTTATATTTGTTTATGCATTACAGCCGGATCCCGTCTATGTGTAAACCAGATATGTGATTTTGCAATATTTTCGCATCTATAGGATCCGTCCGGCACTCCCCTAATGGAGATACAACCCAAGGTAACGCAGAGATATAAATTCGTATGGTCAAATCCGGGAGGCCTTGTTAAGATTCGATTTCTCGTTGAGACGCATCGAACCATATCATGGCGTCCGGATTCGAAGATTCTGAACTAAGATACAGCTCTGCGGTACCTTGGGCTTGGGGTCTCCTGGCTTGGTTTCCTCTGCTGGTGTACACTCCAGCAAATTAGTGCGTACACATATTTAAGTGAGGCCCTTGACTGTGTATCTCTTGGGAATAATATCACATCTTGACTTTATTTTCTCTTTTTAACATTGGTAAAAAATTATAACAAACAATTTAAGCAAATTTTAAAAATGTGCGAGGAAAGAAAAGAAGGGGAAAAGGATGACTGGTGCATTTCTCATGATCCCAAAACAGTAACAAATCAACCAAAAAATCGTGGAGAGGAAATTAATAAAAATATACAAACGATCAAGGCTGAAATGTCAGAGGGAAATAGTGAAGGACAAAGTGCAAAATTATCAAAAAATACTTTGGCAAAAGGAAAGCCCAGTGTTGGAAAAGTGAAAACGAAAAGCCGTTCATATTTGGCTATTAAAAAGGCATTGGCTGAAGTTAGAAAAAGAAAGAAGGGAAAGGAAGAATAGATCCACCATTCTTTGAGAAGCATCAACAGTAGAACAAATATTCAAATCCGCCACGATTTCTTTAAATCATATTTCGAATCTTCTTGGGACCTATTCTCTGCAAATTATGAAAATTCCAGTTACCTTATTTGGCATGTATTTACTCCTGTGAAAACATGATATTCTATTCTTTGTATACTTCGTTTTCTTAGAATAAATCAACATAGGATATAACAGGAAGGAAATATCGAATATTCAATCTTTTTCTCATTGTTATTATCAACGTCATTCTGACCCAAAATTAACTTTTTCTCTTTTATTTGATAATGTTTCTTCGATTAATTTTTTCGTAATCGTAATTCGTAATTTTTAAAAAAATTTCGGAATCGCAATTTTTTAAAATTATTTAAATTAATTTAAAAAATCAAATATTTTTAATAATTACTGCTTCTCCCATTAATCTCTCTATTAAATCAGTCTTCTTCTATCGACATATTTGACGTTCTACTAATAATCTCTAAAGCGTTAGCTATATATTCCTTCTATCCAAATCAGTCTTCTTCTATCGACATATTTGACGTTCTAATAAGCTCTAAAGCGTTAGCTATATATTCCTTCTATCCAAATCAGTCTTCTTCTATCGACATATTTGACGTTCTAATAAGCTCTAAAGCGTTAGCTATATATTCCTTCTATCCAAATCAGTCTTCTTCTATCGACATATTTGACGTTCTACTAATAAGCTCTAAAGCGTTAGCTATATATTCCTTGTATCCAAATCAGTCTTCTTCTATCGACATATTTGACGTTCTAATAAGCTCTAAAGCGTTAGCTATATATTCCTTCTATACAAATCAGTCTTCTTCTATCGACATATTTGACGTTCTAATAAGCTCTAAAGCGTTAGCTATATATTCCTTCTATCCAAATCAGTCTTCTCCTATCGACATATTTTACGTTCTAATAAGCTCTAAAGCGTTAGCTATATATTCCTTCTATACAAATCAGTCTTCTTCTATCGACAAATTTGATATTTTTTTTCTATTTATTCTATCGACACATTTCTACTAATAAGCTAAAGCGTTAGCTATATATTCCTTCTATCCAAATCAGTCTTCTTCTATCGACATATTTGACGTTCTAATAAGCTCTAAAGCGTTATCTATAGTAAAGTTGGAAGGTATTGGGGCAGAGTGATGCTTGTGCGTGGCCAGCGCATGCAAAGACTAATCGGATCAGCTCAACATTCTTTCTGTTGTCGGTAGAGATAAACATAATCATAAACAGAAACTAACTGTCATTAATATTTATTTCTCATTTAAAATAGAGAAAAAAAGCTTCTATTATTCAATGGTTCATTTTCTTCCGCTTTTTCGATGGGCCGGCTCTAAGTTGAGGGAATTCTTCGTTTCAAAAATTCAAAAAATTTTTGAAAATTTTCTCAAGCCATACAACCAATATTTGAAGAAATTGTACATAAAAATGATCAAAATATGCACAAAATTTTAAAAAATATGCGAAAACTGCCTAAATATGCACAATATGCAAATATGCACTAAAATGCCGAATGCAAAAATTTACTATAGGAATTGGGCCCCTAATACAGACGTAAAAACACCATTTTTGAGCGTTTTAGCTCATAGCATATCCGCATACAAAATATGCATTTGCATGTTTTGCCGCAATCTAGTTATAACTAGAGCTGTGAATTTTATGCATTAAAAAATGCAAAATATGCACTATAATATGCATAAAAAATTGCCGAAATATGCACGAAAATATGCAAGAACCCCAAAATATCCACGCAAATATGCAAGAAAAATACAATTTAAACCTAAAAATTTTATATTTTTTTAGTCAACAACATTCAAACACCTATTTTTATTAAATTACACCCAGTATACGTATTGTTCAATAATTTGAGTATTTTTACTCTGTTGGACATTTTGAGATGAGGCGTTTTGGCGATGTGACATTTTGGGGTGGGACATTTTTGGGTCGGGTCCAAAAAACAAAAAAAAATTTTTTTACAAAATTCTTAATTTTTACAAATTTTTTCCAAAATTTTTACAGAATTTTCACTTTTTGGCAGGATTTTAGGCAATTTTCGCGATATTTTCCCCAAAAACCTCAAAATATGCAGTAAAATATGCATTTATGCACCAAAGTCCGAAATATGCTAAAATATGCATTATATGCAAATAGAAACCCCCTCTAAAGTTTTCAAAACAAGCGGAAACTGTGTTTTTCGTGCATTATACATCATGACATGTTTGCAAAAAAAATATGCATTTGCATAAAAATCACAGCTCTAGTTATAACTTATCGAGTTATAACTTCTTAATCAATGATCAGACTTGATATATCCTATTAGAAAAAATAGAGGTTATCGAGGGCTCTTGAATGTTATAAAATTCATTTGTACTGAATCAAGCTTCATAAATTTATACCCATAAATTAAAATAATTGTTATAAAGGTTAATAATAATTCTCTTGTATTTACAACTCTATCAAAAATTTTAGCTTTATCTCAAATAAATTCTGATTGTTCCTTCCTTCTCAAATATTTTTAATGTTCTTTCCTTCCCTCCTTTCTTTTTCTAACTTCAGCCAACGCCTTTTTAATGGCCAAATATGAACGGTCCTTCGACTTATATTTTCCAACTCTCGGCTTTCCTTTCATTAAAATATTTTTTGCCAATTTCCCCTTTTGATCTCGACTACTCCCCTTCGACATTTCGGCCTTGATCGTTCGTTTATTTTTATTAATTTCCTCCCCACGATTTTTTGTTTGATTGTTTACTGTATTGGAATCGTTTATAGATGTGCACAAGTCAGCTTTTGACGTTTCCGCTTCGTTTTGGTTTTCGCACATTTTTTGATATTTCTTAAATTGTTTATTTTTAATTTTATTTTTTAAAATTTTTATTGTAAGGATGATTCACCTAGCAGCATTTAAAACTCTTAGCGGGAGATAAACGATCTAAAAAGGAAAAATAGAAAGCATTAGTCGATGCCCCGGTAGCTCAGTGGTAGAGCCCCTGTATATGTTAGTCTACTCAGCTACAATGCCAAAAGGATATAGTTGGGATCACACTATGCGTACATCCTTGGTCCATAATAATTATAACATAATTGAGAACACGAGTATTGCTTAGGCATTTTAGCTCTACACCGTGAGCGATCTAGATTTTCGATAATTAATCGCAAATACCGAAAGCGCTCCAGACAAGGCCAGATAGAAATAGAAAAGTATTGATTTCCTATTAATTGAGCTCATTAGCCAACTAAACGGACGGGCAAAGATATTATTTTCTTAAAATTTTTAAAAATTTCCTACCTCTTTAAGCTCTGCTTTGTATTGTTCCTTAGAAGCTTCAATTGCTAAATTCAATTGAAATTCTTCTATATCATCAGTATCATCCAGTTGATTATTTGAATTTATTGCTTTAACTATATCTTCATTCACCTCTTCAGCTTGGTCTACGTTTACGACAGATTTTCCTTTAATTCTTCTCAATTCATCTTGCTCATATTGCTCATTGCCTTTTGTAATATTATCCACATGTGTTGATTTAGAAGTTTGTTTATCTTAAATAATTCATATGAAGTAAATTGGACTATGAACTGAAGAAAAGTTTTCAGTACTTTTCCCGATTGCTTTAGTACTGTATAATGGTGTTAATAATAAATCAGACTGATTATATTAGGATAAAAGCCATTGTTAGCGTCAGTTTAACAGGAACATACTAGCCCAAAGATAGTAAGTAAGTTGCATAAAATCATGCATAAAATGATTAATTATATTAGTTAGTTAATTAATTATTTAAAATAGTAATTAATTATTCTCTCATTAAATGTCTTAAACCTATCAACCTGTTTGTTCATTTTCTTCAATATCGTCTTCTGTCAAATCTATTAATGGTATAGTAATAGTAGTAGATTTATGTTTATTTCTGGAAGCATTAAAAGTTTCTGAACTACCTTGACTCTGTTTTTGCCTGCTTTGATTATTTTGAGTTAAAAATTTTATTTGTTTATTTTTAATTGTTTCATTCTCTTTTAACATTTTTTCAAGTAAAAGTTGTATTTCTTTTTTAATATTATTTAACCATAAATTGAATTCCGGCGTATTCTTTTCCAACAAATACTCGAAGTTCCTTGGAAACAATCCCAATAACCTGTTTATTTCTTTTATCCCATTGATTAAATTTATTATTTGTTGTACCAAAAGTGATATCAATTCTTGTAAAACTATTTCGTTTCTTAATAAATATAGTCTTTTGGATATCTGACTTAGTTGCTTTAAAAATTCCTCCAACTTTAATATAGTGTCGAAATAAAATGATGGATTTTCATGAAACTTTACTACTTCTTGTTCCATATTGCTAACAATTTTGTTTATATTATCTATATCGAATCTTAGAGACATTATATTAGTCGGAGGATGTTCTGTCTGCGATCCAATTTGAGTAATAGTATGGTATATAGACGGAGGTGCTGTTGTTTGATGAAACACTGTTTGTGCCGTTGTCTGCTGAACTGTTGGTTGTGGTCTTATCAGAGGATTAACTGTTTGCGATCTAAGTTGAGAAAGTTCATGTTGTATGGATGGAGGAACAGTTGTCTGATGGACCGAAGTCTCTGGCCTATTATGAAACATTGTATGGTGAACTGGTGGTTGTGGTCTAATCAGAGGATTAGCTGTTTGCGATCCAGACTGAGGAATCTTATGATGTATAGATGTAAGAAAAGTTGCCTGATGGCCCGAGCTATGTGGTCGACCCTGATGTACCATTTTCTGGTGAACTGATGATTGTGGTCTACTCCAAAGATTATCTATTTGCGGTCCAATTTGATGAGCCGCTATATTATAGTCCGAAGCCTGCCTATTCTGAACCGTTGTCTGGTTACCCGAAGACTGTGGTTTATTCTGAAACACTGACAGATGAACTGTCTGTTGTGGCCCAGTCAGAGGATTTGAAGTTTGCGATCCAATTTGAGTAATCGTATGTGGTATAGATTGAGGAACAGTTGTCTGATGGACAGAGGTCTGTGGTCTATTCTGAAATGTTGACTGGTAACCCGTAGTCTGTTGTATGCTAGTATGTTGAGGCATTGCTAAAAATGAGTTAAGTATAAAATATAGTTTTTTGATATACTTTTACCTGGCCCAGTAATTGTTGGATACCTCTGAGCTTCTTGTATGTTCAATGACTGATTCATATTTTCTTTAGTAGTTATATTTGTTTGGATTTGAATACCTTTTTGAACTTGTTGTGTTAAACCTTCAGTGTTGAGTTTTTGAAAATTATTTGACGATTGGCCTTTATTAAATTCTAAAATTTTAATTCTGAGTTTATAAAATAATGTTTAAACAATAAGTTAAAGTAATTATCCATGTTCTAGTAGTCATGAGTTCCGAAAACCAGTTTTTTCCACTGTCCTTTGTTCGCATGGGATAATTAGGGTTTTTAAATAAAATACCGACAATTCGAACAATACGGTAAAAGTGAGCTACCTGGAAAGATGGTTGGTAAATGTGTAGCTATAGGAGGCTTATCCGCAATAGGAGGTTTTAATTGATTTTGTATTGTTGAAATCATAAGACATAAGACTCTCTGTGGAAATTTTTCTTGCTTGTTTTGCGTAGATTTTTCTATATGAAAAAATATTAATTAGTGAAGATATAGTAAGGTGCAAATAATAAGGGATTTGTGCGTCTTATCTTTTATCAAGGTGGATTCTATATCTTCCCATATTTTTCAATCCCAAGAAAACTCCTAATCACCAAATCACATGATATTACTTTTAATCTCTTAAATCCTCTGATGTTCCGGCCTCCGATATCCCTCTTAATCTCCCAAAAATCAACGACATCTCCCAACTACCCTGAGAAATCTGGCTTTTAATGTCTTTTTACCTTTTTCATCATCATTTTCCAACTCTGAGGCAATTTCTATCATCTTGTCATAAAATTTATTCAACAAAAATTCATTATGTTTGCGATCCATTTCGTTAAGATTTAATGAAAGAACGAGCTTTACTAACACCATATTATACATTTGTAAATATATAAGGGCATATTTGTATTCCCTCCAAAATTGCTTTTCTTGGCTCTTTATATATTTTTCATATCGAGAAATTTCTAGCAATGATCTGTGCTCGTATTGCTGATCACTCAAATGTTGATACTTGGGACGATCATTTTTTAGCTTGTCAGCAATGTTTGCATATTTGACAGTTTTATTGTCAAAAGAAACTTTGATGGGCTTGTTAGACTCCAATTCATTAATTATAATGATACGTCTGATGCGCTGAAAAAATAAATATAAATTACTGTTTAAAAGTAAGGTTGTCGGATATTTGGTTATCGAACCGTAAATTCCATCCAGATATCCAACTCTTTTTTCGTAAACTTTTTTTCGGATTGAGGGAGGATCCAGTCTGAATAAAATTAATTTATTAACTTGAAAATCCAAATTATTCAATAAATTTTGAATAAATACAGGCATACAAACAATGCATTCAATAAGCCAAATTCTTTTTAGCATGTCCTTTTTGTTAGAAGGTATCATAAAAGAGAATGTCATGTCATTTCCTTCATCTAATGTGATTAATTTTCCTTCATATTTTTCCATCGTTTCACTAATAACAAAGCATTTAAAACGTCTCGCTGGTTCTACTGGAACGAGCCATTGAAATTCCCGAAGTTTTGTCCAATCTCCAGATATTTGCACAGAAATAGGATAATTACAGGAAATTGAAGAAATCAGAATAAATAGTAATATACAAAGTAGAATAATTAAATTAATTTTTGGGTGGGAATATTTTAAAAGTTGATGCTTCATCTAAACGAAAAATAAATTATAAAATAATAATTTATTGGTTTTTATGGAGACAGGAGATGAGTTTTTCAATATTTTCTTCAGATAGGATACGGATAGAAGCTAGAAAGTTAAAAAAATACAAGTTATGAGGCCAAAAATAGAGTACTTATGTCAAATTCGTCTGTCCTTGTAAAACATGAAGCAGAAAGCCATTGACCTTCTATGGAATCTCTCTAAAACGACACCTCTCGGACCAAATTTTTCTGACAAAAGGAAAGCGAGTTAAGAAGGAGTAAAATAAGGCTAAAACTAGCTCTAGGGACCAAATCGACTAACGCGTAAAATCAAAATCGAGTTCTGTTTATATTTATCCAATTTTTAAATTTCTTAATTAATAAATTAATTAAAATGCTTTAAAAAATAAATTATAAAATAATAAAAATGGAGAAAATGTATAGACTGAGGGCGGCGTCAAGTCTTTGAAAAAAAATTTTTTAATAAATGTTAACGTGTAACTAAAATGCCCTTGCCTTATTAAATCACAAGGTGACAAAATTTTCGGCAAAATAAAAAAAAACAAAAAATTGTTTTCTTTTTAAAGTGCAACTTTAATAAATAATTTAAAAAACCGTCTTATTAAATTTCTTAATAATTTCAAAATCAAACATCCTTAATTTTAAGAGTGCAAAACAAGAATTTATTTTTAATAAACATAAATTTTCGAACCTACAATTGGATAAAACTCTGAACCTAACTCACTATCCATTCAACCACACCTACTTTGGAAATGAAATGAAAGAAAATCTTTTTTACCCGTCCGAATTTTCTCTTCCTTTTCTTTTCTCGCCTACCGTCTTTGCTTACTTCTTTTTCTCTAACCCATCTTTAGGGGTATATAGCCGGAGCCGTGGGGAATTGGAAAACCTTCTCCGGCTCCGGGCTCCGGGGTTTTCAAAATCTTAGCTCCGGAGCCGGGCTCCGGAGCTAGCTCCCGGAGCCATACCCAGCACTGGTTTTGTCCAAGTTCCAGATATTTTTACAGAAATAGGATAATTACAGGAAATTGAAGAAATCAGAATAAATAGAAATATAGAAGGTAAAATGACTAAATTAATTTTTGGGTGGGAATATTTTAAAAGTTGATGCTTCATCTAAACGAAAAATAAATTATAAAATAATAATATATTGGTTTTTATTGAGGCCGGGGTCAGGATTTCAAAATTATCTTCAGATAGGATTTGCAAAGTTTAAGAGCATGTCCGATAAAATAAAAAATCTACTATTAGGAATATTTCAAGTGACTGGATTTGTTTTTGAGAGCTATAGCGCTGACACTCCCGACTTGCATTAACGCTCATATAAAATTCATATAATAATAAATAAATTAAAATGCTTTAAAAAATAAATTGTGAAATAATAAAAATAGAGAGAGTGTATAGATTGAGGGCGGCGTCATGTCTTTGAAAAAATTTTTTTATTAAATGAAGACGTGTCACTAAAATGCCCTTGCCTTATTAAATCACATGTTGACAAAATTTTCGGCAAAATAAAAAAACAAAAAATTGTTTTCTTTTTAAAGTGCAACTTTAATAAACAATTTTAAAAAACCGTCTTATTGAATTTCTTAATTATTTCAAAATCAAACATTCTTATTTTTAAGAGTGCAAAACAAAAATTTATTTTTAATAAAGATAAATAAGAATAAAAAGGAAATTTCAATAAAATTTAAATCAGAATTTAAAACTGAGAAGAACACATTTTAAATTTAAGAAATCATGAATACAATTTCAGAAAATTTAAGCATACTAACGTTAGAACTTTAAAAAATAATTTTTTATTTCTTCACTTGAGTCTGAATACTACTACTACATGTTTCACATACCATAAAACACTATTTGTTTTAAACAATTTATTGATTTACAAAAAATTCAAATATTTACAATACTCGTTAAATGGAAATTTTTTAATACGCGAGTAAATGGCTGTATCAAATCTCATCTGCATTTTCTTTTTAATTACTTGAAATCGAGGGCCATGTCCATCCACTCGACAGATTATCACCTTTTTACTCTGAATTATCTCCTTTTTAATCTGCTATAGAATAGGAAAGAGTAGGAAAGCGTATTTAGCCCTGACGTATTGAGTCCTTGATGCCTTTGAACGCTAAATAGTAGCCACAGGCTCTTCTCTAGCCTCCTTATTTGAGTTTGAATACTCCTACATATTTCACATACCATAAAAATACGAATTTTACAGAATTTTTGATTTAAAATAAATTTAAATATTTAAAATACACTGAAATGCGAATAATTTTTTAAGATAAATTAATAAACTTTTATTTAATTAGGTTTTTACCGATTTGTGTGTGTTTGTCTAATAATATTTTATCTAACGTTATTTATCTAAATAAAAATTCTCAAATTGTATTATTTTTATTTAGAAATTTAAAAAGGATTTCTTCTCATTTCTAATTTAATTTTATTTAATTTTTAAAAACATATTTTATTTTACACTCTTTTAAATTAAAAATAAATAATTTTGAAATAATTAAAAAATTTAAAAGAGTCGGTTGCACTTTAAGAAAAAACAATTTTTTGTACTCTTTTTATGTCTTGCCGAGAATATAAATATTTGTGTTTTGGCAAGGACAGGCAAAAAAATAATTCAAAGGCAAGGAAAGGGCATTTTAGTTATAAGCTTTTCAATATATAAAAATTTTTTTCAAAGACTTTTGATGGAAAAAACCGCCCAATGGGGAGCTTATTTACTCCATCCTTTTTATTATTTCAAAATTGATTTTTAATTCAAAAAATTTTAATTAATTTATTATATAATAAACTTTTTAAAAGATTTATTTTTAATCCCCTATCGAGCCTGGACATTTATTTAGTTGATTATTTCTAGTGTTATTTTTAGTCTTATTTTAATCTCCTTCTTACAATGCTTACCTTTATATGCCAGTAAAATGGCCCAATCTCTGGGGTTGTTTCTTGTTGATATAGGGACTATACCAAAGCTGACTTTATTAATTGCCGTCAGGTATTGGGTCTCACATAAAGTGAGTCGGTTGTGTAAATCTAAATTTTCTTAAGTGCTTTGGATTAATCCCAACCAATCTTGCCATTTTCAGAGCAAATCTGTCTATTGGCTACACAAATGATAGGCCATTATCTAAAACCGAGACATTATTTGACCCTGAACTCACCTGAGGAAAATTTTGAAAACCAACCCTAACATTTTTTTCAACCAGTCACTTGATTTGACTCGACAAACCAATCTATTATTATTTTATAATTTATTTTACGTTTAGATGAAGCATCAACTTTTAACATGTTCCCACCTAAAAATTAATTTAATCATTCTCCCTTCTATATTTCTATTTATTCTTATTTCCTCAATTTCTTGTAATTATTCCATTTCTTTAAAAATATCTGGAAATTGGACAAAACTTCGAGAATTTCAATGGCTTGTTCCTGTGGACCCAGAAAAACGTTTTAAATGCTTTGTTTTTAGCGAAGCTATGAAAAAATA